GTCTTGTGTGTGTGTGTGTGTGTGTGTGTGTGTGTGTGTGTTTTATTTGTTTTGTTCTTGAGACATGGTTTCTCTATGTAGCCTGGCTGTCCTGGAACTCACTATGTAGACCATGCTGGCCTCAAACTCAGAGATCTGCCTGTCTCTGCCTCCCTAGTGCTGGGATTCATGGTGTATGCCACCACAGCCCAGCACCAAATAGTTATATTCTAATTTGTTCTATTTTAAGCCTTTTCTCATTCCTTTATTTTCTGTAGATTTGTAGTGAACTTTTTGTTGTTTTTGCTGTATTCGTAGTATGTATCTCAAATCTCAGACCCTTGTTTTTCCTCTCCTGCCAGTTCCTATCATTGTTTACTTTCTTGCTTTATGAATCTGTCTACTTTAAGTACTTGACTTATGTCCCATCTTAAACATGCTTGCGGCCTTACACCCTAAGTTGGCTCCATGGAGAACCCTGAGTTAAACCTTTAAAGTTTACCTTTGCTTCCTCCCCATCCCAGCCTTTTCATCTCTTGTCCTCTGATCTTAAATAAAATCAACATGTGTGCTACCCAAAAATTGATTCAAGTTGCTTAATCAACATTCAAGGGATTTGAAGATGACATTGAAGGAATATGTAGTCTAATGTAGGAGGTAGGTTGACCCATATCTGTCCTATTTCTGGTGGATTCTGGGTGCTCACTGCTCTGTCTTATTGCAGTGCTAAGCACTATGGAAATATAAGCTGTTAACACCAAGGTACTTCTTTAAAGCTTCTTCCGAGTTAGGCATCATTCCTCTACAAACTCACCCAGTTCATTGAGGTTTTCTGTTTTTATCAGTCAAGGTAGTAGGTAATTTCATGATTTGAATGTCATGTTTATGGGTTTTGTTTTGTTCTTTTCTGGAACTAGTTGATTATTTTAGAGAAAAATACAAAAATATTAACTTTGTAAAGTAAGAGGTGGAGCATGTAATAGATGATTTTTTACTGCTGTGATAAAAGACCATGACCACAGAAATACAGGAGTTTAATTGGGTTCTAGAAAGTTATTGTCTATGGTGGAGAAGTGAAGGCATGGTGGAAGGTGGCTGGACCAGCAGCTAAGAGCTCACATTTTATCCACAAGCACAACACTGGGAATGGCACAAGTGTTTGGAAAACTACAAGTCTACCACTAGTGACACACTTCCTCCAACAAGGCCACACTTCTGAACTCTTCCCAACAGTTCCACCCACTGGGAACCAAGTATTCAAATGTATGAGTGTCTGTGGGCCATTCTCATTCAAACCACCAGAAAAATTACCTAGAAGTTCTTATTGAATTAGTGATTTTAATTATATTTCTCTGTTTATAGACTGTATATCATAGAAAAAGTTATAAAACTAATGTCACTAAACATATTTGATATGTGACATTAGAAATCACTTTCTATGGAGAAAATTGACAACCTTATCTATACTGTTACATTGTTAATACTTTTTATTACACTTTCACAAAGCTTCTGTGTATATAATCCTTAAAACAGAGACTGCTGTTGCTGTCATCTCTATCTTATAGTTGTCTGAAATAAAGGCTAAGACAAGTATGGTAGGTAGATTAGAACTTATAATTCTAATATAATATGTCAATGTAATGTAATATAGTATAATAAAGTTCTAGCATCATACTATATCATCCTAAAAAAAATCCAGAACTCATTCCTTTGCAAATTGTTCACATTAAGTTTTTGTTTTGTTTTGTTTTTTCAAGACAGGGTTTCTCTGTATTGCTTTGGAGGCTGTCCTGGAACTCGCTTTGTAGATCAGGCTGGCCTCAAACTCACAGAGATCTGCCTGCTTCTGCCTCCCAAGTGCTGGGATTAAAGGCATGTGCCACCAACACCTGGCCACATTAAGTTTTTTTATGATTCCATAATCATAAAAGAAAAATGAAAAAGGATGAGTTTTAATCTATATAGAATATACTATTTTTGTTTATTTTCTTTTCCTTTTTTTTTTTTTTTTTGAGACAGAATTTCATGTTGCTGTCTCTACTAGCCTAAAATTCTCTATGTAGCCTAAGACAACCTTAAACTTAATCAGTCCTCCTTTCTCAGTCACTCAAGAATTTAGGTTACCTGAGTATGCCACTACACCTCGATTTCCAAATATTGCCAGCCATGACCTATGGGTTTGTTGTTGTTGTTTGGAAAGTACTACATTTTGTCATAGTAGTTTCTTAAAAGGAAGGTTTAGTTATCTGTCAGTACAGATGTTAATGTAATGTCTTGTACAGGAGTGGGTAGAAATCAGTATTTCCCTGCCCAGAGACATTTCCTTTAAGTTCTCTGGAGTCTTAGATCTCCTCTGTTTTCAGATTCTCTTTCCCCCACCTTTAAATTTATCACTAAATCATTTACATCTCTCTTTTACTAGGGAGTGTTGTTGTATGTTTGCAGAACTTGTGGCTGGTGCTTAGAATATCACATCACAGCTGCTCTGAAAATAGCTCTACATGGTACACAGCTGAAACCAGATGTCATTTCAACTCAGAACCCAAGTAGATTATACCTTGGTCTCTATTGACAATGAAACCCAGGGCCGGGGAGATGGCTTAGTTGGTAAAGTGCTTGTCATGTAAGCATAAGGACTTGAGTTCAGATCTCCAGCACTTACATAAAAAGCTAGACTGTTAATACATGCCTGGAATCCTAGGTCTAAAGGAGGTAAAGACAGGCAGATTCCCAAAGTTTGCTGGCCATTTAGTTCTTATGAATTGGAGAGCTCCAAGTTCAGCTGGAGACTATATCTCAAAGCAAAGGATGGAAAGCAATAGAGGAATACCTAAGAAAACCCTTGACTTCTACACTTCCACAATGATGCACATGTATGTGCACCTGTACATATATGCATAGACAATTCTGGTCTAGCTGAGCATGATGGTACACACCTGTAGTTCTAACTGCTTGGTTGGCTGCAGCAGGAGGATCATAAATTCAAGGTCTGCGTGGTCTAGATAGCAAGTTAAGCCTTCATAGTGAACTAAAGGTACAGCCTCAGTGACAGCATTTGCCTAGCATTGGTTCAGTCTTCAGCACTGCCTACTGGAAGAGAGGAAGGTATGGATGAATGGATGAAGGGAGGGAAGGAGGGAGGGAGGGAGGGAGAAAGGAAGGAAGGAAGGGAGAGAATAAGAAGAGAGAGAATAAGAGGAAGAGAGGGGGTAGGGAGGGAAGATTGATCTGGAGATGGTTTTACATAAAATGAGAATATAAGTACATGTCAGAGAAGAGATTTAGTCTGGCCCATAACGGTATGTCTCCCTCAGCCACCTGTATCTAGCTTGTCCTATATTATGACCTATTCAGGAACCCCCAACATTAGGACTTAAGACTCTTTGTAATTTTTTTTAAAAAAAAAGATAATATATATATGTGTGTGTGTGTGTGTGTGTGTGTGTGTGTGTGTGTGTGTGTGTGTGTTGGGTTTCAGGGAAAGCTCATGCCAAATCAAAGTCAGGATAATTTACAGGAATCATTTCTCTCCTTCTACCATGTTGTTCCAGAGGTTGAATTTATATTCTGGGACTTAGTGGCAAGAACTTTTCCTGCTGTACCATTTTGACAGCTCTGTACCCATACTTTAAAGGACAATTCCTTCTTGGAGAGTCCAAGCAGAAATTGTATGCTGCTTGCTGCTTCACTGTGGTGTTGGTAGGATTCATGCATATTAATAATATTTTTTCTCAAAATTATCTGTCTGGCTTAGATCCAGAGAATGATTAGTTGAGGCTATAGTTTTAGAATTTTGTGGTGGTTATCACACGTTTTCATAGTACTGAGGTTACTTGAGCCAAATGTATTGCTAGCCAAATATCATTTCCATCAATCTTCATAAAATAATGTGTGCATTGGATCAACTTGTAGAATTCTCCAGCACCATCTCTGCCTGCATGCCACCTAACTCCCAGCCTCCATGCTCCCAGTCATGATGACAATGGACTAAACCTCTGAAACTGTAAACCAGCACCTCAATTAAATGTTTTCCTTTATAAGAAAAAAAATAATGTGTGCAAAATTTCAAATAATAATGTTTAACTTCAACTTTTAAGATAAGCAATTTTCAAAGAAAATTGTAAATATGCAATCTATAAATCACCTGTGGCTTAAGGCCACACACTTATTTCTTTCCTCCCCACTAGAACGGTTTCTGGGAAGTCACCACGGCTTTGCAGATGATGAAACCACAATGAAAGATTTAGATTGCTACCATAAAGAGATGCTGTTGAATTACCATCCCAGTACATTGAAAATAGACATTATATATAAAATTTTACCCCAAATTACATTTACTATATAAAGCAAAGCCAGGTTTTAATTTTAGTTATTTTCTCAGAGCATATTATTTATATAGTTTGGGAACGGTAGTGGTACTGGGGCTAACCTACTTTTCTATCCTCATTTTAAAAGTAAGTGTCATGGCAGGCATGGTGTATATCTGTAATCACAAGACTCAGCGGGTCTAAGCAGGAGGGCTTTGTGGTCAAGGCCAGGTTGGACTCTGTAATAAAATACTGCCTCTGGCAAACTAACAAAAAGCAAATTTCATATAGCTCAGAGTCTTTGGTTTTTCGAGACAGGGTTTCTCTGTGTAGCTTTGGAGCCTATCCTGGCACTCGCTCTGGATACCAGGCTGGCCTCGAACTCACAGAGATCCACCTGCCTCTGCCTCCCGAGTGCTGGGGTTAAAGGCATGTGCCACCAACACCCGGCTCACAGAGTCCTTTTTATTCTGTTGTTGTTTTGTTTCATTTGAAACAGGGTCCCAGGTCTTACTATCTAGCTGAAATTGACCTTGAATTTCTGAGCCTCCTTTTCCCTTCCAGGGCTGGATTGAAGACATGCACCACCATACTGTGCTTAAGGTGTCTTTTCAATAAATACATTATAAGTAAAGTCATAATCTGACAAGTTGTATATATGATTGTTAGGTGATTGATTTGCTCCCTTAAATTTCTTTCCTTTTTGTCTTCTAGTTTGCCAGGGTTTGGATACCTGATCCTGAGGAAGTGTGGAAGTCGGCAGAGTTGCTCAAAGATTATAAACCTGGTGATAAAGTGCTGCTGCTTCACCTTGAGGAAGGGACGGTAAGAACTTCACCTTCATTTATTGTGGTTAGCCTGAAGTGTCGGAGGGTGAAAGATAGAATCTTACTATAATTTGCTTAATCCCAATTATAATATAAATTTTGAATTACTCTAATATTGTTAGTTTCTATTTTGATAAAAATGATACTTTTTCTGTACTCTTCAAACAGGCCAGTGAAAACAAAACATGCTTTAAAACACCATCATTTTAACATATATTTATTATGATTATCAAATTTGCCTTACTATCTAATTTTAATACTAACAATGTACCTATTTTACCTATTTTATGTTTAGGACAGCATTGCACTCATTTCATATTAACTAGGATTCGATATTTGGGAAATATTTATTAAGGAGCTGTTACATATGTAGCATTTTGCTGGTCACCAGAAGACCTTATAAGCAGCCATTTCTGACTGGCTGCATTCTGAGTGAATGAACACATCATTGTTTCAAAGTTTTTCAAAGTTTTTAATCTGTCCACTGCGTATGATAGGATATGTCACACTTTTTCTTAAACAGAACTTTATGACATTCATTTTCTTTAACGAATTTATAGTTCCAGTCTTGAATGCTCAGCCCAATATTACCCTCTCCAAGGCTCACAGAACATTGCAGAACAGGAGAGAGAAAGAATGTAAGAGCTGGAAGATGTCAGGGTAGGGGTGGGGTTTCTATGAAATGCTGTTTTCATGACATGACATGGCTGCTGCACCTTGAACTCCCAGCAGCAGTGGCTGCCTGCACAGGACTAGGCCCATAAACATTGCAGCATGGATGGAGAAGGGTTTTATAAGGCCCCCCACTCCCTGAAGAGTTACAGATAGTAAATGGTTTCTAGGGATGGGGAGTTACATTTCTCAATGGTGTAGCCACTGGTAAGTTGCTCTTCCTTGATTTAACAACCCCCAACCCATGCCATGCAGGCAACCCTAATTAGATGCAATGGGGTACCCCCCACCTCCACTTCTGAACCCCCCTCCCCACAAGGACATGAAAGTAGGAGGGGATTTCTTGGGAAGAAGAAAGGATTCAGTGGAAGAGGGAGGGGACAAGAGAAGGTAATATGAGGGGGAATATGAACAAGTTATGTTTGTGTGTTTGCGTCTGTATGTGTGTGTGATTGTGAAATATTAAAAATATTTTTAAAACATTCAGTTTAAGCCAGATACAGTGTCTCATTCCTGTATTCATAGCATATGAGAGGCTGGGGCAGAAAGATTTCAAGTTTGAGGCCAGCATGGTCTATATAGTGAGGTATTGTTTCAAAAAATAGAACAAGAGCTGGTGAGATGGCTCAGCAGATAAAGATGCTTGCCACAAAACCTGATGACCTGAGTTTAATCCTCAGGATCTGCATGATGGAAAGAGAAAACCCAATTCCTGAAAGTTGTTGCCTGCACCTCCCCTCACACACATTAATAAGTAAATGTAATTTAAAAATTTAAAACAAAACAAGAAGAAATTATGATCTGACCAGGGAAATTGATATAACTACATGTAATGTTAAATAATTAGGAAATAGAGTAGGGCAGCATTAGGATTCTCAAGACTTCTACCCTAGTTTGTTTCCCTGTTGCTATGATAAACACCATGACTAAAAATAATTTGGGGAGGAAAGGTATTATCTCATCTTACAGGTTACATTCCATTGTCAAGTGAAGCCAAGGTAGGAATTCAAGGCAGGAACTTGGAGACAAAGACTAAGCAGTGACCACAGGGGAATGCTGCTTACTGGCTTGCTCTAGGCGACAGCAATACTGTCTAGAATAACCCATTTAGCTCCATTTATAGCATTCAGTCCTTTTCTAGTACAAAGGTCCAAAGTCTTCCATATTCCTCCAAATCCCCCCCCAACACATGGTCCAGTCTTCACAGTAACAGCCTGCTTTCTGGTTCCAACTTCTGTGTTAATTGCCTTTCTGTTGCTGTGATAAAACACCACAGCAGAAGCATCTTATAGAAGCAGAGTGTATTGGGCTTAAAGTCCAAAGGGATATGAGTCTATTCTAGTGGGAAAGCCTGGCAGCAAGTGGCAGGCTTGGTGGTAGGAAAAGAAGCTGAGATCACATATTTTACCCCAAGCATGAGGCATGAAGCAGAGACAACAAACTAGAATAGGACAAGTCTGCATATATATACACACACACACACACACACACACATATATATACACACACACACACACACACACACATATATATACACACACACACACACACACACACACACACTCCCTAAGCCCATTCTTAGTGGCGTACTTCCTTAAGCAAGGCTATATCTCCTAAACCTCCCAACACAATGTCCAACTGGCCACCAGGAATTTAAATGCCTGAGCCTATGGGGATATTTATCATTGAAACCACCACCTTGTCAAAAGAAGTGTATGTTTATTTTCAAACAATTAACTCATGCATTGAGTACTTACTGTGTATCAAGCATGATTCTGACTCTTTTTCTTTTTAAAAAAAATTTTTTTTTTTTTTTTTTTTTTTTTTTTTTTAAGACAAAGTCTCACAATTTAGTGCTGCCTGGCCTAAAACTCTCTTTGTAGATCAGGCTGGCCGGAATCTCATAGAGATTCACCTTCCCCTGCCTCCTCTGGTATTAAAGGTGTGTATCACTGAACCCATGACAGTTATTTTAGTCTTTGCAATAATACTACAAGTTGTCTAGATCCTTGCTGATTGAAATATATTGTGACTATTATATGTATATAAGGTGGTTGGAATGGATATTTAGAAATGTATGTGTTTTGGACATTGTGAGTGTAATTCTTACCTGATAATTGTTCTTATATATATATATATATATATATATATATATATATATGCATATTTTTACTGCATTATTTATACAAAAGGGGAAAATGTTGTGGAATATTTTATGCACTGTAAAGATGTGTCTCTCTACTTGGTTTAATAAAGAGCTAAATGGCCAGTAGCTAGGCAGGAGATAGTAGGCGGAACTTCCAGGCAAAAAGAGAAACTCAGGATGGATCTAGGCACAGGGATGCCAGCGAGACACTGAAGAAGTCAGACATATGGTACAGAGAGGTAATGGAGCCATGTGGCAGAGCAAAGATGAATTAAAAACAGGCTAATTTAAGTTTTAAGAGCAAGTTGGGGGAAAGCCTAAGCTAAGGGCAACCTTTCATAATCAATAATAATAATAATAAACATAATACAGGGTCGTTGGTATTTTTAATAAAACTCTTGAACTTCACTAGTATATGAGAAACAGTTACAGCATTTCAGAATACAAATAGGGAATTTTGTGTTTCAGAGAAGGTTCCATGGATATGGATTTCAGACAAGGAGACTTGATAGAGAATTAGACCAAATTAAGAAAGCCCTGAATGAGCCGGGTGTTGGTGGTGCACGCATTTAATCCCAGCACTCGGGAGGCAGAGGCAGAGGCAGAGGCAGGCAGATCTCTGTGAGTTCGAGGCCAGCCTGGTCTCACAGACCCCCCCCAGTGAACAAAAAAAAAAAAAAAAAAAAAAAAAAAAAAAAAAAAAAAAAAAAAAAAAAGCCCTGAATGTCAAACTACAGAATTACAGTATCTAACATTTATTATTCATCCACTTCATAGTATTAGGTACTCCTTTAGACCTGCTGAGCTATATTTTCTAATTTTAGTTCACATCTCTATGGGTTGGTAGGTGATATTTTTACTGTTTGCCAAATAAGGAAACTAAGGTTCAGAGGCATCAGATTTGCCTGAAGTCAATGGAATTAACAAAAGCAGGTCATCAGCCTGGTATAGGTATGCACACTGTAGTCCCAGCACTTGGGAAGTAGAGTGGAGAATCAGAAGTTTGTAAGTTATCCTGCACTACTTAGGATAATCCTGCACAGGAGATCCTGTGTTTCAAAAACAAACAAACAAACAAACAAAAAGGGTACAAGGAAGAGGAGGAAGAGCAATTCTTGGAACAGGATATAAGTGAGGAAAATAGTCACAGTCTCCCTGCAACTAACCAGTTCCCTTTTTATGAAATACAGTATTTTAGGTCCTAGAATACAATAGGAAAAAAAAACATTGTCTTTGCAATATTAGAAGTGCACTTATTTGATAATGACTAATCATTTCAGAGAAGCAGATTATGTCCATTCCAAGAGGAAAATTTCATAAATATGTTATAGATGTCCCTTGTCAGTGTCTTCTCTAATATTCCAGTTCCACTTTCTTCCCACACTGACTGAATAACTGCTCCATCCTCCCATGAAGACTGGGAAGAACATTGTGGGATGCCCTTCTGCTGTTGTGGAGCCCCATGTTGAACTATGGTATTATCAAACCAGGATGGTCTTGAGCATCTCTAAAGCCCCACATCATCCTCCAGGACTTTCTTTCACTCCATATTTTCACACTATTTAGACATAAACAGAAAAGGTAAATGACCCCAAACGTTACATCCCAGTGAGCAGGCAAGCACAGCATAGTGAGGGGAATTTAAAGCACTCAGATTGGAACAGTAAGGAAACAGTTGTGGATTGACAGAGTCAGTGCAGTGAGCAGTCAGCCTCAGAAAAGGGCATTATCCCTGGAGAAACAAACAGAGGGAAAAGGCCCATAGCATCATACCTTTCCTGTATGCTAATCTATTCATACCTGATTTGCATATTTGACCCCTCTTTACATCTTCAGTAATAAACTAGCATGCTCCATTATAATTGAACCTATGTTTCCCCCTTTCCATCTGTCCTATGCTATTTGTCTTTAATATATAGTAGAGTGGCAGCTTCCGTAATTGGCATTGTCAAAAAGTTCCATATGCCTATGATTTTATAAAGCATATTACTTCTTAATTTTATTTTGACATTTAGTATGCATATTCATGTATGTGTGCCCACATGTGTTCATGCCATGATGCACATATGGAGGTCAGAGGACAACTTCAGGAGTTACTTTCCTTTCACTAAGTAGGGATCAAACTCAGGTCATCAGGTTAGCTGCAAAAATCTTTACCTACTGAGCCACCTTACTAGCCCATATGGAATTTCTTAATGTTTGGGGCCAGGTACCTCATTACAATCTAATGAAAAGAATGAATTATTGTTACCAAATATATGCACACAAGTTGTGGCACATAATTTTAGGGGATTCTTAGGATTCTTAGGGGTTCAGAAACCTCGGGGATTCGTAGAGTATGCCAAGCATTGCTTCTTTAATTTTTGCCACAACTTTTTGAGCTACTTTTGTTAATCAATCTTACAAATAGATTTAGTTTAAATAATGCACACAAAGCCGCACAGAAGTCAAGTGTCAGTATAAGGGTTTGAACCCAGGTAAATCTGATTCTAGAGCTAAACTCTTGACCTCTTTTATACTGACCATCACTTCCCATGTGTAGAATGAAGAGTGAGATGAGAACTCATCTAATTGTTAAAATTTTCTGGGTAAAAATCTCTAGGCTCTGACTTCTTCAACTATTAGCAAAAATTATTTACAGTGGGGCTAGAGAAATGGCTCGGTGGTTAATAGTATGTATTGCTCTTCCAGAGGATCAGAGATTGGTTCCCTGCACCTGTGTTGGGAAGCTCATGCTTATAATTTCAATTCCAGGAAATCCAAGCTCTAGACTCTGGACAGTGGCATCCCCCACACTACACATACATGCATGCATAATTGAATATGAAAACAAAATCTTAAATTATTCATGCAGATTTATGTCTGATAAAAAGAAGCCACTCTTTATTGTTTGCCATTTTTACTAGTTTTTTTTTTCTGATAATAGAAAAATAACAGGAAATAAATATACTTAAAAGCCAAGAGGCAAATCAGAAATAGGAAATAATCAAATGCATAGGTCTGTTTCATGTTCATCATTATTGACATAAATGTTGTGTCTTCTGTCCTCAGGATTTGGAATACCGTCTAGATCCAAAGACTAAGGAGCTGCCTCACTTACGGAACCCTGACATACTTGTTGGAGAAAATGATCTCACAGCCCTCAGCTATCTTCATGAGCCTGCTGTGCTGCATAATCTCCGAGTTCGCTTCATCGATTCCAAACTCATTTATACATATTGTGGTAAGTGCTCTCCTGATGAGCTGTAAGCTTTCCTTTGGTGGATGTAGTGATGGAAATGCACACAGGCAAAGCCAGCTTGGTTGAATTTCTCATACATCCAAAAATCACTTCAAATTACCAGAAAGATATACCAGTAGTCACTAGCTCATTACGCTTCATGACAAATAAAATTATTTGTGAATTTGTGAACAGGTCCATCTTTTGGACCATTCCACTCCCAGTCATGTCAGATTCAGTGCTGAAGTCACCAGTTCTTTTCCTCTTGTAAATCGAAGAGTAGATGTTCACAGACTAGCATTTGGTGCAGGTGCAAGGTTATTGCTACCTTTATCCTCACTTAGACACTCAGGACTGACACGCTGTGGTGAGTCTGTCTCCTTCCTGCAGTGTTAGCTGCTAGCAACCTAGCTTATGATAGTTTTCTCAGAAGTGAAGCTTGAACATGTGTGCATGGCTACAGTTCTTCTCCCAGCCCCATCTGTCTTTGTTTTTCTCTGCTCTGTTTTGTTCATATTTATTTCCTCCCACTACTCTGGCTCTTCTTCCTGTGATCTTCCCTCTCTCTTGTAATCATGGCTCTTCCAAAGCCCAGCTCTGGGTGTTCATTCATTCTCATGTGTTCACTGGCTTGCTGACCCCATATTGTGTTTATTTTGTCTTCACTGTTGTCTGTTAAGCAGGTATAACCACTTTTCCCTCTCAGGAGAATTTATGTCTTTTTTATTTTTACTTGCTTATTTATTTATTTTGATTTTTTTGAGTCAGTGTTTCTCTGTGTAGGTTTGTAGACCAGGCTGGCCTCGAACTCACAGAGATCCACCTGCCTCTGCCTCCAGAGTGCTGGGATTAAAGGCGTGTGCCACCACTGCCCGGCAAGAATTTATGTCTTATATATGCTTAATGATAATTTTCCTTTCTCCCTATTCTTTAAATATTTTCCTCAATTTATATTTTTAGATTTTTTTTATGTGTATGAGTGTTTGATCTGCATGTATAGTGTATCAGGTGCCTATGGAGGTCAGAAGAGGGTATCAGATACCCTGGAACTGGAGTTACAGATGGTTCTGAACCATGCCACTTGTGGGAACCAAACCCAGGTCCTCTGCAAGAGCAGTGCTCTTAACCACTCAGCCATCTCTCCAGCCCCTCAGTTTATTTTTTTTTCGTACATATGTCATATTTTTCTATGATTTTTTCCTTTTAGACAGTGTCTCATATGGCTCAGACTGTCTTGGAACTCATTATGTAGCTGAAGATTACTTTGAACTTCTGACCCTCTACCTGTCTCCACTTTCTATGACATTTAATATTCTTCAAAAGCATGTGTTTTTGTGGGGTGTCTAATGCTCATGTAGGTTCACAATAATTGTAGTATATGTTTTGTTTGCTTCTGTTTTCACTATATGACTACCACTGTAATATCCTTCTAAAAGAAAACCCTTTTAATGAATCTCTGATTATTTCTGGAACTGAGCTTTAAAAATTTTTATTTTATTATTTGTATGTGTGGTGTGTGTGTGTGTGTGTGTGTGTGTGTGTGTGTGTGTGTGTGTGTGTACATGCATTTGGGTGCTTGCGAAGTCTAGAAGAGGGTCTGATTCCTGGGAGTTAGAGTTATAGGCAATTGTGAGCTGCTTGACCCGGGTGCTGGGAAATGAACTCAGATCAGCAAGTGCTCCTTACCCTTGAGCTATCCCTTCAGCTCCCAGTTTTTTTTTTTTAACTAAATATTTAAATTGTTTAAAACATTGTTACTTTTTTCCACAATGGATATAAAACCCAGAGCTTTCTGAATGATTGACAAATCCTGTCTCTGAGCTCCATCCCTATCCAAGTCACATTATTTTATACAAATCAGTCCAGATTAGTTAGGACTATGTATAATAATTTAGAAAGCCAAAGACTGTGGTATATTTTGATCTTTGAGCAATTCATTAGTTTAATGTGAACTAAATTGAAACAAGGTTTTGCGCTGCCTTACTTTACCAAGCTTGATGTGCCCATTGGGATATCATTGATTTCATTTTCTTTCTTACCCTCTTCCCCCAGGAATAGTCCTAGTAGCTATAAATCCCTATGAACAACTGCCTATTTATGGAGAAGATATTATTAATGCATACAGTGGCCAGAACATGGGTGACATGGATCCTCACATCTTTGCAGTAGCTGAAGAGGCTTATAAGCAAATGGCAAGGTTGGTAGGAACTTCTATTATCATTTCATGGTTCTTATTACATAAGATAATTTATTCTTTGCTGCATCATGGATCTTTAAAGAGAGTAAGAACTTGTAAATAATTACTGCCTAAGTATCTGTGGCCAATATGTCTCAGATTGTCTAGACTGTTTAATTAAAAATTTAAATCTTACATTTATAAACACATTGTGTAGTTTGTTTTTAAATTGCCTTTGGAATCTCATCATGTTCCTTTGACAAAGCAAAGACAAGTATTGTGTTTTGTAATGAGAGAGTTAAAGTTTCGTAGGAACCTTAGTAAAAAGGGACTTCTCTAATGTCATTCAGCAAAGGAACAGATGAACTAAAAGACCTATAAACTGGAAAAATAAATTATCTGTATAATAGCAGTTAAAATATATGGTAGGACATCAGTTATGTGTGTATAAAGAATATCTGCAAAGTGTGTCTCATATCACCCACAGAGCCCTAACAGTTTGAGGGTAGAGGTTAGGTAATAAAAGCACTTTCAAGATGAAACTATACTCTGAATAATAAATGATATGTTGTAATGTGAAAGGGTGAGAGCATAGAAAAAAATTAACTAATTTCTCCTGTTTACAAGGAGGAACTTAGTAAAAATATGATGTAGGAAATCCCCAAAACAGTTTATAAAATAGAAAGGGAACTAACACTATAGAGGCTTTTATTTTCTCTTTTGCAACCAGTGTACATTTTTGGGCCAAAGTGTGATAGAATTTTAGAACTACTTCAATGAAAAAGCCCATGGAAGTTTTAATAATAATAGTACCTTTTAATAATAATAGTACTTTTAATAAGTACTAAAGTTAACTGTGTACTTTCTCCCCACAAGGTATCAACTAGGTACTTTCAATTTACTAACAACTTTTGAGTTTGTTATTGTCATTAAATTTCATATTAAATTAAAACTTCATTTTACAGTTGGTAAAACTGAAGCTCAGAGAAGTTGTATAATTTTTCTAAAGTCTCATCAATAGGAAAATTGCCTTTCAAATTCAGTTAGTCTGACACTAAAATATTGGTATGTTAAATATAAAATTACTAAGTGAATTACTAGTATATAATATGTTAAGTATGCCTGATACTACTATAAAATGGTAATGATTATCCAAAGTTTAAAGCTTAACATTGAGAAAATTCCATCTGTCAATACATTTTCCTCTAAGTCAATACTGATCTACCCCTACTTGATTTTCCTAGCTCTAGAGCATTGCAGTGCAATGCTGACACCACTCAGTATAGCCTGAGACCCACTACTCAGAGTGGGTATCCCATGGACTGTTAGACTCTAAAATTGATCTCTGAAGAATTTTACAATGCTTAAAAAATTAAACAGCTTCTCAGAAAATACTTTCTTTGGCTCAAGGGATCAAAGCAAGAGTCTTACATACGCTGAGAACATTCTGAGCCCCAGGACTGTTCTTAAATCTGAAAGCATGGTTCTTTCATCATTGCTGTGGCAACCCTCAAATGTCAGTAAACTCAGCTTGCTTCCTGGCATTCTCCTCATCCCACATGATTTTCCCCGTGAGTCAGTATGACTTATCAGTATAATTTCTTAACTGAAGGTTGTTTTCCTTTGCCTAGTTTTCTCTTATAGATAGTTTGAAAATATGTTTCAGTTAGTTAGGATATTTATCACATATATTAATAGATCTGTACCCACAAATCCTGCTACAGTCACCAAGCAGACTATGTCTGCTTTGGCTTAGGCAGGAATCAGTGCTGCACAATCATTTCTTACCCTTTTTCCCCCTATCAATAAACATTCCATCTTTCCCAGGTGTGAATCTTGGTGTTTCACATCACCACTGTTCCTACAAACCCCTCACATCTATAGGAACGATACAGTTCATCATTTCTGACAGAAATTTCATAATCACAATCCCCAAACCAGCCACTGTTCTAGACATGGTGCAGCAGCAAACTAGATAAAAGTTGCACCCCACAAACAAAGCCTGGTAAAGAATAAAAATAAATAAGGCTTGTTTTGTCACCTATCAATAGGATGATTGACTAAACTGGGAGTGTTATTATATTAACAATATTAACTTTCCTGATTTTGGTCATTATAAGTTGGTGAGAACAAAGCTCTACTTAGGAAACATACTGTGCAGGTGGTAGGAGTATCATGTTTACAACACTCAAATGTTGCATAAAATATTAGAATGAGAGAAATGTGTGACATAGCAAGCAGATAGCTCCCAGATCTGAAGGAAGCATAGGCAGAAATTCATTTTACTATATATATAGTTTTTTACAAGTTTAAAATCACATCAGAGTAACTTTACAGTAACAAAACAGAGCAAGCTAGGGTAGAACTCAGGAGATGAGAAGGAGGTTAATTGGTGATCTGAGTGAGAAATGACAATTTAGTTGAGATATTAATTTCAATATTAATGAGGATGGTGAGAAGGAATAGGTTATGGATATATTTTTAAGATGGGACTGGGAAAAAAATGGCTGATGCAGGGTAAGAGAGAAGCAGGAGTCAGAATGACAACAAGGATTTGTTCTGAGAGCTTGAAGGTAAGCAATTCCATTCTAGAGATGAAGAGGTTACAGGAAGGGTGAGTTGTGTGTACATGGTGTGGGTGAGAGATAAGAAATGGGCTTACATCTGTATTTATTTATTTATTTACTTAATTATTCCATGTGTATGAGTGTTTTACCTGCATGTATGTATATGCACCATGTTGGTGCAGTACCTGAAGAGGCCAGAAAGGGGCCTCATGGCAAGTGCCTTTACCTGTAGAGCCATTGTGGTGGCCCCGTTATAGGTGTTTTAGTTACAAATGATCCCACCCCATCTCCATGCTAATCATGGTCCTTAGAGAACAGTGCCCTGGTGTTACAACCTTACTTTTAATGGGCCTGTTGACTTCTAGAGGAGAAAGGCAAATGGAGTTCAGTGCCTGTTTTTCCTCTTGCATTCCTTTTCTCACATTCTTGCTTGTCTTTTCTTATCTTAAAACTCTCTCTCTGTGTGTGTGTGTGTGTGTGTGTGTGTGTGTGTGTGAGCACAGAGGATAACTTATGGGAGTCAGTTCTCTCTCCATCATGTGGATTTCAAGGATGGAGTCAGTTCAGCCAACTGACTTGGCCTTTTGAGCCATCTCACTGGCCCCTGATTATTTTCCTTTACCAAAATCACAGTAGTATTTTCATTAAAACATCAAAATTTAGTTTTGTTTCCATATAGCCAGTGTTATCTTTATTTTATATATTTGTGAGTCTTAGAGCAATGTTCCTAAGTTTCACTTGATTGAGAAAAAAGTTAGTACTGTCTAATTAACCTGATATAGTTTTTTTAAGGTGTCTGTACTAATTGCTTCTCTCCCAATAACCGTAGAACTTAAATCTTAGTATCTCTGTTTACTCAACTATAAGATGGCGCAGTCTCAAAAATGGTCTAGCTTGACCTACGGTGTTCTGTGAAATGATAGGATTAATGCATGGGCATTTTTCTTGTTCCTAGTGAAGGACAGACCATGCTAAGGAGTGACATAACAAAGCAGAAGGAGCCTACTCTAGACCTACCCATACCTCTGGAATTAGGCTATAATAACCCGCTGTCTTGGCAAACTACTCAACAACTTTAGGCAAATTAACTCCTCTGTTGTTTTCACCAAAAAGGACAAGAGAGTGTATGTCCTTTTTCTTCCAGGGTTTAAAATTGTATTGGCTGATAAGTACAGAAGCACTTTGAAAAATAATTAAGTAGAATTCAAATTCAAGCTCTTCTTTTCATCATTGTGAAGCATCATCTATCTCTTCAGTCTTCTTCCATCCATTCAGGCATTTAATCTGCTTTTATTACCTTTGGCTTTATGTATTACCAGGTCTTTCTTAGGCCATCCCTTCTTTTGTCTACTTACGTGGTTTCTGAACGCTCTAGTATCCTGAAGTTCATTGACTAAGTGGAAAATGACTCTTATGGATGATGAAATCTCTCCTGTTAGCAACGGTGACTCAGCTACCATGTGGTGCCAAGTATCCTAGTTATATAATAGGCTTGGTGTATTTAATGCATGCTACCTTATAAGGATGATTTTTCTACAGATGTTTTGTGACTTTCAGTCAGTACATCCTCAGTCAGGTTTGGCACCACATGTGTACATGCCATGTGTTAAAATTTTAGTATACAATGGCTTCAGGGATTTGTGCACTGAAGATTTGGTACTGTTATCAAGAGACTATTGGATCATAAATGTACTAACTTCTTCAATGAGTTAATCCATTGATGAATTCTAAGCTGAATACACTATTAGGAAGTGCAACCTGGCTTGAGGAAATAGGCTGCTGGAAATATGTCTTTCAGGGGTTTCTCTTACCCCTCCCCCATCTCAGCTTTGTTTGCTTCCTGGCTGCCATGAGGTGAGCAGTTTTACTACATTTTCCTTACTGTGATTCACTGTGGCCCAGAAACAAAGGACCCAAGTGAACATGGACTAAAATTTAAAAGAAAAAAAAAAAACTTTCCTCCCTACATCATTTACGTTTATCATTGCTGTAACAAGGTACATGGCAAAGGCAATCTAAGGAAAGAACAGTTTATTTTGGTTCACACTTCAGGGGTCTAGTGCTTTGTGGCAGGAGTCACAGCAGAAGAAACTTGAGGTGGCCATCCACTTTGCATCATCAGTCAGGAAACAGAGATAAAAGCTCATGATCAGCTCCTTTTCTTCTCAGGACCCCAGCCCCCCGTGGAACTGTATTGCCACATTTATGGTAGGTTTCAACTCAATTAATCAAATCTAGATAGTCCCTCACAGATGTAGCCAGGGATTCTAAATCTGATCAATTTAGCAATCAAGTTTAAACATCACAGCTTTGCCCATTGTCAATTTGACATCCAAACAGCAACTTTAAAACCATAACCTCTCACTTCTTGTCCCATTGGCTCATGGCCACCTCATACTGTAAAATGCAGTCAGTCAAATTCTAAAGTCCCCATAGTATTTCATAGTGCCAATACTGTTAAAAAATTCCAAGTCTCATCTAAGACTAAAAGCAATTTCTTAGCTAAATGCTCCCATAAAACATAAAACAGGTTATATACTTCTAGTATACAATGGCATAGAGTGAATATATCCATTCCAACAGGGTAGAATGGAGGCATAATGAGGAGTGGTGAGAAAAAAGCAAGAGTGAAACTCAACAGGGAAAATACCAAATTCTGCAGTTCCCTGTCCAACATGGTTCCAAAGGGCTTGGGTAGCTCCACCCTTCCATCTCGGCTACCACAGTGAGCATATAGCTCTCTTTTATGGTCACTCCATTCTTTGCATGCTGCTTTCCTTAATAAATGCCTTATGGTCTGACATCTCCAACATCCTGGGGTCTCCATTGCAACTTAAGCTTCATCTTCACACAGCAGCAAAAAAATAATAGTAGTATCCTATTACTGTATCTTCAGACATGAATGTGATGACATTTAAAAAATAAAATTAGCCAACGAAATGGATTCTTACCTGGTACTGTAGGTGCTTTGAATGTTTTTTTCTACATTCTTTTGTTGTGGTTCCAAAGAATATTTCCCTTTTATTCTATGGTAGCTGACAGCAGTATTATACCAATGAAAATCTCCATGAGTAAAAGACTGTGAGACACACACACACACAGACACACACACACACACAGACACAGACACACACACACACACACACACACACACACACACACACACACACACACACACGCAAAGTTTAGAATTCCTGTGATACAAAGTTGTCCTTAGTTATATGATTCTCTTTAAGTTAATGGTGTATCCTGCTTCTCTATCTTGTTTATAGGTAGTCATTCTTGTTAAGAAATACTGTGTTTCTTAATATAGTTTCAAATAAATACATTTGTTTATATATGTCAAATAAATACATTTGCTTCTACATTGTTGTATATATGAACTAGCAGAAACTCACCCTGCCTCATGGGGAAAAAGGAGCAGTAGTAATACCACTCAGAAGTAGACATACTGGCAGTTACTCTTACTTGTTTTACAGGGATGAACGAAATCAGTCCATCATTGTAAGTGGAGAGTCTGGCGCAGGAAAGACAGTCTCCGCTAAGTATGCCATGCGATACTTTGCAACTGTAAGTGGTTCTGCCAGTGAGGCCAATGTTGAGGAAAAAGTCTTGGCCTCCAACCCCATTATGGAGGTAAGAGCAACATTCTCTACCTTTTTTCTATAGTCTCTGATTAAGACATGAGCTGAAAACTTGATTGCTATAGTACACGTCAGAAAGTTTGTGGTTTTCAGCCACTAAAGCTAAGGAAATTCTTTTCTGTATATTAGTAGGAGATCTAGGAAAGGTGAAAATTCTGTAAAGTGGGTATTTCAAGTAAAATCTGTGTCACTCCATAATGCTTCCTTTTAACTTCCAGAAAGAGTTCTGCCTATAACACCAGGCAGTACTCTTCATACCTGTTGTTCCTGTACAGAGGTAAAGTTACTCATTTTCTCCCAGCCTTGAGTACTTGTTTATACTTCTTCCAAAACAGGATTTGCTCTCACTCAAGCATGAGTGATTCTGTTATCCTTTTACCCATGGTACATTTTCTATGCTTAGCTCAACTTCTTAAGCTACCAATTTTAATTTTTCCCAAATCTGAATTATATATAAACCCTAATCACATGAGCATTCTTACTTTATAAAAAGTGTTGTTGGGTGTTGTTGTTGTTGTTGGTGGTGGTACACACTTTTAATCCCAGCACTCAGAAGGCAGAGGCAGGCGGATCTCTGTGAGCCAGTCTGTCTTACAGTGTGATTTCCAGGACAGCAAGGGCTATACAGAGAGACCTTGTCTCAAAAAAACAACAAAAAATGTATTTTACAGGTATATCTTGGTATAGAAATTCAAAATTATAAATTTTTGAGACAGAAAATACTGTGAGAAAATAATGTATCTCCAAAAGTGGTGTACCTGTGGGTATGATGGCTTATGCCTATTATCCCAGCATTGGGGAGGCTTAAGGGAGGAAGATCACCATGAGCTGGAGGCCAGCCTAGGCAGGACAGTGAAACCCTGCCCCTGAAAACCCAACCAAACCAATGTTAAAGCCATGTACAAAGTAGAAATGCCTGTGCCAAAGTCTAGGGGATTGGATGTATGACAATTTGATGTTTAAAGATTTGTAGCTGGACTAGAATTGCTTGTTAATACTACTTCAGGAAAGTTATAGCTTTGTGAAAAAATGAAAAAAGTAAGTTTCATTAAATGGAGAGAAATCAGGACAGGAAGAAACAAACCCTTCTTATAAAAATTCACATGGGCATGATTTTATCCCTGTCTTTTCTCTGTCAATTCTTGTTATCACCCAAACACAGATGGAGCTAAAATGACCTGAAGCACCTTGGTACAAGTGGTTTTTGCTGTAATCTGACTAGAGGTAATTGTGCCTGGTTTGCAGTGCTGTGTGTAACACCTCTAAATTGAATGCTGTGACCTATGTCTACATGGCTGCCCTGTAGTGGCGCAGGATTCCTATTCCTGGATTACCCTGACAAGATATTCTGAGGAAGTAGAGAGGCTTCCAAAGCTACTGTGCTGCAGGACGAACAAGGAAGGGGTTTCTGTTATAACATGGGCATTAAGGAGCAGGTGGCTGTGCCAGAGAAAAGTAGGAAAATCTAAAATTAAGATTTTTAAAGGATTTAGCTCTGTATATAGTAGTGGATGCTACTAATGTTAATATTGAAGCCATACATTTTCAGAGCCAGTATTTAATTTGAGATCAAAAACAGCAGGGCTTAGTGTAGACTTTTATTCATTTTATCCCCAGTGCAACAGATTCCTAGTATTTAGGACAGAGCCCTAAAACATCTCAGTTCCTAATATTAGAATATCCCAAAATCTTGGTTGTCATAGCATTAGGGAATCCCATGTGTTTTATGCTAGATCATCCAAAACTAGATTTTGAGTTTGTCTCAGACAACCTTTTAGGATAATGTCAAGAGCTGTTTTCTACCTCTTTGAAAAAACAGCTATGTTGTTTTGTTGTCATGGTTTACAGTACAAATTTGAGTTTTGTTAGTAGAAAAGACATTAAAATTTTAAAATGGGTATAGATACTTTTGTTTTAATAAAATGCAGTTAAGAGGAATTTACCTTGTTTGCTGAGATGAGAAAAAAAGATAAAGGTTCTCTTTCTGTATTACTGTTTATTTATTTACATTTAGATCAAGAAGATTTCCTTTGATAAAGGACTCTTGAGCAATGCAGTTCAGTGGTAGACAGCTTCATTACAAATCCCTGGGTTCATTCCCAATACCATAGGCAAAAAATAGAGAATTTTCAGGCCTGGAGAGATAGCTCAGAGTACTTGTTGTCTTGCCAGGCATGGTCGCTCATAATTGTGATCCAAGCACTTGGAGACTGAGGCAGAAGCAATAAGAGTAATTGGTGCTCCTGAAGAGGAGCTGGGTTGGGTTCCCAGCACCCACATAGTGGTTCACAAGCACCTCTAACTCCAGTTCCAAAAGGATATAACACCCTCTTCTGTTCCTCTCTAGCACCAGGCACACACGTGTTTCATGTATGCATAAAATAAAAATAAATGAATTTTTTTGAAGTAGAGAATTTTTAGCAACAGCAAACAGGTTATTTTAATTTCAAAGACTGGAATAGAATATGGGAGGCAGAAGTAGTGACACACACCTGTAATCCCAGCATTTAGGAGGTAGAGGCAAGAGGATCAAGAGTTCAAGGTGATTCTTGGATACATGTTGAGTTTGAGGCCAATCTGGACTACACAGACCTTACCTCAAAATAAATAAATAAATAAATAAATAAATAAATAAATAAATAACAATTTTGATGGTTCCTATCTAAAATTTCAGCTCACAGGAGCTTAAGGCAAAAGGATCACCATGAGTTGGAGTCCAGCCTGGGCTAAACAGTGAGTTACCAGGACTACATAGCAAGATCTTGTCTCAACTTAAAATCTTAAACATACATGTACCAAACATAGAGGTAGCCAATTTCATAAAAGAAACACTATTTGATATAAAACCACAGATTGGCCACAACACAGCGATAATAGTGAGTGAGTTCTACTTTCACCAATATACAGGTCATCGAAAACAAACAAAAACTAAACTAGAAAACTCTGAAGTTAAACTGACATCATAAACCAAATGGACCTAACAGACTGAACATTCCACCTAAACATTAAATAATACATATTCTCAGAAGCTAATGGAACTTCCTACAAATCAATCACATGTTAGAACAAAGCAAATCTAAACAAATATAGGACAATTGAAATAACATTCTTCATTATATCTGACCATAACGGAATAAAGCTGGATATCAATAACAATAGAAACTACACAAATTGCACAAACTCATGAATGATAATTGGATCAAAATAGAAATCAAGAAGGAAATTTTAAAATTCATAGAATTGAATGAAAATGAAAACATAACATGCCAAAATCTGTGATTTTGATACAAAGAAGAAGAAAGATTATATCACTTAGTGTCTGCATCAGAAAGTAAGAGATCTCAAATTAATAATTTAAGGATACATGAAAGCCTTGGAAAACAAGAACAAATAACTCCCAAAAGAGTAGTTGGGAAGAGATAATCAAAATCAGGACTGAAATGAATGAAAAAAATACAAAGAATCAATAAAATGGTGATTGTCCCTTGGAAAGGATGAACAAGATTAAGAAACCTTAATCTAAAATAAAAGAGAGCAAAACCCAAGTTAATAAAATTATATATAAAAATGGAGATAGTACAACAGACACTGGGGAAATTCAGAGAATCATAAGACCATCCTTAAAATTTTATTTATATTCCATACAACTGGAAAAAATCATAAAAAATGAATTTTTAGATATACATGGTCTACCAAAGCTACTTGAAGATGAAGTTAATAAATAGTCCCATACCTCCAGTGAGATAGAGTAATTTAAAACCTCCCAAATAAAAATGCTCATGACCAGCTGGATTCTGGATAGAATTCTACCTGACCTCCAAGGAAAAAGCAACATCAATACTTCTCAAATTATTTAATATAATAGAAAATGAAAGAACATTTCTAAATTATTTTTACAAACCCAAAAATTACCCTGATACCAACATTAGACAAAGAATTAACAAAAAAGAAAATAATAGGTTAGAATCTCTGATAGATATGATTGTAAGAATTCTCAATATAATGCTTATAAACTCAATTCAAGAACACATCAAAAAGATTATCCACCAGGATCAAGTTCACTTGGTCCCAGAGAAGCAGGGATGGTTCAGCTGAACCACAGCCATAAACCTTCCTATAGCATAGCGATTTCTTGTTGATTGGAATGAAAATAACATTAGAGTCTTGTGGATATAGTACTTACATGACAGAAGAAACAACTAGAAGATATAGACAAAAGATACATCTTTCCATATCAAGTCCAAAGGTTAGAATCATGTCCTTATTTTTTAAGTTTTTATTTTATGCATATAATATCTTACCTGCATATATGTGTGTGTGTGTGTGTGTGTGTGTGTGTGTGTGTGTGTGTGCACTACATGCTTGCCTGGTGCCTACAGAAGCCAGAGTGCATCAGATCCTCTGGGACTGAAGTTAGAAACAGTTGTGTGCTACCATGTGGGTGCTGGGAATAAAATCTGGTTCCTCTGAAGAGTAGCTAGTGCTCTTAACCACTGAGCCACCTCTCCAGTCCCCAATGTTTTAATTTTTTAAAATTTATTTGTTTGTTAGCATATAACATGACAAGCTCACTTATGGCATTTTCATGCATAATAGCTTAGATTGAGCCCCTGTTCCTTTCACACATACATGCTCCTCCCTCCCATTTTCCTGTCCCTGCCACTTATACCTTCCACCCCAAAATCCCCCTTTTTACTTCCATAAGCTCATCTATCCTCTGGGTATGGTAGTGCTTCTCAGAGAGATTAAATGGGCCTACTTGTGACATCCAAGCCTTCAAACTGACTTCATTTGCTGCATTCACCATTTGCTCTTCTATGTTTAAATGTTTTACTGAAAGACAAAAAGGTCTACTTTAGCCTTAGCTTACCCTCTTTTCATAGTGTGTAGCACTGTTGTAGCTAGCTGCCTGTCTAGTATGAGGAATAGACAATTGATACAGGTTGAGGAATAGAAATTGTATACCACTTTCCCCCCAACTGCCTTAGATACAGACATGAAATTACATAGGATAGTGCCTGTAAGCCCTCAATGATTTCAGTGATACTGTTGCTTTTACTACAGGTAACCTTGCATCCACTTTTTGACAGAATATATCCTTTCAACTGAAAATCTGTATTATTAATCTCACTTTTCTAAATAAAACATCAAGAAAACATATAGCATGATAAGTTTTTTATTATGTCAAGAAGGATGAGATAAGTCACAGTTGATCTGAGTTCAGAAAATATGACTGTGGAGTATTCAGCACTAAATAGGACATCTGTATTTAGACTCTTCTCCCAAATGCTCAGGAATATCACAAAATGGGGCAGGAAGGTGGCAGAAAGATTATAAGAGTCAGAGAATGGCTGCCATAAAACAGTGTCTTCTGGACAAAGTAGGGCTGCTACATTCGTGAACTCTCAGCAGCTGTGATTGCCTGCATGAGCCCAGTACATGTTCCAGCAAATCAACATCCCAGCAAGGATGGTGAGGAATTCATGAAGCCCACCCCTGCCTGAAGAGCTCACTGTAGCTGAGGGCTGCCAAGGGATGGAGACTCAGTTTCCTTCAAGGGTATGGCTCCTGGTAGATTGTCCATGCTTTAGTGGGTGACATTACATCCATGAACATATGGGCAGCACTGACCAGATTCAGTCTGTTTGAAAAAAGGACTTTTTAGATTTTCTTTTTTGCAATGTGACTTTGCTTTTTCGAATACAGAAGCACCAGACCCAATTATTAGTCATTAAACAATTCATAAAATTGCCACCTGTGGAGCACTTTCGAAAGTTGCTCTAAAACACCCAGTGGAAATTAATCCACTTTTATTAATACAATACACACTTTGCAGCTCTCCAGCCAGTATCCATGATAGTTCATTTCATAAAGCTATAATTTGAAGAGAAGATAAACCCGAAGCAATATAAAATAATTAAAAAAAAAATTTTCAGGGCCTGGAGAGATGGCTCAGACATTAAGAGCACTGGCTGCTCTTCCAGAGGTCCTGAGTTCAAGTCCCAGCACCACATGGTGGCTCACAACCATCTATTATGAGATCTGGTACCCTCTTCTGGTGTGCAGGCAGGAACAATGTATACACAATATGTAGGGAAAATGCTGGCCACGCCTACTTGGAGGCTGGCACAGGTGACACAGATGACGAACACTTCGGCGTGGTCAGAGTGATGTAGCAAGACTTTAAATATGAGGGTCGCATGCATGCAGCGCTCTCTGTTCCCTGACGTGCCTGGTTGTACAAGACTGACTCCGTTGAGTGAGTACTTTCCTAATAAACATCTACTCATCAAATTAGCTCTGACTTCATTGCGATCTTCATTTAATTGTGTTTCACTATATTTGGTGTCAGAAGTGGGCTGGCATTTCCCCTACAACAATAAATAAGTAAAATTTGTTTTGTTTTTTGGTTTTTTTGTTTGTTTGTTTGTTTGTTTGTTTGTTTTTCGAGACAGGGTTTCTCTGTGTAGCTTTGGAGCCTATCCTGGCACTAGCTCTAGAGACCAGGCTGCCCTCGACCTCACAGAGATCCGCCTGCCTCTGCCTCCCAAGTGCTGGGATTAAAGGTGTGCACCACCTGGCCTGTGCCTGGCTAAAAAAGTAAAATTTGTTTAAATTTTTTTTTCAATATCTAGTTGCAGTCTTTCTGATGATCTCTATAGTCAGCAACTGATTATCTTCTGAGGGCTCTACAGCACTTCCATTTGTCTGGGATGTCAAATGGCTCAAAAATGTGAGATAGTAGAGTGTCATATCCACATACTCTGGATATGGGAGCTTCTAGGTTTAAAAAGCATTCTTCTTGGACTATGGAGCTGATCTTGGATGTGACACACCCAATCCAAGAGCCTTGTGGCTGATCATCACGCACCCTGATTTGTTCTTCAAAACTTTAAGATTAATTTATTTTTATTTTACATGTATGGGTCTTTCCCATATATGTATATTGTGTACCATGTGCATGCATTGCCCATGGAGGCCAGAAGACAGCATCTGGTCTCTCGGAACTAGAATTATAGATGGTTGTGAGCTTCCTCATGTGTTGGTAATTGAACCCAGGTCCTCTGCAAGAGAAGCTAGTGCTCTTAACCACTGAGCCATCTCTCCAGCCCCACAAAGCATATCTATATTCTGAGGTACTTAGTCTGCAAATCAATGATTTCACAAGATACACCAAGTTTTTTTTCATGCCATGGAAGCCACCTCTCAGATCTCATGAACTTGCATGCCCCAGACAACCAGAGTCTCATCACTGCCCTCCTGGACAACTTCAGCCTGTAGCAGATGATCTTGTGCAGTACTATGAGAACCCGTTCCACTACTGCCCTATAAAATACTACTTAGGTTAACAAATATATGTGGATTTTTTTTGATCCTCTATATGACAACGGAAGTGCCTCATCTTAGAAATAACTTCTGGGTTAATCACTTTCATCCCTGGGCAATGGCCAAAACAGACTTCAGGACTCTGAGATTGATAGAGAACCCCATCTGTGTCTGATGCAGTCCTGTGGTCCCGATGGTGAGGCTCCCACAGTTGAAAAGATTCCGAGAGCAAGTGTGACCTTTGGCAGCTTCATTCACAGTCTGATCATTGACAGGGAAAATGTAATCTGCAAACTGAATTTCAGCAATGACAGCAGCTCCAGTGAGCAATTACAATTCCAAACCCTTGTTCTCACAATGGGCTACTAAAGCAGTTTACACATTTGGCTCATAAATGAACAGTACCTCAAAGGACTCCATTAAAGGCAACATCTTCACCAACTGCTATTGCAGTAGGATCTTTGGCCAATGAGTTATCCAAGGCCCAAGGCCCTTGCCATTGAACGAAAGGGTTATTTTCTGAGTTTGTTTCTACAACAGGGCCTTTGGGTACTAAAACACAACCGTCAACACACACATACACACAGACACACAGACACACACACACACACACACACACACACAGTTTGTAATTTCTGAGTAAATGTCTACTTAAATTATCCTAAGCTATGTAATTTGCTAAGATAATTTCCCATCATTCTTATTCTTACTATACTAAAAATGTTAATACAAATTCTAATAGTATCCTCATTGCTGACACAAATTATAATATTTTCTTCCTTCTGTTTGAGACAGTAATGACACATTTTCTTTCATCAGAGGATCAAGTGTGCTGACTCTTGTGGGTAGGGTTCTATTGTTTTTATGCCTGATATTTCTTCTCTTAACATTCTATTCAATTTTCACATCTTTCTCTTTATTATGGCTTTGATATACTAATCCTAACAGACTTTGCATAAGGAGCAAATGTTAATCTTATATGAAATGAAGTTATGGGTTTAATATATGCATTATGTGTCTGTTTACTCTTCTAACTACACTTGTTTTTGTTTTGCCTTTAGAGAAATTTATAGAAGCATGTCATTTTCTACTAAATTAAAAAGCAGAGATATGCCATTAAAACTTTAAGGTTACATATAATATTTAGTAGAAACTTACATTCTCAGTATTTGGTTAAAAATATTTTACAAGTTAAATAAAACCATTGAAACCAATGCTGGGATGCACATGTTACTCAGTTGAAAGAGTGCCTGTCTTTCATGAACAAAGCCCTGTGCACATGCCTGTAATCCTAGTGCTCTACAGGCAGAGGCAGGAAGATCAGGAGTTCAGGGTCATTCTCAACCACATAACAAGTTCAGGGTGAACCTGGACTACATGAGATGTCTTTAAAACAAACAAACAAAAACAATCCCCAAGCAGTAACAACAAACAATTGGGTTCTGGCATGGTGACTCATGGATAAAGTGCAAATCAGATTTTAGGTCCTAAGTACTTACATTAAAAAGGTGGTTTTGGTGGCCTGCCTGTAATCTTAGCTCTTAGGAGGTAGAGACAGGATCCCTAGGGCAAGCTGGGTAGCTAGACAATTTGAAGTATCAGCTTTGGGTTCTGTGAGAAACCCTACCTCAGCAAATAAAGTAGACAGTGGTAAAGGAAGACAGCTGATGTTAACCTTTGGGCTTCATGCACATATGTACAATACAACTGCACATGTGTGTTTGTATATATATTCACAATCACATTATATACAAGAAAGCTCCATTATTTACGTCTGGTTTCTGAAAATGGCATTCAAATTGTATAAATAAAGCTAGGCATGTTAACACATACTTGTAATTCCTACACTTGGAAGTATAAGCAGGAAGGTAAGAAGTTTAAAAGCATCTTCAGCTTTATAAGGAGCACACAGCTAGCCTGGGATATGTGAGATGCTGCCTCAAATGTAATCAGTCAATCAATAGAATGGATAATACTAAGACTCTGTTAATAAGCAGTCCCATTTGTCCTCTGTTGCTAAAGGATTAGATGATAGAACTGTCTAGTTCTAAAGAGACCATTTATACCAAACCAACATTTCCAGGGAAGTTTTCCTTTTTCTTGGAGATTTCATTTACATAAGACAGTCTTCTGAATTTTTGATGACTAATGACAAGATGGTGTATGAAAATCTCATCACTGCTGTAACAGTTATGCTACTTTTGACATTCATTTCTGTGAAATGACATCAGTCCTGCTGCTTTTGGCATTCATTTCTGTGAAATGACAAGACTAAGAAAAACTATTGGCATCTACCTGTGCAGTTGGGAGCAAAGCAGACCTTTATGCTGTCTAGAAGGGGAGAATTGGTTTTCATATTCAAAGAAATCAGTTAAAACTAAGAGTTATATTGATTCCTTCTCTCTCTGAGTAATCTTTGTATTACCCTTCTACATTACATTACGCTTCTAAAATCTTGTTTCTCTCTTGCTTCTTAGTCAATTGGAAATGCAAAAACAACCAGGAATGATAACAGCAGCCGATTTGGGAAATATATTGAAATTGGTTTTGATAAGAGATATCGAATCATCGGTGCCAACATGAGAACTTACCTTTTAGAGAAATCCAGAGTGGTATTCCAGGTAAGCTGAATGTGCACACACATTCAAATACATGTGTTGAATTTTTTTGATTATTATATAATTACTGTTATGTGAAGTTTTCTTGGGGAGATGGGAACAAGCACTGCAGAGAGGGCACCAATTACAGAATAAAGTAACTATTTTTATGGAAGTCCAGTATGATGAGTCAATGAGTTTATTAGGCTTATTTACGTAGCATAGCTTATCCCAGAGCATCTGTATCACTATGAAGTCACATCCCATTGTGGTTGACAAGCTAATGGAAGCTGCGTCATAGAGCCTCTCTTTCAGTTAACCTTCCATTTTTTTTATATTTTCTAGCATCTCCTAAGATATTTGCACTGGGTGGAGGACACAGCAGAAAATAATTGCTGCAATCCTCGATGAATCTCCTGTGATCCCACCTTCCCTCTTTTTACTAGGGTATATCACAGATTCATCACTCTTGCTTTAGACCTAGCTACAACTTTGGGGAGTTCTGCTCAATTCATTTCCATAGTTACAAGAGCCAACATTATCTCCTTTCCAAAGATGATGGTCATTTTATGCCCAAGGAAAAATCCATACTACAACAGTTATAGAGCCCTTGCTTACTAGTGTGTTATACTTCATTTCTCAGTACTCTTGAGCATATTCTCACAGTATTACTACAAATCACACTTGGATAGAAACATGTAAAATGGAGCCTGTCAGAGGTAGAGGACTACTTCTTTAAACTAATAGTTATTGACAGTGGGCACTGATTTAGGCTTAATGTTTCATATTTTAGTAACTTTTTAAGTTTCTATACAAAATGATAGATTTCATTATGATATCCATGTACATATTTGTGTATATAATTGTTCCTAGCTCCATACCACTCCTCTGCTCTCTGCTGCCCTTACTTTCTTTTGCTGGTCTGCTTTCTCTCCCACACAGTGTCCTCCTGCCTTCATTCATATACATTTGTGTGTGCATACCCAGCCCTGTCCCTGTTCTCCTGCCACAGTAAGAGCTAAAATAAAGCCACCATAGCCCAGCTGTAAATTGCCACAAACCACAGCTGAAAATTCATACAGAATTTTTGTTGACACTTATATTGTTGTTCCTTTCTGATTGAAAGACATGCTGTGCACTTGCAGCACTAGCAGGTAAAGGTACATTCATTCACACATTGTAGGCACATTAGGGAATGTAGATTATCATCAGAAAATGTCAGTATGTGGCTCCTGGCGACCCTGCATACCTCATACTGAGACCCAGATCTTCAGTGGCCCATGTACTGGATGCCACAACATTAAAGTTCAAATACTCCACATGGCAGGATCTACTCTTCTGTTGCCAAAGTCTATTGTGGCTTTGAAATTGTCTCATACACACCAAAAGGCATGAATTGGGGAAGCCAGGGACCCCAGTTTTGACTTTGGGATTGTGCCTGATTAAATATTTAATCTAAATTATAATACTTAATATGTATAAACTTAAAGTATAATATTTTATATGTATAGTTAGGCAATAACCACCTTCCTTTTAAGTTTCAAAAACACTGTTATTCCACACATTAATACTTACATAGGACTACAAAAATAGTCTATAGTGAGAAGAAAGAATGAATGAAACATAGATGGGTTAAGTCCATGTAGAAATGTGTAAGAATTCGGGACTGGAGAGATGGCTCAGAGGTTAAGAGAGGACCTGAGTTCAAATCCCAATACCTATATGGTGGCTAACAACTGTATGTAATTCCAGTCCCAGGGAATTCAACCCCATTTTCTGACCTCTACACACACTGTACATGTGTGGTACACAGACATACATGCAGGCAAAACACCTGAATATATAAAATAAAAATTAATCTTAAAAAAATTTTGTAGGACCTGAGAAAGGGTAACATAGATAGGAAATCGACCTTGGTTAGTATGTTGACCAATGGCTAAGACTGTCTAGTGAAGAATTTGGTAAAGCTTAATCCTTATCTTATCAATAGGTGTGGTAGTAAGTCTAGCAATTCCCCAGTCTCCAGAATATAGAACATTGAGAATATTTGTTATATCAAATGAATCATAGTCAAAATAAGTATGCTGGGTATTAGCCATCCCATACAAAGATAACCAGTGTTTCTGCAGACCCACCTGCTTTTCTAGTTTCTGTGTGCTGAGCCACCTCATCTCTTGTCTAATCTTGCTTGTGATCATTGTTATGTTTGTTCAGTGTCCTGTGTCCCTGCAGTAATCATTGACCCCTTTAGGCTTCAGAACTCCCCTTAACTTTATTAACACTAATCTTTATTCAGCTAGATGTACTCCAAAATCTAAGAATATGTTGATTGGATTTTAGTATTCAGCTTCATATGTACAGTAACTTTTGCAACTATAGTCTAGATGTGTATGTGAAAAAAAAGACCAAGGAAATACTAAAAATTGACCTTGCATTATAAATTATTTTTTATTTCATCAAATTATTGTTCATAGAAAAATATATATAATGCATGTTAGTACAAAGCATACAATATATAAATTTATAGAGAGAGAATATAGTACATTTGTGGATTTATTACAGTCTTAGGAGATATCATCTTTAAAGTATGGAAAAGATGAGATTATTCTTTTAGTCAAAGTATTAGGAATACCATGAATCTAGAGTTATTAGTAGAAAACAGTGATGAGCCTTACAAAAAAAATTATTTTAGTTTCCACAAAATCACTGGTAATGATTGTGGCCATTTATCAAGCCATTCACTAGTTCAGAAAGCATCACCAAACCAGGCACAGTGGTACAGGCTCACTGGAGGCTGAATCAGGAGACTCATAAATTCAAGGCCTGTCTTGATTACAGATCAGTTCAGAGCCAGACAGGATGTGTAGTGAGACTATTTCCAAATAAAAAGTCAAAATGGGCTTGAGATATGGTGCAGTGATGGGGAACACTTGCTCAGCATGTCTGAGGCCTTGTGTTTAGTCTAAATGCTAAAAAGCCTTAAAAGCCTTGCTAGCTGCTATTTTATATTGAATATGACTAACACATTTATACTTACTCATATTTTGTTTTTCAAGAGACAGAACCTCATTGTTTACCCGGTCTGGCTTCAAGCCTCAAGTCTCAAGTCATCTTCCTACTTAGAATATATAGTATAAATCATAAGGTTTAAATATTTAAATGAGTATTAGAAAATGTGGGGATTTACTGAGATGATTAAATATTAATATTATATCTTATAGTAGGTTTTCCTGAGTTTTATATTGAAAGCTATTCTTATTTCAAAGGCAGAAGAGGAGAGAAACTACCATATCTTCTATCAACTCTGTGCTTCAGCAAAGTTACCTGAGTTTAAAATGCTGCGATTAGGTATGGATATGACATTAGATTTATTGTATTATATTATTTTCTGTTAAATTTTGAGTTCTCAAGCTTATCAAAAAGTATCTTTCTTCATACTAAAATATTTATAAATAAAATGATTCTTGAAGGTCTGTTGCTGGATTTAGAGCAACCCATGGGTGGGGTAAGTGGCTGTATCAGGAACAGGGTTGCCTGTGGCAGTTGGTTAAGTTAGGTGAGGTTCAGGATTCTGGCCTCTCTGCTTGTATACATGTTTGAAAACTGCTTTGATCAAAGAGTTTGAGGAAATACGTTCTAGCATTTTGTTTGGAATTAAACCCGAAGAAAAGTATAATTTATTTCACCAACTAACATAAAATCTATGAACATTTTAGTTTTGAATTGTATATTATGATGTGAGTTTAAACTGGGCGGACTCCAAACCATACACACACACACACACACACACACACACACACACACACACACACACACATCAATGTGCTGTTGCTGCCTGTAATTCAGCATGTTTGTAAAGGTAGAAATCCAAGCTTCTCCTCATAGACTAAAAACCTTTTACCTTCCCTCACTGCAGGAAATGCAGATAGTTTTCATTACACAAAGCAAGGAGGCAGCCCTATGATTGAAGGAGTGGATGATGCGAAGGAGATGGCACACACCAGGCAGGCCTGCACTCTGCTGGGTAATGTCATTTTGTTCTTGAACTCTTAAGTGCTGGTCATTTTGTCTCAAGTAGCCTTTGTTTGGAATATTAGTTTGGTTTTGTGTTAACTGATAAACAATGCTGGGAGATTTCACATCTCACCTTATCATTGAGGTCCTGTTCCAATGCTGTGTTTGGACTTTAATTCATAAGTTTGGAATAGAAGCCATCTGAATACTTCTAATCTTGCGATCTCTTTGATTTCTAATTAATCTATACTTAGAAGTAATTCAGTAATTCAACTTAAATCAGCATTATTGGGCTGCAATATTCATTTGGAGTAGGGATAAATAGTAGCAATAATATTAATAAAATACTTATATATCTAGGATGTGACAATAATGACCATTTTTTTAAATACCTAATGTGGTCCAGGTATACTCTGTGTAATATCTCATTTAATGTTGCAAACACTCTTTGAAGTATTATCTCTTTATCAAAAATGAGAAAACCAAAGCATACACGAATGAAGTTACCTGTCTGTGGAGGTGGCCGGTCGGTAACAGTGCCAGGGCATGAGACCAGATCAGACACACTCCACAACCCTAATTGTGAAACTGCCTAGTGTGTTACTGTCAACAAAAGTATTGCTGTATGTGACTATGTATATAACATGAACATCTGGCAACATTTAGGAATTAATACTAGGACTTAAAAAATTCTCTTATAATAATTACTTTGTTGCTGTTGTTCCATCAATTGCTATATTCCAGGAATTAGTGAATCTTATCAAATGGGAATTTTTCGAATACTTGCTGGCATCCTTCACTTAGGCAATGTTGGATTTGCATCTCGAGATTCAGACAGCTGTACAATACCTGTAAGTTCACAAGCTGAATATGATGGCAGACTATCTGTTAGTTGTTTTACTGCTGGGGATGGAACCTAGAGCTTTGTACATGTTAGGCAAGTACTGTGTTTGTGACATGCCTCATGTGGGGCTTTTTGAACATGGTTCTGGGGGGTAAATTTGTACTTTACCTACTATGCCATCTCTCTAGATCTACACTAGATTTATTTCTTTCATTTATTTATTTATTAGTTATTCTGTATGTTTGTGCCCACGCATAAGAACACAGGTACACAAACCTGTGTGTGTACAGAGGCCATTGGATCTCTCAGAGTTACAGGATTGGCTTGCTACTTGGGTGCTGGGACCCAAACTCCAGTCCTGATAATTGTGTAGCAAGCACTTTTAACTGCTGACCTATCTCTCCAGCCCTAGTGTGTATGTGTGTGTGCGTGCACAACACACATGTGGAATCTAAAGGACAACTTTTGGGAGTTGGTTCTTACCTTTCACCCCATTGAGACAAGGTCTCGCTTGTATCTGCCTATTCCTGGTACTCTAGGCTTTTGGCCAGCTCTCCTGTCTTTGCTTTCCATTCCATCATGGAGTACTGGGATTACAGATGATTGCTACTGTATCCAGCTTTTTACCTGGGTTCCAGCAATTGAATTTAGATTATCGGGCTGTGTGACAAGCTTTTGTCTACTGAATCATCTCCCTAGCCTTACTATTTTTTTAAAGGAGAAAATAATGGCTCTGATTTAAACCCCTAATATCTTTTAAGGAAATATTAGTGCCCCCCCTTTATTTTTTATTTTTTTAAGGCAGAGTCTTGCCTTGTGGCTCAGGCTGGTCTCAAATTTGTGACAAGCCTCCTGCCTCCGAGTGCTGGAATTACAGGTATGCATAATTTTACCTAGCACCAGTTTGTTGATTTTTTTTCCAAAAGCAGCTTTATTGAGATATAATGGATGTTGATATCCATGTAACAGAGATATTGCTGAATTTTGTTACTTCCTTTTTCAGGACTTATTCTTTGATTGATCTGGCCATAGGCAATAACACATTCTATTTTGGCAGCCCAAGCACGAGCCACTTACCATCTTCTGTGACCTCATGGGTGTGGATTACGAAGAGATGTGTCACTGGCTCTGCCATCGAAAGCTGGCTACTGCCACGGAGACATATATCAAGCCCATCTCCAAGCTGCAGGCCACAAATGCCCGAGATGCTTTGGCAAAGCACATCTATGCAAAGCTCTTTAACTGGATTGTAGATCATGTCAACCAGGCTCTCCATTCTGCTGTCAAGCAGCACTCTTTCATTGGCGTGCTGGATATTTATGGGTGAGTGCATTTGGCTCACTGCCCTACCCTGCTGGAAAGCAGTTGTTTGTCAGGAGTGTTTCGTATCTCTGAGCACCATTTAATTTTATTTTCTTCTGGAGAAGAAAGGGAATCCTACTTGCAACCATTCACAAGTGCCTTTGATGATGGAGATGCAATGATGCTAAGAACAAAATTAAACACTGCTTAAACAAAAATTAGCTCAACTCCAGCCAGAGCCTACTTACTAAGCTAATATGTAGAATTAATTGGTTTCAGACTCTCATATGATAAATTATTAAATTTCTAAGAATATAATTTCATTTCTAGCTGCCTTCTCTGGTTACACTTCTGTAATTGTTGAAAGTTTTGGGCAGCTAGTTTTTCACTCTCTGGTTCAGTTTTTCAGAAGCGCCTATAAAGGTACTATTTCTATCCTCCATCTCAGTGTGTAATGGTGATAGTATAAACTGAGAGGCCTTAGCATAGTTCTGCTGTTTTCTACTGGAGGATGAATGAACCTCAAACACCCAAAGCGGCACATCCATAGGCAGGGCCGTACCAGGGAAACTTGGTCTCAGCTGATGCTCATCGTTTTCTGTCTTTCCAACAAACCTTGATCTGATATGTAAAGAAAATGTGACAGTGTCAAGGAACTTCCCATTTTCTCTTCCAAGTATGCATATTTTAAATGTATTTAAAAGCTATTCTTTTTCTTTTCTTCCTACCTTACTTTTTTGGTGTTACAGATTTGAAACATTTGAGATAAATAGTTTTGAACAGTTCTGCATAAATTATGCAAATGAAAAACTACAGCAACAATTCAACATGGTAAGAATTTTCTTTCTTGAATAAAAATTCTGCTATAAAGTTTTCTTTTGAATTGTCAGTCTCTGTTAGAAGTTTGATTTGTGAAATAAACTCTTGAACTATAATTATTATATGGGGTTTAGAATAGTGAAACTGCCAGGGAACTGAGTATTAAAAATTGATATAACATTAAAAAATGTCATTTATCCCTTATCTAGAATAAGGAACATTTGGGACAGATAATTTGAATGAGAGATTCAAGAAGTAAGGCAGACACTAACATTGAATCCTCCCACTTGCTGTTTGGAAGTCAGCAATATGTGGAGTTAAACTACCTTAACCACCATTTACTGTGTTAGCAAGATGTGGAGATTTCACAAATTGTCCTTTCATTGGGCGAAATTCTTCACTGAGGCAATGACAATGGGCATATTTTAGGAGTGGCCCATAGTGGCTTTGAGTTAACCCTCTGCCTCTGCATTCTAAGTACTGGGTTATAGACTTGCCACCACCATACCACCCACTTTAAACAAAGTGTGCTTGTTTTTTTGCCTGAAATGTATGATAAATTTCCCAAATTTCTCTCAAAATAATCTGTACATAAATTGTCATGATATTACTGCAAAACATGCTTTAAAACATCATTTTTATTTTCAGAGAGAACACAGATGGTTGTAGTAGGTAAAGTTAGAGATAGCATAGTTCATTTTTAGGTTTTGTTGTGTCCTTTAAAGAAAAGTGCTATGCTTAAATGCTACTGGTTTCCAAACATTAGTTTGATATGGAAAGTTTATGATATGGAAACTTTTGTATTTATGTATTTAGCAATATATATTGCTGAATAAGGACTAATAAATGGGAAAAACAAAGACAAAATAAAGTTTCCAATTGAGAAGTCAAGAAGAATCTGTTAAGAATATTCTTTTAAAATATGAAATAAGTACTAAAAAGTGGTAAAGAAAATTAAATTTTTTGCATAGAGGCAGATGGGGTTATGTACATTTGGGACTAAAGTTTTAAGCCTTTAGAGTGTTTGATATAGTCAAATATTATAAGTACTTTCATAAACAAACCATCTTTGTTTTGCAAGTAAAGCTGTTTGATACAGTAAGATAATGTGGGAGTGATCTGAAAAATGCTAAGGTTTTCCATAATAACAGGAGCAGTTTTTCACCATTTATGGATAGTTGTGAGCCATATATGAGTACTGGGAACTGAACCCAGGTCCTCTGCAGGAGCAACAAGTGCTCTTAAATGCTGAGCCATCTCTGTAGCACCCAAATCATTAGTTCTTAATGGTACCCTGCTTACCCCTTTATCAATAAAAAGAACAGAAGAAATTTGTTATTAGAATTATGTTATATGAGTGATCTTTTTGACCAATGATTATTCCTGCAAATGAGCTAAGATGATATTGTCATAAGTGTAAAATAGAGTGAGAAAGTTACAAGTGCACAAAGAGTGTGTGTGCGAGAGTGTGTGAAAAACGTGTGTCACCTTTGAATTCTAAAACTTGAGGTCCTAGAAAATTAGGTCACATCCACAAAAATCTACTTTTCCTAGAAAAATAAATAGTAAGAAAGAGTGAGCCAGGGGTCCAGAAGAAATAAGTAAAGAAAAATTTAAAACACAGTAGTGGTGATTAGCATCTGTAGAGTCTACTAGAAGCTATGATGTGAGCCACTTTAGCTGGAGCAGCAGGCTGAAGCAAAGGCAGTGGTTTGATTGCTCTGCCCATCTGGACCAGTTTAGCTTCTGTTCATATTCAGAACTTGATCACAAGCTCTTCCCCAGGAAAGCCTACCCGATGACCTATATCCCTCCTTTGTAATATCATTAGCATTTGTCATTTTATCTTTGTGACTATGGATTTCTCCCAGTTCTCTCCCAATTCACAAATACATCATCCATGTCTGTGTTGTTGACCACACGCAGTGGCTGACACATAGTAAGACTCAATACAAGCTCATTAAAGAGTGAACAGAGATATGAAGCAGTAGTGTGCATGGTTCCTGGAGCCTTTAGCAGAGGAATCAGTTGACTGGTAGTATTTGTAGCTGCTTGCACTATTCAGTGTACATTCCAGAAATGTGAGCCCTAGATTCCCTGTCTGCGAAGAATAATCAAGGCAGATATACAAGGACGGCTGTCATTTAATTCTGAGGCACCTGTACTTCTGAATATAGCAACTTGGAAACATTAATTTTTTATGTTGAAAGCAATGCCCAGCTGTTCAGTAATCTGGAAGGCATTTTTTCTGCATAGCTGGTCAGTGCCAGCTGAGGCAGTCCTGTGTTAACAACTCCTTACAATAAGTTCAAGAAAAATACATGACACAGTTTTGGTAATGTGAATTAAAAAAACCACAAGGACTATTGTATTTATCTGCTATTCAAATCAATTATAGGCCTAGTGTGGTGATGCATGCCTGTAATCCCAGCAGTTGGGAAACTGAGACAGTGTACAAATTCAAAGCTGGCCTGTGCTGCATAGAGAGTCTTAGGATAACCTGGTCTACATATTGAGATCCTGTCCTAAACATAACAAAATTTTTTTAAAAAAAAATTACATACTTAGATTTATTTGTTCATGATGGCAGAGATGTTCTGTACATGATTTCAGTTGCGCTTCTCCATGGTGCTGTTGTTGCTGAAAGCCATGAGCTATCTTGTTATGCTGGTTTCCTCAACATTCTATAGACATGTGCTTCTTGATTACAGTCTTTATGACAGTGACTGTCGCTTTCTCTATTTCAGCATGTCTTCAAATTGGAGCAGGAGGAATATATGAAGGAACAAATTCCATGGACACTCATAGATTTCTATGATAATCAGCCTTGTATCAATCTTATAGAATCTAAACTGGGCATTCTAGATTTGCTGGATGAGGAATGCAAGGTGAGATCACGATTTTCTGGAGTGCTTAAGCCTGTCAAAGTAGACGCATCAAGGCTACATAACAAGTGGGTGCAAGCAGAGACTCTTCAGTATAACGTGAGATGCTCTTGTGACAAGTCAGGGGTCACTCATTTGGAAGAAACAATAAACACTAAGTTCTTTTTAATTTGTTTACCTTTAATGTCTTTTGTTCAGCAATAGGATATATTGAAAGAAACATAAGAAATTGCACAAAAATTATTTTGAATTATAGTTCTAAATAGCTGTAAGTTTTGAATATTGGCTAGTTGTTCTGTTACTGACAAATAATAGTCTTTAACATTTATAGATGTTATATCACTTGATCCTTTACTTTATTACTGAATGAGTTTAGGTGAATCTTTTTTTCTTAATCTTCCTTTAGTTTATCTACAATAAATCACAATCTATCGTGTGTTGTCCCTCTTACTCATACGGGGCCATACTTAGTGTGTTAAGAATATATGTGGGGCTGCTGAGACTCCATGGGTAAAAATTCTTGCCATGCAGGTCTGACACCCTGAGTTCAATATCCAGATCCAACAGTGTGAGGGTATGACATACACTTGCCCTCAAATACACATAATAATTTTAATAAATTAAAAAACTTTTTACAAAAGAATGCATGTGATAGAAAAATACTCATCCTTACTTGAGATTAAAAATATGAAAGCAAAGCAAAAATGGTATTCTGAGGTTACTTAAATTTGGCACCTTTCTTTTGTTGAAACTAAGTTAATATTACATGTATATATTTGATGAAGGGCAAGAAGTTATACAACATATTTTAGAGGAAAGCAGAATCACAAACATGTATGCCTTTTGACCTGGGAGTTTAACCTATAATATACTTGCAAATATTTTAAAGGTATTTATGGATAACAGGAATATGACAATTGTCATAACAAAAAGTTAGTAACAACCTACACCATAAATAAAAGGGTAAAATGCAAGGAGTATATCGAATGATCCATTCAAGTACATAAAAACAGGAAAAAATAATAAAGTTTCTAGAAATGGCAAGAGGAAACCACCAGTTCATACTTTTCTAGATTAAGTTAATATTTCACTGTGTAGAAATGTTACCTCCATTTAACAACAAAAAAGTATGCCTTGTAAAGCCTTTATTGTGTTAAAACATTAAATATTGATCTGATGACTCCTGGTATAGGCAATTGATCACTCAAATGTACTTCATCACCCCGAGGAAGGCCTCAGCCGTGCCATCATTGGTTGTTTACTTGTGCTGATGAGAAGGAAGAATGAATTCTTAAGTTGAACATAAGAACTGTTCTGATGTAACAGAAGACTCTAGTGCTCAGTCATTTGTCTTTCTTTTTTCTCTGCAAGATGCCTAAAGGCACTGATGATACATGGGCCCAAAAGCTGTACAACACACATTTGAACAAATGTGCCCTCTTTGAGAAGCCCCGTATGTCAAACAAAGCCTTCATCATCAAACATTTTGCTGACAAAGTAAGGAAACTTTTTTCCTTTTCCCCTTTTAATACAATATATTAAATTACCATAAAATCAGTAGTCAAGTATTAGTTTTTCTTTGTAGAGCTTGCTTTCTTTAAGGTCATTTTGGGACAAGTAATCTTCAGTTGTTGGCTTCTTGGTTTTCTTTTACTTTAACTTCAGTTGGATTATATATTAAATAAATACAGGTCAAAGTCTTTTGTCTGAAATTTTGAAATCCAAGAAACTGAAAACCACAAGTGTTTTCATAACTCATTTAGCAGCCAAACCTGATCTCTGACTTGAACTATTATGAGATATATTTATAATTTTAAGCCCAATTAAGTTACTTACATGTTTAAGTATGAAAATATTAATGTTTATGAAATGTATAGTATAGACAACTCTACTAAACTTTTCTGGTATTTAAAATGGTGTGTATACATACTACATCTGTAAATGCATTCAAAATTCTAAAGTTCTAAACATCTCATAGGCTTCAGAATAGGGACTGGATTATTGTCACCTTCTATGAAAGCATAATATATTCTTCACATGTTCTATAGTTTACTTAGCAAGTCAGGGATCCCATGACTAGTTTACATTTCAAGGAAGTTGTGGAATAGGCTGTGTTGTGAGATTTCTAGAGACCATTTTATGAACATAGTTTTCTGATTATCTAGTCCTGTGAACCACTAAAATGACCTAAGAAGTATAGGATGTAGAACCCCTTGAGTGGCAAATGACTGAAAATGTTGGGTTCTAGAAGAAAAGGAATTAATTCTCAAATGGTCCCACTTTACCAAATAATGCAATATTTGCCCATCTTCCCTCTCTGTCTATCATCAGTTCCTCACCTCTTCCCATTCTCTCTCCACTTAGTCTATCCTCAGAGCAGTGGCTTTCAACCTTCCTAATGCTGTGACCTCCAAAGGGGTTGTAACCCACAGGTCAAGAGCCGCTGCCCCAGAGGAATACTTCTGCTTGATGAAGATGGTGTACTATCTTAGAAGTTATGCTGGGTCATCCTGGGAGGTGCTCTTTTTTTTTTTTTTTTTTTTTTTTTTTTTTTTTTTTTTTTTGGTCTTTGGAGACAGGGTTTCTCTGTGTAGCTTTGGAGTCTATCCTGGCACTTGCTCTGAAGACCAGACTGGCCTGGAACTCACAGAGATCCGCCTGCCTCTGCCTCCCGAGTGCTCATATTTCCTTTTTTTATTATTCTACTATATTTATTAGCTTTTTAAAAAGTTAACATATAAGATAATGGATTTTTGTATTTTGAGACAAGGTCTATGTAGCTAAGGCTGGTCTTAAATTTACTGTGCAGCTGAGGCCAACCTTGAATTCCTAATCTTCCTGCTTCTACCTCATAGTTGCTGAAAGTATTGGTGTGTGCTATGGATTTCATTTTATCCTTTTTTTTCTTACCTACTTTCCCCCTCCTCCAGTCCTTTCCACTGCTCCCTGCCCACCTCTTGTGATCACATTCCATATCCCATAGCCACAGTCCTGCCTTCATGGTACATTTATTCCGTTACCTTTTCTGTTTTCCCCACTGAGAGCTCCTCCTTACTGTTATGCTCCCTTTTCTAGTTTTATGACCTACATTCATATCTGTGTATACAAACACACATACACACATTGAAATCCAGTATCTACATATGAGGGAGACATGAAGTATTTGTCTTTCTGGGTTTGGCTTATTTCATTTAACATAATGAATTCCAGTTGTATCAGTTTTCCTACAAATGTCATTGTAGATGGAGTTTCTGTCCTGCCAGGTCCTGCAGCCCTTTAGTTCCAAATAAATACACAGAGGCTTATATTAATTATAAACTGTTTGGCTGATGGCTTACTAACTAGCTCTCTCTTAATTATTAACCTATTTCTATTAATCTGTGTATCTCCACGTTGCCTTGGCTTACCAGCAATGCCCAGTCCTCTTGTTCCCTTGCCAGCTACATGGCGTCTCCCTTGCAACTCCTACTCTGTGTTCCTCTTCCCAGCATTCTCCTGGTCTGGTAGTCCCACCTACACTTCCTGCCTGGCTACATCCTGCCTGTCCATTGGCCAAAACAGCTTTAATCATCAACCAATAAGAGAAATATATATTCACAGCATACAGAAGGACCTCCCTCATCATGTCATGATCCCATGACATTTTATTTTTTATTGTGCATGGATAAAATTCCATTACATATGCTGTGTGTGGGTATAGGTAGGTAGGTATGTAGGTTGGTAGACAGATAGATAGATAGATAGATAGATAGATAGATAGATAGATAGATGTGCATTTTCTTTATCCGTTCATCTGTTGATAGATATCAAGACTGGTTCTACTTCTTAGCTATTAGGAATAGTGCAGCAATAAGCATGGGTGTGCAAGAAGCTCTGTGGTAGGACTTAAGAGTCCTTTGTGTGTGTCTTCTCAGGTTTGCTATAGTTAATGGCCACACTTCCCCATGGGGATGTGTGATAATTGAAAAGACTGAAAAACACTAGCTGAGAGCTAGTCATAGAGCCTGGGCAAAGAAATTTGCTTTTGTTAATGATGACGACATCTATTCAAAAGTGTTGTCAGTTAAGGAGATATTTTTTTCATGTGATTTCAGGTGGAGTACCAGTGTGAAGGCTTTCTTGAAAAGAATAAAGACACCGTTTTTGAAGAACAAATTAAAGTCCTTAAATCAAGCAAGGTAACCATGGATAGACTTACTCTTATCAGGATATGTTCTATAAAATGTTAATTGCTTTAGCTTTGGTACTTTAATACTAATAATGATTTTTCTAATGAAACTTTTTAATCAAAAGTTTTTAATTTATCACTATATATGACAGTTAGTTAATATTTGCCTGGTCCTATACTGAGTACCTTTCAAATGTTGCTACATCTAATTCTTATAGTGAGGTGGTATTACATTCCTCTCATCTTACAGATGAGGAGGTGAGGTGTAGGGACTCAGGACTGGTAAGTTCCCAAGTTAGGTTAAACTCAGGCTGTCTTACTTAGAACCTGCTCCTAACCACTCTGCCATATGGTCTTTCAACTCTAAATCATTGTCTCCACAGTGGCTCTACACTCTCCTGGGCTTTTGTGTGAAACTCAGAGAAGAGGGTTTTTCTGCTCTGTCATTTTGAAGGGATTTGTTAGAAGCGTGGCCTATTGCACTGCATTTAAGTGGAGATTGACTCTGGGCCATCATGGCTGTAATTTCAGATGTGACTCAAAGTGTTCATAAGAACAAATACTAGAACCACTGCTTTCCACTAGGAGAAAGAATATTCCAGAAGGCAAGGAAGTATGATTAGTTAAGTTGGTCTGTACCACTACCTGTTGACCTTTATCAGAAAAGGATGGGAGAGGGGCACACAGTCAGCCTGAGGGAGCAAACCAGGAAGTCAGTTACCTGGTGCTGCAAGTACTAACTTAAAAAGTAAAAATATTCATGTGCACCCTATAGATTACTGATTGGCACTCTTGTTTTTCTGCCTTATTTCAAAAGAATCCTCTTAACATCTGTGAAATACCATATAGATAATAGGATTCTAATTTTTAAAATAACAACTTTTTATATTTGATTATATTAATAATATAAAGATCACATAAAGACCAAATCCTAGTTTTAACCCTCAGAGATGAGTCAAATGTTTATAGAAAAATCGGGTGTTTTTTTTTAAAAACTCTTTGTTGTTGTTTGTTTGTTTTTTTGGTTTTCAAGACAGGGTTCCTCTGTGTAGCTTTGGAGCCTATCCTGGCACTCTCTCTGGAGACCAGGCTGGCCTCGAACTCACAGAGATCCACCTGCCTCTGCCTACCGAGTGCTGGGATTAAAGGCGTGTACCACCATTGCCTGGCCTTTTTTAACTCTTAATAAGCAATGAGTATTAATGCTTTTTTAACTTATGGTATTGATGTGCAAGGCAAACTTTTTTCCGGTGATAGTCATTAAGTATTATTTAAATGTCTTTATCACTTTAATCTATAATTAAAGCATGACATTCTGTTGTTAATAGTTTATCAAAATAATTTAGCTGAAACAAAGCACGGGTTCTCATTTTAGATATGCCCATAATCAGCTCTGTCTATATTCTTAATTTCCTGTTCAGTTAGTAGGTCTTTAATCATCAGAAGGTAGCAGTATATTCAAAGAGTCATTGGGAAGAGTCAGTCTACAGACTGTTATTGCAGTTGAAGTGGGGAGTAGTTTATGGTTTACATAAGTTCGAAGGCCTTTCTTGCTCCCAGTCTTTGCAGCAATTCAACCAAGAGACCTGAACTTTATCATCTCTCTGAACTTGGAATGAAGCAGGTCTAATGCAGTACCACCAGTTTGTTCTTTTTGAAGGACCAGTCTGCTGATATTTGTGCTATGTGTTTTGAACTGAAGTTTTGGTGATAATAACCATGTAAAATTCATTTGTGTCTGTTTTAGATATGTTTTGCTTAAAGTGTCAGAGATATCCAGGTAGAAGTGTCATATGGGAAGGGAGGAATGAAGGCAGGTCAAAGGGAAAGGCAGAGCAGGTGGTAGAAATACTGTTGGGCTTCAGAACTTTATGCTTTTTTAAAGTCAAGAGACTGAGAGAGAGCATGCAGATAAAAACTACTAGAGCTGAAGCCAGATGTTCCAATTAACAGAGGCAGCCAGAAGATGAACCAGGAACAAAATCCCAGAAAAACAGCCTCTGAAGAATACGTTGTAGTTTCTGATGCAATTTTTTTTCTTTCACAAGTACATAAGTGTGGTGTGTGTGTGTGTGTGTGTGTGTGTGTGTGTGTGTGTGTGTGTGTGTGACTCACATGTTCAAGTGTGTATGTGGAGTATGTTCGTGGAGGCAAGAGGACAATCTCAGGCTACTCCTTAGGAACACTGTCTACTTCTTTGGAGACAGTCAGCAGTAAAGATAGAGTGAGTGACCAGCAAACCCCAGGGACCTTTCTGTCTTCTCCTCCCAATTAGGAGCACAGGCATGTGCTACCTTGCCCAACTTTTTATGTGGCTGATGGAGTTCAAACTCAGGAAGGCAAGCACTTTACCAATCAAGTCATTCCCCCTAGCTTTGTTAGGGTTTATGATTATTTGCTTGTTAAGACAGGATGTCATTTAGTCTAGGCTGACCTCAAACTATGTCTGTAGATGGGTAGCTGAAGCTGGCTTTGAACTCTGAACTACCTCCATTTACCTCCTACATCCTAAATACAGACTACAGACACATGTGCAACCACACCAAATTTCTTAACAGGCTTTTTCTATATAGCCCAGGTTATAAAACTGATAATCTTTTTGCCTTCCCAAGTGCTGGGGTTATAAGTGTGTCACACCATGCCTGGGAGTATACTTTTTTTTTAAAAAAGAATTTGTATTAAAAATAACCATACCCTCTTGTGTGTGTGTGTGTGTGTGTGTGTGTGTGTGTGTGTGTGTGTGTGTGTGTGTGTGATTATATTTGTGTATTCTGAACTCTGAAAACTAATTTATTACTTGGTAAGTAATATAAATGCCAAGTTAAATTGTAGCACTTACTAGTGAATATGGCATGGTATCCCAGTTCTAGTAAACTTTTCAAAGGGAAGAGATAAAAATGAAGTTTTGGCAGCCGCTAATTTAACACAAACAATTTATCTGGGAATGATAGCATAGCTAAGATTTTGTAGTGCATGGTTATCATAGAATCATCTAGCTTATTCCCATGCTGAGTTGTTATATAGAGCTACTATTAGAGGAACTAATTGTTTCTCTTTATAATATGGGTTTAGTTTTGTCATACATGATAATGTTAAAACAGTTCTTGACTTCTGTATAGCCAACTGTGCTAGACTACATTAATTATTTTGTGAAACAGGGAATATATGTATTTGTTTATAGGCAGACATTATTAAGTTATATTCATTATGGATAACTTCCTTAACTACCCTGATGGGTGGTTGGGTTTTTTTTGTTGTTGTTGTTGTTTTGTTTTTTTTTTGTTTTTTGTTTTTTGTTTTTTGTGAGCCTAGCCTTTAACAGCTGAGCCATCTTTCGGGGCTGTTGGGTGAGATCTACGGGGTTAGAGGTGCCAGGCCAGAGAGGATGTCTGATCCCTTAAGACTGGAGTTACAGAGAGTTGTGACACACTCTATGTGGGTGCTGGGAATCGAACCCAGGTCCTCTGATAAAACAGCCAGTGGTCTCAAACACTAAGCTGTCTCTCCTGCCCCACTGATGGTTTTTATGGGTCTTTCTTTTTCCTTCCTTCCTTCCTTCCTTCCTTCCTTCCTTCCTTTCTTTCTTTCCTACCTTTCTTTCTCTCTCTCTCCCCCCCTTCTCTCTTTCTTTTTGTGGTACTGGGGATTTAGTCTATGACATTATACTTGCCAAAGAAGCTTCTAAACTGTATCCCAGCCCATACACTTATAGAATATGAAATCACATGACCTTGTTTTTCAGTGAAAGTGATCTCATAGGAAAATTTTTAAATAATCTGAGATTAGTAAATAAATAACTGGTTACAAGTGTAACTTGAGTTGCACAAATGATTAATTTTATTTATATGGAATACAACAGTGTCAGAAAAATGCGTCCATAGAGCAAGATATTGCTATAGACTAGCTTCAGACCTTCTTTGTTTCAGAGATTTTCATCCAACTACAGTGACTGGTATCCACTCACTTATTAAAGGTACATGCCTTTAATCTCAGCACTTGTGAAACAGAGATGAAGCTAGTTCCTGTGGTAACACAGTGAGACCCCCCCCCATCTCCAAAAACATATGATTATGGTAATTGCACTAAAGTTTTAAATTTCCTGAAGTCAAATATAAATACACATAGGATAATAGCAGGATTTTCTCATTTTTTATACAGTCCAAATTATTTTCTTACAATTATTAATTCTCCATTAACTTTTACCTTCCAATATTGAAAGCTTGTTCATAGAACTTTCTTGCTGAGACTCTTGGGTGTTCTGAGTTCGTGCTTACAACTTCAGACACCTGCAGACCTGGACTAGTCCTTTATTTTTGCTACATAAAACCCCTTGCAGAACTGAGATAATAAAACTCAGTCTTTAGATTAATATTTTCTCATAAAATAATTATATTCAAAACCAGTTGTATGTTTAACTGACATTTCCTTTGAACTAGTTAGATCAGGTCTGTATGTAGTAGTTTGAGTTTGTTTCACCCCAAATATTGCTGCAGAATTGTTTTCCACCATGTATTTGTGACATTTATATGTCCCTTCTCTTATATTTTTTGGCTGCTAACACGGGAATTATTTCTGTGAGTCTGACTATAGCTATCTACAAGAATATGTGTTTATTAGAAGTGTCTGTAATGTGTCACCTTCAGTGGCTTATTTTCCATTTGGGGTTTAGGGTATTAGTTTTTGTTGTTTCAGTTTAGTGTTTTAGATAGTGTCTCATTTGGCCTTGAAGTCACTTCATTGCTGAGTCTGGCCTGGAACTCATGATCCTCCTCTCTGTCTCCCAAGTGCTGGGATTTTAGCTGTGATGCCTCTACACTTGGTTCTAGAGTACAATTTTCTTTCTACTATTTCTGGCTCAGTTTAAGATGCTACCAGAACTATTTCAAGAAGAAGAGAAGGCCATCAGTCCTACCTCCGCCACCTCATCAGGGCGCACACCTCTCACTCGAGTTCCTGTAAAGCCCACCAAGGGCCGACCTGGCCAGATGGCCAAAGAGCACAAGAAAACAGTGGGACACCAGGTGAGTTCAGGAGCTGCTCCTGCCAGACTCGTTCCCTTCAGCTCCCACAAAGTGTCAGGTCTTGCTTCTTCAGCTTTGTGGACAGGCTCTTCAGCTGAGGAAAGACCAGTATTCCTCCTGTGCAAACAGCACTGTCCACTTAGACTTTACTCTCCTCACACTCATAACTTGGCATCAGCCCTCCCAAAATAATTTTCTCTGTGTCTCAGTTCCTCTACTGCATAGCATGTCTGAGACCATTGCTGTCTTTGTTTTGTTCTTCGCTGTTTCAGCTCCATATTCATACAGAGCATCCACCAGTTTCCTCAGTGGAGAATGGGAACTATTCCACACATGCTTGTGTCTGTATGGGGGTGAGGGGGGCGGGGGGAGCTTTGGAAGGGAAGTCGAACACTAGTCAGCATAGTGTGTTATTCCTCTGAGGCCTTGTAAATAGGCCAGTGTAGACAGGAACAGGGCCTGACGTGGGTCCACAGCCTGCAGTCTTAACACATGTCATTAATGATGCTTCCTTTCTGTTTGTCCTTAAGCCTGTTCTGTGTTCATTTCTTATATAATATTAAGAAATCTGCAGCTTTTTAAAGTATTATATAGCAGAGTTCATGCCTTACATGATTAAATGGCCCTAGTAGCAAAATTATAATTTACATATAATGGAGTTCACAATGGGTAGCTACAGAGAAAGGAGTAGAAGAAAGGCACATGCATGTTTAGCAGAATGAACATGTAGAATTTAGACAAATGTAAATGAAAAGCCTAGAAATCTTGTTTAGTAACTACCCCCCCCCCATGAAGATGGCTTTCAATTCAGAGTTTACAAAATCACCTCCATTTATGTCAAAGGAAGAGAATTTTCCATTGTCTTTGGCCCCTAACAAAACTTTAATTTTTTAAACCTTTTTCATGCAGTTTCGGAATTCTCTTCACCTGCTTATGGAAACCCTTAACGCCACAACTCCTCACTATGTACGCTGCATTAAGCCTAATGATTTCAAGTTTCCATTCACGTAAGTCAAACTGAAATAGGTGAAAGACTTCTAGGGAAAATACTCATGTCTTGACTTTATCTCTGTTGGAGATCTTTCTGGGCTTTTTGTTAATTTGGACATTAATTAAAAACAAAGGTGGCCTGACTAAGGCTTCTTTGGCCAAGGCTTACCTGCTGCTTTTAGATGTTGAGTCAGAGAATGTATCAAAATATCACCCTACTTCATATACCAAGTCAGTAATACCTGCATGTGGTTGAGATGGTTTTCAGGAAGATAAGCAGAGAGATAAGTAGTGTAAATTGGCACATGTGCTAGACTAGTTAGCGTTCCCTCTTTCTCTTGCTGGTCTTCTCTTTCTCTCTCTGTGTGTGTTGGGTGGGGGAGGAGGGGGCGGCAGAGAGGCTAACAAGGTAGGGTCTCAGTCTATAATTGCTATTTCAACTCCACTTCCAATACCATTGATTGTAGATAGTTCCTAGATTAGTATCTAAAAAATTTACATTATTGATTGGATGGCTAGAGAGTATCTGATGGTATAGATGGCTCATAATCTATTTAAATAGTTTAGTTTCTTACAATAGTTTTTTTTTAATGTAATAAAATACAATTACATCACTTCAGTCCCTCCCAGTTACTTTCCTTAAATCCCTCCTATTTTTCGTAACAATTTTTATCAAGTATGTTTTGCCAAACATTTCTGTGCCTCCTTAGGATAACATAATTCTATAAGAATTTGTGGACCAAAGATCAAGTATATGATTTGATCATTATCATATTTATTGAAATATTACATTTTGCTCCATAACCACAAATATCATGCCAAATAAGAATTTTTGAATATGTTTTTAAAAGACCAACCATGAGGCTATACAGATGGCTGAGCTATTAAGTGCATTGCCCTTCCAGGATACCTGGATGACTCCCAGCATCCACACAATAGTTCCCAACCATTCGTCCCTCCAATTTTAAGTCATTTGACACCCTCTTCTGGACTCTGAGCACAGATACTCAAGGGTTGAACAGATCTACATTCAGGCAAACGTGTGTGTGTGTGTGTGTGTGTGTGTGTGTGTGTGTGTGTGTGTGTGTGTGTGTGTGTGTGTGTTTTAAAAAATGAGAAGACTAGCCATATAGACTCAAGGTTGCAGTTCCCACTTTACAGTGTATTCATGAATGTCCAGATGGTCTTGCTGGTCTCCTCTGCAGATTCTGCCTCTGATTTGAGGGTGGGTAGTTCTGAAAGACTGTCACCCTTATCATTGTCATCAGGAGCTTCTCTGGGGAGCAGGAGGAAGTTCCCACTCTCACTGTGAACTTGTATTAGCTAAGCCCCATCTCTTAGCAGCAATCCAAGGCCTGAGAAGACAGCTTAGGATAGGCTTGGGTAGATACTTAGAGCTTAGTCATGAAACCAACAGGAGCAGTTGTCTGCCTAGAATTTTCTGCTGCTTCTTTTAGTGTCATTTTAATGTTAATATGCCAATTTTTTAGTGTGTTAGTTCATTTTCTATTTGACAAGACAAAAATGTCATGACCAAGGCACCTTATAATACAGACTAATTTGGAGCTCACAGTTGCAGAGGTTTAGAGTTCATGACCATCATAGCAGGAGGATGGCAGCAGGCAGGCATGGTTCCAAACCAGTGCTGAGAGCTTACTTCTTGATCAACAAAAACAAGGCAGGGAGAGCTAGCTGGGAATGTCAAGGGCTTTTGAAACCCCAGTGACACCTTCTCCAAAACCACACACCTCCTGATCCTTCCTAAGTATTTCCACCAACTGGGGACCAAGTATTCAAATATATGAGCCCATGGAGGCCATTCTCATTCAAACCACCATGCTTAGAGTGAAATAAGTGTGAAATGTAATAAAAATAAATATATTTTCATTTCTGTTGCTACTACAAATGTTTCATATGTAAGTAACTTGCAGAAAAACAAAGTTGTTGCTTTTTAATTTTTTTTTTTCGGTTTTTCGAGACAGGGATTCTCTGTGTATTCCTGGCTGTCATGAAACTCATTCTGTAGACCTGGCTGTCCTTGAACTCACAGAGATCTGCCTACCTCTAAGTAGTTGCTTTTTAAAATAACCAAATGGGGCATGTTGGTCTTCTCGGGTTCATCAGTCTTTATCCCAGGGGAGGTCTATATACTGAGCTAATGAAATCTGAGCATTTTCAGGCAGGCTAAGCCATAATTGTACACTTATTACAGGATGGGCAAAGTGAGAGAGAATTCTGCATTCTTTCTTTTTAGTATGTTCAGAGGACTTTCTTACAATGCTGTAGTAGTATGTGAACTGGAGGAACTATCTACAGCTCTTTATTTTTACTGTGAAATGTCTCTTCTCTACTGTTTCATGGAGTTTTTAGTTTTGATCACTGTTCCAACTTTTGGATGCTTTCTTTTCTAGTTTATCTATCTAGTTCTTGTCAAAAGAATTTAACCCTTGACAACCTGGGTCTTTGGGGGCTAACAGCTATTGTTTTTCCATGTAGATTTGATGAGAAGAGGGCAGTGCAGCAACTGAGAGCATGTGGTGTTCTGGAGACCATCCGAATCAGTGCAGCAGGTTTTCCCTCACGGTGAGCCCACAGTTTTCAAACATAAGGGAGCTTTGTGGGAGCAGTGCTTGCTTGAATCTTTAAGCTGTTATGGGCTTCTGTTCTAGGTGGACTTATCAGGAGTTTTTCAGCCGGTATCGGGTCCTAATGAAGCAAAAAGATGTGCTGGGAGATAGAAAGCAAACATGCAAGAATGTATTAGAGAAACTGATATTGGTGAGAATGATTTTCACTTAATTGTTTCTGAAAGGTATTATCCAGAGGCCTTGTCATTCTGAGCTGTAAAAGCCCTGCAAACTTATGTGTTAAATAAATACCACAACCCATATTATTTGGGGTTGGTTAAGTAGGGAAACACCTGACATAAAGGTCAAGTGAGGCTTGCTGTGTTTAGTGTGCTAGAAGTAGTGTGGATTCTGATAGCTAGCACCAGGAAACTGTTCTAAAAAAGGCTGGTCTCAGACTTGAGATAGTTTGATCATTGTACTTAGTTATGGAAGACACCAGATATAATTAAGGAAAAGTTCATTTTTATTTTAAAGACAAGTAATGCATTTTAAAGATGAGCATGCAGATGATTATGTCTACATCAAATATTGAGCGAGGGCTTGAGATATAGCTCAGTAGAAGAGTGTATGCTGGACTCAAGAGGACTTGAGTTCAGTTCCCAGGACCCATGTAGGGTGGCCCACAACCACCTGTAACTCTAGTTCCCAAGGGATCCAACACCTTTGACCTTCTTGGATACTTACATTTTCATGCATAGAGACACACATACCTATAACTAAAAGTCTTTCAATAAAAAAAGACTAAAAATGAAGAGGTAGCAAGACAAATATCAAAGGAAAGCAAAACCATATCCGATTATGAGGGAGAAGAATACTCTCATAAGGTGTGGGATTTGAGTCAGGCCCTGAAGAATAGATATGTTTGGATAAAAATGGAAATAAGCTATGAAAAAGTAGAAAAATACAGGATTTGATAACGTGGCTGGAGAATTGCTCAAGAGCTCCTGCTGCTGTTGCAGAAGACTGTTCAGGTCCCAGCACCCACATCGAGTAGCTTGTAACTGTAACTTCAGCTCCAGAAGATCCCACACCCTCTTCTGACTTAGGTGAGCACTTGTATACACATGACATACACCATATAGACACATAAAAAATAAATCTTTAGGGGTGGAGAGATGGCTCTGCCATTAGAAGCACTTGCTGTTTTTTCAAAGGACCTAGGTTTGGTTCCCAGCATCCACACAGCAGCTCACAACCATTCTTCAAGTTCCAAGGGACCCAGCACCTTCTTTTGAACTCCACAGATGCCACTCGTGCATATTATGTACATACAAACAAAACACTGATGCACTTACATATTTTTTTTAAAAAAAGGAAACAATAAGGTGGCTTTTTACCTGGTAAGAGTTGTGTAAGAGACAGTAGAGAAATTATTAGAATAGATAGATGATGGTGCTATAGGCAGTTGTATGCCAGTCTAAGAAGCTCTCAGACTATTTTGTGTGATCACTTGGAGGGCTTGCTAGACACAGACTGCTGGCCTCCACCCCTAGAATTTCTGATTCAGTGGGTCTGGGATGGGCCCAATAATTTAGCACCCTTTCCCCCACACCTTTGTTTGTTTATTTCTGTGCTGGAGCTAGAACCCAGGGTTTTGCACATACTAGGCAAATGCTTTACCACAGAACTAAATCCTTTATAATTTGTATTTTTAATAGTTCCCCAGGCCCACATAGTACACATAGAAAATCTCTAATATGAGTCTTGATGAGTTTAAGATTAATGAAAAGGATATTTGAAATTAATTTTACTTGTGCTTACTATAAAGTAATTAGTCATAATTACTAGCCATTAATTAAATGTAATTCTTCTTTGATAATTTTTTGCCCTTTTGTAGCACTAAGGATCCCGTCTTTAACTAAGGATCCATCTCTCCCTAAGGATGTAATGCTTTTTAAGATCTAGTGGGGTTTTCTTTTTTGTTTTTGTTTTTGTTTTCTGAGTTTGGCCCAACTCCTTTCTACTTTGGGTTCAGATAGGAACAGAAAGCTGAGACAATCATGCACCTGCCTCCTCACCCAGACCACTCTAGGCCTGGAGCCAGTGGAGGCAGAGGTAGTAGCTAAGGTAAGATGGGACAGTGGGAGAGGACCTAGTTAGGGTTCCTATGCAAATGTTATTAAATAATTTTAGACTTTTCAGGTATATGTTATAGTTTTTGAATTTTACAACTTCATATTTAAGGGGATATGTGCTTACAGAAAAAAACTGAGTTCTCTATTTTTGCTTAGAATTTCAGAAACAGTAGTGATTAGTATATGTAAATTCCACTGTCCTTTTGATTGAAAATAGTTAACAATTTGCATGCTTACATCTGATATGAATCACCCCAAATCACATGAGTATCTCTGTCTACTTTACAGCTCCGCTTATGCAAAAAGTCAAAGCAATATAAATAGTTGTATTTTTATAAAAACCATTTGCAATCTGTAGAAGATTTTAAACACATTTTATGAAGTTGTATTTATATTTAGATACTGTTGAAGCAAAGTGGTAACTTTTTAGAAGCATACTCTTAATATGAACACAGGGATTTGGAGGGATTGCTTGTTGGTTTGTTTTTTGGTTTTGGTTTTTTAACTTTTTATTTTGTGTGCTTTCTTCCTGCCATATTCTTCACACTGGTGTTTTTGTTTCTTCAGCTGCTCATGGATTATACAACCTGATGTAATCTTACAGCGGGTCAGTCAAAAGGACTGTCAGCATCTCCATTTCCTTAAGATGTTTAAAATTCAAACAAGCAGATTATAGCTGCATAGGACTCACAGCCAGTTTTGGGCCCAGATATTAATTCCAGGTAGAATAATTCTGGAAAATAACTCTTAGGCTGCCATTTTCTCTAAAATCTTTCTGTTTATACAACTTAAATAGGATAAAAAAAAATCTGGCTCCATTAGTTCATTGAGATGTAGCCCAGGTTTTAGATAATAGAGTCATCCTTTTGCTAACTCTATTTCTAGATTTTTTCCCCATATTGAATTTCTTTTATAAGGTCAGTGTTTCTCTTTATATTTTTTTCCTCTATAATAGGACAAGGACAAATACCAGTTTGGTAAAACAAAAATCTTTTTCCGTGCTGGTCAAGTGGCCTATCTAGAAAAACTGAGGGCAGATAAACTGAGGGCTGCCTGCATCCGGATCCAGAAGACCATCCGTGGGTGGCTGCTAAGGAAGAAATACCTGTGCATGCAGAGGGCAGCCATCACAGTGCAGCGATACGTGCGGGGCTATCAGGCTCGATGGTAGGGCTCCTTATGTCCTCATGGGCCTCCTCTAACTCAGGGTCCACCTGGGACAGTTCTGAATAACTAACCTACCTGAGAAGGTAGCATCTCTCTCATTATGATTTTCAAAGCACAGCAAATTAACTTGCAAGGCAATTGGAAAGAATAAAATTCCACATAGACTTACGGTAATTCAGATTTGAATTGCTACCAACTTAGGTCCTTAGAATTTGTATCTCTTTTACTATGACATGGAATTTGAAGAAATTTTATATAAATTAAAATAGCCATGAATATGAGACAGTTGGTCCTGACTCTATTGAGGAGCAATTAACAGAAAAGTTCTAACAAAGAGTTATATTTCAGTGTGATCACATATACAATTTTAATTTTATGAAGTTTTAAGCTCTATGAACTTCCTTTTCTTTATTGTGAAATGTGACAGTATGGGACATCCTACTTTTCAAAATTAGAGAAACCTCAGTGAAAACATACTTCAGAAGCTACACATTGCTGAACACATGTAAGTAAATATAGATGTTTATTTGTCATGAACATTAGAATAAGGAACAGTGAGGTTCTGCTCAGGATGCCTAAGACATTGACATCGATGTTTTGCAGACATGATGACTGATACCTCTATTTTCTTTGGCCAGCTATGCTAAGTTTCTGCGCAGAACCAAGGCAGCCACCACAATTCAAAAGTACTGGCGCATGTATGTGGTCCGCAGAAGGTACAAGATTCGACGAGCTGCCACTATTGTTGTTCAGTCTTATTTGAGAGGCTATTTGGCAAGAAATAGGTATCGCAAGGTAAGATGCTATTTTCAAGTTTGCTCATATATTCCAGTAATATTAATCATATTTCTGTCTGTACCAAGTACTATAGGAACTGCCGTGAACAGAGAAGCCATGAAGACAACCAGCAATTGAAATGTATACTAGTATTTAAGTAGTTAGATATACTTGTTAAGACAATAGAAAAGAAAATATACTTCCTATTTCCATTTGTCTGTATACTTTGTAAAATTTAAAAAGTAAATGTGAAATAAAAATCACCAACTTGGTTGCTAAAAACAACAAAACTTATTTTCTCAGCTTTCTGGAGGCCAGAAGTTCAAAACCACTGGGCTAAAATCAAGATGTCAAAAGTACCACATTCTCCAAAAGCCCCAAGACAGAATATATTCCTTGTCCCTTCCAGTGGTGGCCTGTACTCCTGCACCTGTGGTCACATTGCACCATCTCTGCTTTATCTTTATATCATTTGTCTCTTACAAAAAAAATCATCATGGGGCTGGTTAGATCCCCGGAACCCACATGTGGAAGGAGAGAACCAACTCCCACATATGCCCCCCAATAATTGTTTTTAAGGTTTTTTTTAATTATGATGGTATTTAGGTCCCACCTTCATAATCCAGGATAATATCCCCATCTCAAGATCCTTAGCCTAGTCACATCTACAAAGTCCCTTTTTCCAAATAAAATTACAACTATAAGTTCTAGGGAGTAGGACACTATGTCATTGAGATCCATTATTCAGACAGCTACAGAGAGGTAAACTACCCTAATAGTTTAAATATATGACAGGTGGACAGAAGGTCAACCTAAGAATGAGAAAAGCTTAGGAGGATTTATCATGGTGAAGGGCAAATAACTGTAACATTTGTATAATTAAAGTTACATTAACTGGAATGTGGTGCATTTTTAAATACTGTGTGTGTGTGTGTGTGTGTGTGTGTGTGTGTGTGTGTGTGCTTCTAAGTGTGAGTATGCAAGTCGTGCATACAAAGATAGAGACCAGAGTAGGACTTCAATGGTCTGATTTATTCCTTGGAGACAGAGTCTCTCAATGAACCCAAAGCTCATGGTGTTAGTAGCCAGGCTAGTCAGCCAGTAAACTCCCAAGATCAACTTGACTCTACCTTTCAGTGCTAGGGTTACGGGGACATGTATCCATACTCAACATTTTATGTGGGTTCTGGGAATTTACACTTAGGTCCTCATGTTTGCATAGCAAACAATTCTTACCCACTAAGCCATCTTACAAGCCCAATAAATAATCTTTTTTGCATGAAGCATTGGAGTTGAATTTACTGCTATATGCATACTAACCATGCATCTTCTAAGTCACACACTCATCCTGACAATTACCCTTTCTATCTTAGAATAATTAATATTACTCTATAGATTGTAGATCACTGATGAATCTGTTTTAAGACATGTATTTGGTTTTTTGTGTGTGCATAGAGTGGGTACACACTTGTGTACCATTGTGTCAGTGCAGATGTCAGAGGACAACTTGCTGGACTTGATTCTTTCCATCATGTGGGATCCAGGGAAAAACTCTTTCCTAAAAATTGTTCACATTGTCTCTGCTTAATGGTCTTCAGTGACAAGAACTTTATCTCATAGGACAACCCTTTTCTTCTAAGTTGTATAAAAGTTTAAGAGGCTATCATGACTTTAAAAAAAAGTAGGATTACTTTATTTTACATTTTTTTTTGTTTTGTTTTTAGCTTTCCCTTTAAAGCTCTGTGCCTTTACCTTGGCATCCATAACAGATTCCTGTTGCATTAGAAACAACAGCAGTAGTATATCATACTAGAATAATACACTTCAAATGTGGCAGACAAGAGACAGGCGGACCTCCATGGGTTCAGTGCCAGCCTGGCCAATATAGTAAGTTCCAGGACAACCAGGGCTACCTAGAAAATCCCTGTTTCAAACAAACAAACAAACAAACAAACAAAAACAATGCCACCTTCAGAGTTTCAGGAGTGGAGTCAATGGGTTATTAATAACCTTTCACTATCTCAGGTGTCAGCCTGTCAGCCAGCTTGCTGGTCATCCCCATGACCTCCAGTTCAGGTCCATAGTGAAGCAGTGTAGTGGGACAATCTTTTATTTTAAAAGCACATAGTTCATAAAGTACCTAGTTCTTAGTTTTATAAGACCTCTTGCCAGCAAAAATAGTACACCAATAAGGAAACTGATGCATTTTTTTGTGTTCTTTATAGAACTTTTCTCCTTTTTGCAATGTGGTATTTTTTATTTTGACTGCTTCCAATTCTATATATTGTTTATAGTTGCTTACAAGTGTGTGTGTGTGTGTGTGTGTGTGTGTGTGTGTGTGTGTGTGTGTGTGTGTGATAAAATGTAACTAGGAAAGTGGACATTGAAAGGTGAATTTGAGAAATGTGTCTTTTTTAAATGATGTGCCTTTATATTTCTGTGACATATAATCCACACAAACACACCTTTGGTTCAATGTTTTGTCCTTCTCTCTAGGTATGGATTCTCAGTTTGACATACATAGGTGGATAGACTTGAACTTTGAGTCTAGTCTAGAGACTCAGGTTATCTGCCTTTTTCTGCAGATACTCCGTGAGCACAAAGCAGTCATTATTCAGAAACGTGTCCGTGGCTGGCTGGCTCGTACACATTATAAGAGGACCATGCAAGCCATCATCTACCTTCAGTGCTGCTTCCGGAGGATGATGGCCAAGCGTGAGCTGAAGAAACTGAAAATTGAGGCTCGCTCTGTGGAACGCTACAAGAAGCTCCACATTGGCATGGAAAACAAGATTATGCAGCTACAGCGCAAAGTGGATGAGCAGGTATGTTTTTAAAGACACCTCCAAGCTTGAGCACAGCTGGAGAGACACATGGGGTTGTTTTTAGTGGCCTCTCTTCTTGACTTTACCCTAAGGAAAGGAACAGACAGGAATTGATTTTTTTAAACATCCTACTCCAAACCTGTGTGATCATGAATCATAGTCTAATTTATACTTTACAGAGCTCTCCCACCACTGCCACTTATTTGTATCAGTATACTCTCTAGCAGTTGTTTGCCACAGCGATGCCAAGAGAAGCAGGGATATGTACAGACTCCTGAGGGGCCCACAGTCTATTTGCAGAGAGAAAACTCTCTTGTTTAACAGTAGTTACTAAATATGCAAATAATATAAAGGAATTAAGAAAATATAAGAAATAAGGATGGCAAGGAGAGATGAATCAAAATGAAATTGGGTTCGTCAGAAAAGTTTTCTGAATGAAATGAGAGGAATTTTAAGATTTTTAGTCCATTTTGTCATTCTTATTCATCGTCCACCTAGTCCACGAGGTTATTTTTTGTATTAGCCCCAAGTTCTGACCTGTAGTAGGCAAATACTATCACTGAGCTAAAATCTCAAACCTTAAGATAAATGTGGTGGCTTAAATCTGTATTACAAGTGTGCAGGAGGCTGAGACGAGAGAACTGCCTCCAATTCAAGGCTCCTCTGGATTACAGTGTGAGATTATGTCTCAAAACCAGGAAATAAACACAAATTCTTACGTATTTTTTTTTTTTTGTGTGTGTGTGTGTGTGTGTGTGTGTGTGTGTGTGTCAATATGCTTTTTTTAAGAGAGTCCCTTATTGAATTACATAGGCTGGCCTTAAAGTTGTACTCCTATTTCTGCCCAACCAGTGTCTGAAATTTCAGGTTTGTGTTACTACATCCAGGTTTAGTACATGGTTTTTAATATTACTCTAACATAGTTTCAAAAAGCAAGTATCCATTCCCTTATTTTTTAATCAACTATTATTTATTTATTTTAGTTTTATGTGCATTGGTATTTTGCCTGCATGCATGTCTGTACATCATGTGGATGCAGAGTTTGTGGAGGCCAGAAGGTCAGATTCCCTGAAACTCAAGTTACATATGATTGTGAGCCCCATGTGGGTGCTGGGAATTGAACTGGAAGAGCAGCCAGTGCTCTTAAAGTCAACTCTCCAGCACCTTCCCGTACTTCTGGATTAAAAATTGGGCAACTATGGGGCTGGAGGGATGGTTCAGCAGTTAACAGTACCTGCTGCTCTTCCAGAAGTTCTCTAAGTTCCATTCCCAGTACCCACATGGTGGCTCACAACCATCTACAGCTATAGTCACATGGGATCCAATGCCCACAGACAAAATACCCATATGCATAAAGTACATGAATAAATCTTTTTTAAAAAGTGAGGAACTTAAGAATTTATTGTGGAACTCCATGATTATGAGAAAATCATATCTTTGTTACAGTATCATATAAAGCAGAATTCATTGCTCTGTGCTGTTAACTATTTGTATGAAGAAGCCATTGGTTAGATTATGGGAAGTACTGAGCAGGTAGGAATGAATGCCCATATCCTTACCTACTTACACTAAGGAAATGTGTTGTTTCTGTGTCCCAGTTCTGATGACCAGTATTGTTGAGTTTGTTTTTTTGAGACAGGTTCTCACTGTTTTAGCTCTGGCTGTCCTAGAACTTACTCTTTAGACCATGCTGGCCTTGAACTCACAGAAATCTACCTGCCTCTGCCTCCTAATTGCTGGGATTAAAGGAGTGTACCACCACAACCAGCTCAATGTTTTTAATGCGAGATATATTATGATCATTTTAGTATAGCAAATTTGCCCAGATACTATCTAAATGCTGTAAGGATATAGCAAGAATTCATAGCTAAAATGGCATGGTATAACATGCTCTTTAAGCCCAGCACCTCAGAGGCAGAGACAGGTGGATCTTTATGAGTCTAAGGCCAGCCTGGTCCACATAGTGAGTTACAGGCCAACCAAGGCTTCATAATAAGACCTTGTCACAAAAAAAGGAATTCATACCTGGACTTGGTGATACACACCTATACTCTGAGGCAGAGATCATGAGTTCTAGGCCTTTGGGTTACACAAGTTCTGGAGCAGTTGGACTAAATAGTAAGAGCCAGTCTCCAAAACAAAGCAAAAGGAAAAACCTAAAAGAATTGTAATTAATTAAATTCTAGAAGAATCTAACTAATTAGTATGGTTTTCTTACTACATACATTTGGTCATTCATATTATAAGTATTTACTTACTGTTACTTATGTTTGTCTTTAAAGAATAAAGACTACAAATGCCTCATGGAGAAACTGACCAACCTGGAAGGAGTATACAACTCTGAGACTGAAAAACTACGAAATGATGTAGAACGTCTTCAGTTAAGTGAGGAGGAAGCTAAGGTTGCCACCGGGCGGGTCCTTAGTCTACAGGAAGAAATTGCCAAACTCCGAAAAGACCTGGAACAAACTCGATCAGAGAAAAAATCCATTGAAGAACGAGCAGATAAATACAAACAAGAAACGGAGCAGGTAGGAAACAGTATTCTTTTCCCCATTGCCCCTTGCACAGAGTAAATTCTGTCATCCTGGCCTGGTCCATGTGACTATTTCATTTTAATCAAAGACATAATGCAAATTTCAGTGGGTTATAGTTCATACTAATGTTTCCCAAACATCTCTGCACCATAATCAACAAGTAGGCTATAGTCTTGAGATAGAACCTTTAGCTCTAGTAAGAGCAGAAACAAAGCAATGTTTCAACGATGAAATTGATGTCTACGTACTGTCTTAGTTTTCTGTTGCTATAAAAAATGCCTCAGGCTAAGTTATTTATACAGATTAGAGGCTTACATAGCCATATTTCTGGAGGCAAGAAGTCCAAGAGCATGGTACCAGCATCTGGTGAAGACTTTCTGGTTACATGGCAAGGAAGAACAAGTGAGCCACTTTTATAGCAAAATCACTCCCTTAGTAATACATTAATCCATAAATAGGTTACCCTGTTCATAAGGGCACAGTTTTTATAACCCAGTTGTCTCCCTAAGGTCCCACCTCCAGATATTAACAGTGAATTTAAGAACATTGAGAGAAGACGGTCACATCATAGCATTGGTTACAGACTCTTAGTATAGACTTCATGAGATGTAGAGTCCTTACTCTTGATAAGGGATCCTGAGATTCTGAGACAGATAAAACAGGTAACTATTAGTACCTGACATTATAGTAAGAGTTCCTACAGAAACCTGTGTTAAACTATGTTAAGTCCATGTTGGAGAAATCTAGGCAGGAGCTGCTAAGCAGATGGAACTCTCCAAATGTTCAGTCTCATCCATGCTTCCATGCTATGAATTTAACATGTTAAAATTTGTTGAGCATGGGAAATTGTAGGGCTTCCAATGGTAAAGAAGTGCATTTAAACATTTCTAAAAGACCCATCCAGTTGGGCTTCCTGAGAAGTAGTAATTGATTTGAATGAGTCTACAGGGATCACCATCTCTAAGAGAAAACAGCTGAATTGTCAACTGCAACTCAATAATCCTCACTTGCTTCTTCTATTCTGAATCTGAACATGGACAGCAGCCTTTTCAGGAAGAGCTTAGGTGAACTACAGGCAAAGCAGTGTAGCCAGAAAATCTGCTGCCCTATCATCATGGTGCTCATGGTCCATAGATTCCTCCTGCATCTGAGTGAGACTCCGACTCTGTACATAGGAACTGCAGTGTTTTTTCTTGCATAATTCAAATATGCAATTTAAAGGATACCCTTGAGCATTTAAGATCTCTTTTCTTCCTCAGTCTCTGAAAGCTTTCAAGATTCCTCTGGGAAGATGCCTTTCTTTTTTCTTTCTTTCCTCTGTGTGTGTGTGTGTGTGTGTGTGTGTGTGTGTGTGTGTGTGTGTGTGTGTGTGTCTGTGTCTGTGTCTGTGTCTGTGTCTGTGTGTGTTGGTGGAGATCGACCCTCTTAAAACCCCATTACCCTCTCAAAAAGGAAGGCAAGGTGCAAGATGGACTGATCAGAGAGAACCAAAGGGTCAGAGAACCTCAGGGCTTCTACAGTCCAAATATTGATTTCTCTGCTGTGCCAAATTGTGTTAGAAGGTGGTAGATGCCAGCCCAAGTAGAAAGATAAGAAAAGATACTGAAATGAAACTGACTCAAGCAGCTGTGTGAGACCACCACCGAATCTTTTCTCTCTATTCAGGCCTGACTTGCAAACCATGTCTTTTTCTTCTGGCTTGGTTCTCCAAAGTTAATGGAGACTTTTGGGCAAAAGCCTGGACATCTAGCAGCTTCTCCAGACTAGGCTGTGCCACAAGACCTGATATATCAATTAAAGCGACAGATAATGGTGAAAAGCAGAGAAAGATATTCAATGAAGGACAAATAAAGGTCCTGTAACCCAGAACCCATCTTTGTTTTTGTTTTGTTTTTTTAATTGTAGTAAAATATATTAGATAAAATATACTTTTTCTACTTATTAATTTCTATTGAAACAAAGTCTCACTGTATAGGCCTAAGCTGGCCTGGATTTACTGTGTAGACCAAGCCCATCTCAAACTCATAGAGATCTGACTGCCTCTGCCTCCCAGATGCTGGGATTGAAGGCATGTGTCACAATGCCTGGCCCTATTTCCATCATTTCTTAAGCATTATAAGGAAATAATACATCAATATTATTCTAAGATCAGTATTTATTGAAGCAAAAAATTTTTAAAAAAGGATCAGTTTTTACAAAATTTCTAAAAGGTGTCACATAGAAAATTCTCTCTAAAAATATAAATGAGAGTATCAGAAAGCATTTAGTGAGTTTCTAAAGTTAAATGCTTTTACAGGTCAGGGAGAACTACCTAGAAACAGTATGCTCATAAAAACACAGCAGCTGCCAACACAAAATTGGCTAGTCAATAGTCCAGCTTTACTAAGTGTCTGCAGCTGTGCACTTGCAGCGTTCTCTGATGTGTGACCCAAACTTTAAACTGCTAAACAGCTTTGTGCTAGTGGTTCTGCTACTAGTCCTACCCTACTAGGGTTTGTGAAAGCCAAGCCTAAGGCTGCCTCCTGGTCTGGAACTGCATTCTACCAGGAACTGCATTCAACTGCTCCAGCTCTAGAAAGTTGGCCTTTTTACTTAGCATTTTGTTTCTACTTAGTGTGCTGGCTGCTCAATGTCTCACTGTACAGCAGAGCCTATTAAAGGAGCCATGTCTGTTTTGTTTTGTTGCATCTTTCTTGGCCCCTTTGTGGCTATTTGGGCACCACATTGAGAAACCTTGATGGCTAATCTTAGTTGTCACACTTGAAAGGGGGAATCTCAAAGAATATCCTCTATCAGAATTTCCTTGAGCATGCCTGTGGGGTGTTTTCTCCATTACTAATTGATGTGGGAGGGCCCAGCCCACTGTGATTGGTACCAACCCTAGGTATGTGGGCCTGGGCTATATAAGAAAGATAGTTGAGTATGAGCCTAGGAGCAAGCTTAACTCTATGGTTTCTTCTTTAAATTCCTGCCTTGGCTTTCCCTGATGATGGACTGTGACCTGGACATGTAAGATGAAATAAACCCTTTCCTTTGGTTAGAGCATTCTATCACAGCAATAGAAGTCAAAATAGAACAAGGTGGTATCATTACTTTGGAAACTGATTTTTTTTCTAGATGGTAGCCAGATGGTAAAACAAGCACCATCATTGTCCTTTTCCTCCAAGATATGTCTAGTCTATTCGAGAGGACAAAAAATAAACCATTCATATAGACTGTAAAGAGACAAACACAGGTCTCTAATGGAGATGGTTTTCAAGAAGTTTCTCTGGAGAGAGTAAATTTGAGACAAGTATGACAAGTGAGAAGACGTAACTAGATGAAAACAGGAAGCACAAAGACAGTGACTGTTGTGTGGGACATCTCAGTCTACTATAACCATCTCAGTTTGGCATTTCATTTTGTAGCTGGTGTCAAATTTGAAGGAAGAAAACACTTTGCTGAAGCAGGAAAAGGAGACCCTCAATCACCTCATTGTGGAGCAGGCTAAGGAGATGACAGGTAAGGTTTATGTGAGTTAAACCTAGCACAGGACAACCAATTCAAACCTAAGTTTTATAAGTTTGACATTAAGTTACCAGTTACACAGTATTGCTTAGAGATGTCATCTACATTTACAAACAAAAATTTCAAATATTTTAGTAAAATTAGTGAACTTATTAAGTTCATCTCTGGTCTCTTTGTACTAATTTGAAGTTATTCTGTAATATCATTTGTAGCTTTAAAATTTTTGCTTTGTATGTATGAGTTTTACTTTACAGGATTCTTACTGATTTAATAAGAATTCTTGAGCTAATTTGTGGGTAGTTATGTTTATGTGCTCTTTTATATACACACACACACACACACACACACACACATACATGGGTGCACTTGTTTTTTTGAGTCCACACTGGCTTTGAACTTGAGGTCTTCCTGCCTCACCCTTCCAAATATGCCTGCACACCTGCTTATTTGCATATTTTCAAAGTAATATCATTGGGAATATTGGTAAAAACAGTACAGTAATTTGGTACATGTGTATGTGTAATGACCAAATCAGTGTAACCAACATTCCATCTCGGGGAGCCGTCCCACTCTCCTCCTCAGATGGACTTCTCTCCAGCCTCCTCTCCTGGGTTTCCCAATGCCTGGTGATCAGTTTTTCTATACTCTTTTCTGTCAGATCAATTTTTTTGAAAGCATCCTTATCGATTGAGAACACACACTGTTGTCTTTCTGGGCCACACTTATTTTTTATTTATATTTTACTAAAAACAATGAGTGTCATCCTATTAAGTTCAACTCTCTTTGCTACCAAACTAAAAATGAAAAGTAATTTTTAAGATTAAAGAGCTAAGTAGACAGACATGCACATTTATTCTATTTGTTGATTGTGGGGTTGATTAAAATGGTCATAAATAAAATGAACCCATCAGTTTGGCCTATGGGCATGTCTCTTGTGGATCACTCTCTTGATTGCTGATGTAGGAGGGCCCAGTCCACTGTGAGTAGTACCATCCCTAAGCAGATGGATGCAGGCTGTATAAACAAAGGGAGCTGAATGTGAGCCTGTAAGCAAGCTATTGAACAGCATTCACACATCATTTCTGCTTCAGTTCCTACCTCTAAGTTCCTGCTTGAGCTGCTGTCCTGGTTTGCTTCAAAAATGGACTGTAACGTGTAAGCTGAAAAACCCCTTCCTCCCCAAGTATATTTCAGTCAGTGTTTTCCCACAGTATCCAATGTAGGCGTTCTGAAAGTAATCCAGAGTAAAGATTAGAGAGTCAGGAATGAGCTGAAAGCTTTCCCTTAAGACCATGGTGGTAAGAGTCCTCTCTTCTTTCCCTCACATGATCTCTTCCCTCCAATTAGAGATGATGGAGAGGAACAAGAAGACATCCTGGAGTTAATAACCTTAACTGAAAAATAAGGTGAAGACAAGAAGCCAGAAGAAAATGTTAAAAGGGACAAAAGAAAATAGTATGGAAAGAAGGTTTTAAGATGCAGATTGTCAGGGAAGGATTCAGAATGATGAAAACATTTCTATGCAAATATACAATGTGTTTTGAAATTGACTATAGGAATGAAGAAGTAAAAATGGATTTGTCTTGAACATGTTGTTGGAAGACTTGGACTAGCTTCTACAAACTGGTGGGAATAAAGGACCATTTATAGAGTGTCTTAGGAAATTAGTTTTATTTTGTTATTGCTTACTAGACTACGAGGTAGTGGAAGTTTATCCAGAATTTCTTGTAATCTGGGTGTAATGGTGCACACCCATAATCCCAGCACTTGGGAAATCGAAGCAGGGTGGACTGCATAGCTCTAGTGCCAGGTTAGGCAGGCCTACATAGCAAGACTGTCTCAAAAAAACAAACAAATGGGAATGTGTTGTAACCAGTGCAGGAACTAGTGGGACCAAAGCTACAGTACATGGAGAGATCCATAAATGAGAGTTGTCATTTATAAGTTACTTAATTTGGGTCATGCTTCTCTCTCTTCTTGCATTCACAAAATACTTTCATGGGGCTAAAAGTTCAATTCCACTAAGAGAAACCAGAAGTCATCATACCTGTGTACATTCTTGAATTCTTTAGAGTCACATTTGTATACATATCCCCTTCCAGTTTTGAGGAGGGATTGTGTTTGTTCTGTTTAGTTCTGAAAAAGTTTACTATAATGTAGAACAGGCAATACTTCATTCTAGGTTGACTAAAAGATGCCATGCTGGAATCTAGGTGATAAATAAGAATGGAATTGCCATTATCACTGGCACAAGGAACAGCTTTTTTTTTGTTTCTGTTTTGTTACTGATTTCTTTTTTTTAAGTTTTTATTTCCAATTGTTCTTTTTTTAATTTTAGAAACAATCTCATTTTACATATCATTCTCCCCCATTCCCTCACCCTCCTGTGCCCCCCACTGTTACTGATTTCTTAATCTTACCCAGGGCCAGGGACCCCTCCCAGAGGCTTTTGCCTTTAGCCCCTGGGTTTTTTCTGTTATCTTTGGCTTCTGATGGAAGGCCTAGTTTCCTCACCTCTCTCTTTGAGGTGCTTCAATGGCTTTTTCTTGCCACTTCTGTGGCCTGGCAAATGACCTGTCACCCTTTTTCCCAGGCTCTGATCCTTTATATACTCCTGTTTATTTCAGAAACTATGGAGAGGAAGTTAGTAGAAGAGACAAAACAGCTGGAGCTTGACCTGAATGATGAGAGGCTGAGGTATCAGAACCTTCTGAATGAGTTCAGTCGTCTGGAGGAGCGCTATGATGACCTCAAGGAGGAGATGACCCTGATGCTGGTGAGTCCAGCACTTCCTTCTTTTAAAGAGTCTTTCTGTGTAACCCAGGGTAGCCTTAGACTCACGATCCTTCTATTTTTCACCTTCCGAGGATTACAGGCATGGTCCATCATACCTGGCTTCTGCATTTTTTTAAAGATGAGAATATTTAGTCATATATGAAAGTAAGTAGAATCATTGAATGAGCCTCAATATACCTTTCACCCAGTTCCCAAACAGTCACCGTATCTCTGTTTTGTCTCCTTTCCAACACCTTCCCCACTTTGTGGGTTGTATTATTTAAAGTAAATCCCAGAAATCATGCAGTTTTATCCATAAGTACTTCAGTAAGTCAGATAATTAAAGATGGGGCTATAAGATAGTATATGGTTAGTGTATCAAGATTCTGCTTCCTATATTAAATTACAATGTAAGTTTTTAATATTAATATTATATTATTTTTATATAACTATTTTCTTCACTGGAGCTTATAATTCCCAGGTTAAATTCCCATACAGAGGAAAGCTAATTTATGTTAGCTGTGTCAAGGGCTCTTCTGTCCTTGCCAATGCACTTCCACACTGGGGGCTGCTCTACTTTCTATCAGCAAACTGATTTCTCTGGCCCTCTTGTTCCTAAAAGGTAACCTAATGGTACATGTGGCTGAAGTGCTCTGAAATAGATCTTGTAAAAAGCAAACTAAGTTAGTGCCCATATGAAAGAATAGTTACTTCAAATTTTGTTGCTAGAAAGATCTGCTTGACAGAGATCCTTAAAACATAACATAAAACTAGTGTTTGCAAGGTTCACAGATGAGAAAACCTGGTGTAAGGGGACTTGAAAAGCACATTTAAATCCCTCATTAGATGATTGCTCTACACTTACTAATCTGCCCTACTAAGAGACATTTATAGTAGGAGTGGGCTGCTATGATCCCTGATTGACAAATCTGAAGAACCTTGGCTGAGCCTTGTCTTCCTTGGCCTCCAGGTTGGTAGGCCCCTCTAAAATCTCTCCTCCTTCACATCTGTCCCCTTCAGCTTTCTTCAGCATCTGGTTCCTCTCCCTCAATGTTCTTGTTCCCCACAGCTCTATTCTTTAGTATTTTTATTTACTCTACTTATTGGACAGCTGTACCAACCTTTACAGCTAATCTGTGTTTTAGTTATATTTATGACTAAGCATCACTGGTTACTTAGAAAATTCCTGAGGAATAGTGGAAAAGAAATTCTTCTTTGAGTGTTCTCTGTGCATTAGGTACACTTCACCTTTTCATTCCCTATGAGTCTTCTGAAGACTGATGAATATGGTATCTTGTGCCCTAAAAGTATTTCCCAGATGTCCTGAATCATCCCGGTCATGGTTCAGGGATCTTCACTGAGTTCTACCAGCATCTAACTTACTAGTCCTCTACTGTCTCATTATCACTGCTTACTCCACAGGTTTGTGTCATGTGTAAACAGACAGAAATTAGAGTCACCTATATTAACTCCTACTTACTTTTTAACCAATTAATTACCATGTAATGATTGATTGTGTCTGTCATTCAGTGTACTTTATGAACTTTCTGGTAACTTTTATTTTATCACAATACTGAAAGTAATATTGGACAGAGTGACGGAATAACAACGCTTTAAAAAAAAAAAAAAAAAAACAGAGAGAGCCTTGAAGCCCCGTTGATAGAGTCCTTGCTTAACATGGATCTAAAGGACTGTGTATCATTTTCAGAACTCATAAATAGGTGTGATAGTTCATGCCTATAATCCCAGTACTCAGGAGGTGGAGGCAGGAGGATCAGAAATTCAAAGTCACCTTTAGCTACATAGTAATTTTTTTTTTTTTTGGTCTTTTCGAGACAGGGTTTCTCTGTTTAGCTTTGGAGCCTATCCTGGCACTCGCTCTGGAGACCAGGCTGGCCTCAAACTCACAGAGATCCACCTTCCTCTGCCTCCCCAGTGCTGGGATTAAAGGCATGCGCCACCAACACCCAGCGCTACATAGTGATTTCGAAGCTAAGCTGTTCTACATGGGACCCTGGGGACTCTGCTAATAGTCACAGGTGATCTACATTTGGCCACTTGGTTTCATAACAGTTCATACCATGCTGGCATGGCCTTTCTCATTTGGGCGATCACCCTCTTCTAACAGTTGATCAAAACAAGATGGAGCCCTGGAACATTTGACCATCAGTTCAAATTACTGAGTGGAGACTGAAATGAAGACATTGTGGATGCTGTTTTCCATTATGTTAAGTGAATTGTATTTGGCTTATTTACTTCACAGAATGTGCCTAAGCCAGGACACAAGAGAACAGATTCTACCCACAGCAGTAATGAGTCTGAGTACACCTTCAGCTCTGAATTTGCAGAAACTGAAGACATTGTACCAAGGACAGAGGTACATTTATTTGTCACTAAAAGTAAGATGTGCATGCTTCTTAGGAATGGACTTTGGGAGCCCATTTCACATAGAGGGATACCTAGACACACAGGGGTGAGCCTAGGCCCTATCCCAAAGGATGTGACAGACTCTGAAGACCCCCCCTATAGAAGGCCTCATCCTCCCTGGGGAGCAGAAAGGATATGGGATAGGTAGGCTATTAGTTTGGGGGAGGGGGCAGGGGAGGAGGTGAGGCAGAGGGAACTGGGATTGACATGTAAAATAATCTTGTCTCTAAATTTAAAATGGAGAAAAATAAATAATTAACAAAAAAAGATGTGCATGTTTCTGTTGATAGACAGCATTTCTAGTAATCGGCTCATGCATTCCTAACCAGTTGCATGTATACATATCTATTGCACGTGTGTTTGCCAATACATATACTAATTTTTGTCTGTTTTGGTGGTAGAATTGAACCAAGAACTTTATACATATAACAAGCATGTGCTCTATCACTGAGCAGTAACGCTAGTCCCATATTATACTTTTAATGGAAGTTCTATAGCAGTAGTTTCTTTGCTGTCTCCATCACAATTGTTCCACAAGCAGTTTCTACAGAGAACTCAGCTGCTGGCTGCATTTGCTGTGGTGCTCTCGAAGCATCTATAGGGCTGCTGTGTGTTGGTTTGAAACCATTGCTTTTCCCTGCTTCTATAGGCTGTTGGAGTCCTGATTTCCTCACAGCTTCCCACCTGGGGAAAGGGCCACCATGACTTTCTCAGATGTGTTAGGATAATATCAAAATTAAATTCAAATAAGTGGTAGTAATTTTATTAATAAATTCTATTATCTTGTCTTCAGCTGTGAGACTGCTATTATTTTTAAGGTCAATATTGAAGTTTCACTTGCTATGTAAAGTCTTGGGTGACAAAGTCCTTACTAAAAAAGGGAAGGAAACTAAGATCCACAACTCCTCTCATTCAGATAGCCCACTCCTCCTCCTTTCTCATGTGGTACAGAGAAGTCAAATGGCCTTGCTATAAATAGATATGCCAATGGGACTAAGGACACCATCTGAGCACTCTGAAATGACTACCATTCATTACACCTCAAGTTATTTTGTATTTGGAAAGTGCTATTTTCTGTGTCCTACCATTTCCTATTCTCATATTCCTATCTGTAGAATTTTGTTCTGACCTAGCGATCAATGGATTCTGTATATAGCATTAACTGATAGCTGAGTAATGACCCCATCCTATTTTAATAAGATTCCTTTTTAAATGCCCATTCAAAGCCCAAAGGAATGATTCCAGTTGATAACATTCTAAGTATCAATAGTGAAGTACTATATTTGTTTATAGAATAGAGGAATTCTGTTGCAGTGTTTATGAAAGTTAAAGTTTCAGAAACATATGCATCACTAGTAAATGAACAGATATTAAGACATTTAAATGGAACAATTAAGTATTTGTAGGTGTTTTTAGTGGGCCAACACAATAGCTCAGTGGGTAAAAGTACTTTATGTACAAGCCTGATGACCTGAGTTGAAGCCCCAGAACCTATTCTGGAACAAACTCCTGAAAGTTGTTCTGTGATCGCCATACATGTACCATTTAACCTTTGAAAAGCCAAAGAATGAAATTTAAAACAGCATTGAAATGCCACTTTTGGGCAATCAACTGAGATGAAAGCTTTTCTTTGTTGTGTTATAGCAGTGACTGTTTGTCCCAGGAATAATTGTAGCTGTTGATGTAGGTAAAAGTTGCCCCAGCCCACCAGACTGCCAAGGGCTATGTTCAGGTATTTATGTTCTTGGATGTGTATTTCAGAAATTAGAAACCATCTCATTGCTCATCAGGAAGAAAATGACTAAAGTGGTGGTTCACCTGGCTATACAGTTAGACAACTGGAAAACAATTACAGTAAGCATTTTTGCTTGCTGAGTCATCTCCCAGACATGTACTCTTAATTCTTAAACAGAGTTGCTAGGGATATACATCTATGTTTTAATAAGTGCATGTAGATTTCCTCAGGCTTCTTTATATTCCATCAATATAACATGAGACAGTTACTAATATGAGACATTATTAACTTTAAAATGCTGCCAGTCAGTTAAGAGAGAAGTAATCCCTCACTATTGTTTAACTTGAAATTCTCCAATCATTAGCTAGGATGAACATGTTTTTTGTTTTGTCCTAAATTTCTTCTGTGAGTTTGACTATTTAACTATTGACCTATTTTCACTGTTTTCCCTTTGGCTTGTGAGTCTTCCGGCTTTACTTAGTTCTTATGATTTCTGTGTTTTAGGAGCCAAGTGAGAAGAAGGTGCCTCTGGACATGTCATTGTTCCTTAAGCTCCAGAAGCGTGTCACAGAGCTGGAACAGGAGAAGCAGATAATGCAGGATGAACTGGACCGAAAGGAGGAGCAGGTGTTACGAAGCAAGGCAAAAGTGAGCAGCAATGGTCTGTCCTGGGGCCAAGGGCAGCCCAGGGAGGCAATGTTGTCTTATGTCTTTCTGTAGTCCCTGAGTTCCATAGCTATGCTGCACTGGCTGGAGCTGTGAAGGCTTTGACACTTCACTGCTTTTTGTACAGCAGCTAAGTGTTCTAATAGTAAAAATTTGACAATTAAAATACAAAGTTTTTACTTTTCTCCTCAGGAAGAAGAAAGACCACCAATTAGAGGTGCCGAACTAGAATATGAGTCCCTCAAGGTATTGAAAACTTCAGCCCAAGACTTTGAATACTTTGTTTTAATAAGAGAGCTGCTAAGAACTTGTCTTTTTTTTTCTGAGAACATCCTTAGCTGAAGGATATTCTAGCTTAAATCCTGTCTGGGCACTAGTTCTAGCCTCTGTTGTTTCCTCTTACAAACTATTTCATCTAAATAGGACTTCACTCTGAATAGTAGGTAACAGTCACTTGAGCTACAGTAGTAAACATTATGAACTCTGGAGTGAGGCTACTTGGTTCAAATACTCCCTCCCATCTGCCACCATAAAAATCTAATTGAGGGTGAGGGGCATACTGAAGGCATACATAGGGTAGCAGTCAGCTCTCCAAAACATCCTGTGCCTCACATAAACAGAGATAAGTGAAAATGTTTTCTGTAGTATTGTTGTGCCAGGTTTGAGGAGCCCAGAGACTAACCCAAGCAGTCAACACTCTGATGCAAAAGCAAAAGGTTTCTTTTTATTTCAAGCTGGCCAGCTAGGATCTCACTGCATGGTGGGCAAATGAGATCCCAACCAGCCAAAAAGAGAAGCTTTTAAAGGGGCACACCATAAGGTTGAAGGCCACAAATTACAGAGTTTCCATGGTTACTTAAGGTCATACAAAGTACAGAGTTAGTAACTATACATTTTAAGGGAGCTACATTTGACTGAGATAAGACAGGGCATGGGCTTGCAGGGTTACAGAGTCACAGGGTCTGTCAGTTATCCCCTGGGCTGGCAGATCTTTATGACCAGCAATTAGCAAAAGAATGTTAACAGGAGTGGTAGCCAGTTACCTCTCCTACTCTGAGAGCAGGGGATCAGGTTCCAGTCATGGCACTCCTGATTTAAGGTGTTAAATTTTCCTTTATCATTAGATGTTCCCTTTTCAGGGCCTAAGTTTTCAAACTTTTATTAATTTGAATTTTTGGTCCCTTAGTATGAGTGAAGCCTAGATTGACACAGCATTCAGTGACTGGTTCTCAAAGTCTGGCCCTACATTAACATAACCAGTATCACCTAGTTCCTTGTTGGAAGTAAAAAATTCTCAGGCCTCACACCATTAGACATAAAGTCAGAATCCTATAATTGGGGCTTAGAAATATGTGTTTCAACAGGAACTCCAAATGGCTATGATGCATGTTAAATTTGGGGCACACTGTGTCAGAGCCTCAGCATCAAAGTAAAGGCACTATCTTGTTTTCTGTCCCAGAAATGAGCAATGTAAAACTGATTACCAGTTAGTAGAGGGTTGGAAGAGAGCACTGCTGAGGATTTCAGGGGTCTACCCAGACGACCCAATCATTGGGAATATCCTGACAGCTGCATGCTTGGTTTTGCCCTTACATTTACCTGCAGACAAAACCTGGGCTTCCCAGGATTGGGACTCAGCAGTCTGCATCTGGGAGTATTCCCTGAACAGATCAGAGTAAATTTGCCTCTGAAATTGGAGTTGGTGACAAAAACTATCATTTACATTGCTCAGTCCCACTAATGTCACACTTAATCTGGGAGATCATAAGAGTGGAGATTGATGTCCTTTCTAGTAGAATTCTTCCATCACTTCAGAGAGGTTTAGTTTTCTGATATAAAGATGAGAATGAGTGAACCCCTATGGAGGGCCTTACCCTCCCTGGGGAGCATAGGGAGGATGGGGGGGGGGGCGAGGGAGAGAGAGAAGGGATTGACATGTGAAGCAGGCTTGTTTCTAATTTGAACTAATAAAAAATAATTTCTTGGGACAAAAAAAAACAAGATGAGAATGACAACATTAGATGTCTTAGGGTTTCTATTGCTGTAAAGAGACACCATGACAATGGCAGTGCTTATAAAGGAAAACATTTAATCGGGGCTGGCTGATAGTTCAGAGGTTTAGTCCATTTGTCATCATGGTGGGAAGGATGGTGTCACTCAGGCATCCATGGTTTGGAGAGGTAGCTGAGAGTTCTACATCCATATCCAAAGGCAGCAGGAAAGGATTATGACACACTGACCGTGCTTAAGTATCTGAGATCTCAAAGCCAACCCCTAGTGACACACTTCCTCTAACAAGGCCTCACCTACTCCAATAAGGCCATATCTCCCAATAGTGCCAATCGCTGTGAGCCTGTGGGGCCATTTTTTATTCAAACTACCATAGTAAACTTGTTTATCTTTTTCATTCAGCGTCAAGAACTGGAATCAGAAAACAAAAAACTGAAAAATGAGCTGAATGAATTGCGCAAAGCCCTCAGTGAGAAAAGTGCCCCAGAAGTGACTGCGCCAGGTGCTCCTGCCTACCGTGTCCTCATGGAACAACTGACCTCTGTGAGTGAGGAGCTTGATGTTCGAAAGGAGGAAGTCCTCATCTTGCGGTCTCAGCTGGTGAGCCAGAAAGAAGCCATCCAACCCAAGGTAAGCAGGTGTGCATGTTGAGTATGAAGCATGGTGATTGACTTTCATTTCTTCTGTTTTTCCTCCAGTTTGTAATGAAACAGACACTTAAGAGCAGTTTCAAAAAGCCACTGGACTCTCAGGTGTCTTTCAAGGTTTCATTTCCCACAAGCAAAGGTTATTTTTTTAATAAATAGTTTTGTAGTAATCTTGCCTCAGTATATTCTGAACTAGAGGAAAATACATTAAATATAAAAATCTACAAATTATTTTGGTACAAAGAGGCATTAAGTGTAACTAAAATTGTTTATTGAAATTGGCCTGTGTAAGTGGAAAGTAACAAAATGGTTAAAAATGAAATCAGTTTGTGGAAATTACATGCAGATGATTTCTGTTCAGTCCCAGGAGTTCCCTTATATATGGAGAAGGTAGGAAGGGCTGTGTTCACGGGGTCAACAGAAAGCACTCTACACTGTCACCTTTCCTGGATCAGTCTCGTCTGGTTCCCAGGCTTGAACTGACTGGCCTTGAGAAAGAAAGCACTGTATGCCTCCTGGATAAAGACTAAATCAGTCTTCTCTCCTCTCTCAGCTAACTGATAGTCTCTCTTTTTCTTTTTAAATTTACAAGTAGTTGTATTTATTTGTGGAGTACAACTGATACTCTCATAGGAAAAATTAAATGATTGGAAAATAAAAATGAAGCAAAGGGTGTAAATACAACCTCACTAGTAGAGCACATAGTTTAGTGACATGCTTGCCCACTTATTAAGTTCACATAGCCCATGTGGCAACTGTTCTGTGATAATGGGCTGGCCCTATCTCAACACAGTCCTTGCTTGCCCAGCTCCCAGCCTCCATGTAACACAATTTGTCTATTCTGGAGGAATGGGCAGTGTACTGAAACCTTCCAAATACCCAGTGCCTGTTTGTAATTCTGACTTTCTCCATTTCTTGTTTTTAAGGCAATAGTGAACACACAGTGAGCTAGGGTGTGAGTCAGCCCAGCCAGCTATGGTTTGTTTGTTCTACCTCCAGAGAGCTCTGGGAGGCTTTCTTGGACAATTGCCCTCCCAAAGGCCACTACTTGAACTCTTCAAAGATTTAGTATGAAGTCTGACCCAGATACATCAACAGCAGAGTTACTCTTTTACACACCCAAGCATTTTGCAACAAGGAACATTTTTAAACAAAACAACTCAGAAAAGAACATAAGCATTAGAAATAGGAGTTCCAGCCAGGTGGTGGTAGTGCACACCTTTAATCCTGGCACTTGGGAGGCAGAGGCAGAGGCAGGCAGATTTCTGTGAATTCGAGGCCATCCTGGTCTCCAGAGCAAGTTCCAGGACAGCCAAGGCCACACAGAGAAACCCTGTCTTGAAAAACGGAAAAAAAAAAAAAAAAAAAAAAAAAAAAAAAGGGTGGGGGGGGGGGGGGGAGAGAAGAAATAGGAGTTGCTATCTCATACACATATATTGATGTCTACCTTATGACATCAATTTTGTGAATGCTAATGCATTAGAGTTAGTTTTAGAAGAAACAAGGCATAGCTGTTAAATTAACTCTTGTCTAGAGTCAGTGAAAGTATCTATTCATGAAGCTAAAGATTTATTGTTTTTTGCATTTTTGTGCTTGCCATCATGTGATTTTTCAGGATGACAAGGTAAATTGTACATGTTTTTAATATTTAGTAAGTACTTCTGTTTAATCCTAACATTGGTTTGCAGGTCTTGGTGCTTTATGACCAGGTCTATTTTATTTGTACTGTTTTTTAAGATTTATTTATTCATTATTTGTCTTTCTGTGAGTATGTATAAATGAGTGCCAGAAGAGGGCATCGTGTGTCCTCCTCTATCATTGTCCATTTATTCTAGTGATTCTCCCTGACCTGAGGCTTTCATTTCCTTACCTAGACTAGAAGCCAATGAACCCCAGCAATGCCCTGGCTCCACCCCCTAAGAATCTGGGTTACAGACATGTGTGGAATGTCTAGTTTGTTACATGGGTGCTGAGAGCTGAACTCAGGTCCTCATGATTGAGAATCAAACCCTCTTAAGTGATGATACAGCTCTCCAGCCCTCTCTGCCTTTTTTGCTTTAAGGTCTCATATAGCCCAAGTTGGCCTCAAACTCACTGTATAGTTGAAGATGTCTTTGAACTCGCGGTCATCCTGCCTCCACCTCCTGAGTGTGCTGAGTACAGGTATAAGCTGCCATACCCTACTTCCTTTTTACTTACTAATTTCCTATTTGACATATTCCTATACGAAGTCACTAGGAAAAACTGTGATTGTAGTACCTTCAGATCTGACTTGTAACTTATAGTCATCTCTGTGACTCACTCTTGTAACTCTGGTGTCATGTACAAGTTGTGGCAGGGAGAAAGCCCTTCACTTGGAGCACTCTTAAATGGACAGATCTCCTGGGTACCACATCAAACAAGGTTGCACTCTTTACTGCCACTTTCCCCTCCCTAAGGACAAAGCCCATAGCTAGAATGAAAAGTAACTCTTGTGAAGTTGCAGAGTTGAATTTCTCTACTCTTGTGGTTTCAACTGTTGAGCGATAGTGGGATGCTACATATATGATGCAGCCTTTTCAGAATTTTGAGTCACTGCATATAGGAAACACAGGGAACAGTGAGTTAAAAAAAACTTCTGTGCTGCAGTCCAAATCTGACTCCATCTCTCAAGAACTATATCCTAGCCAAGACAGGCAGAATGAGAAAAGAAACATCTGCTTGTTCCCCCAGGACATCAGCAAATAGAGACACCCATCTTTCCCTGTCTTCCTACTAACTGAATAGATCAAGTAACCTAGTTTATCAGAAGTTCAAAAACACTTCAAAAGTCCTAAGATATTCAAGTGCAGTGTATCATTGTTTGATATAAAAACTTGAATCATTGTGAATTATGTTTATAGGTCTTTAAAATGAGACTATGAAATAGATTTTTATGAAATAGATTTTTCTTTCAGGGAATGTGAAAATTAAATTAGCTGAAATATACTAAATATATACTCTTTATAAAATAAAGCTCAAGAAATGTTTATTTGGGGCCAGAATGTAGTTCAACTGGTAAAATGCTTACGTAGCATGTACAAAGCCCTGGGTTCAATCTGCAGCACTCCATAAATTGTGCTGGTCCAGTGGTACATACCTATGATCCCATCACTGAGGAAGATGAGGCAAGAAGACCAGAAGTTCAAGGTTATTCTCAGATACATAGAAAGTGTGAGAACAGCCTGGGCATGGCCACCACACCTAACTTAGAGCAAACACTGATTGAAAGATCGGACATATTTTTAGACAAAGAGAATGACCCTTTTTAGAGGCAATTAAATTAGTAATTCTGTGTAATGTTTTTCATAAGTGTGTGTGTGTGTGTATGCATGTGTGTGTGTGTGTGTATGCACAAAAGAGAGAGAAAAAGAGGGTGTGCATGTGTCTGTGTAAGCATGCACGTGAATGTCAGATGATAACTTATGTGAGGAGATTCTTTCCACCGCATAGGTTCTAGAGATTGAACTCAGGTCATCAGGCTAGGTGGCAAGTGCCCTTACCCACTAAGCCCTAAAATGAAAAGAATATATTGTTGTGGTCCACAGATACGGAGTTGAGCCTTCATATGGAAATGTGTCATTTCTCCCTTTTAGAATACAATGACAGATTCCACAATACTTTTGGAAGATGTACAGAAAATGAAAGACAAAGGTGAAATAGCACAAGCATATATTGGTTTGAAGGAAACAAACAGGTAAGTTGATCCTTTTATCCACCTTGGTTTAACTGTATTAATCTGAGTCTTCAAGCCAACCTCAGGAAGTCAGTACGCTATTCATTGCTTTATTAGACATCAGCCAATCTTCAAGAAGGTTTCTGGTTGTAACCCAGCTTAAAATCCCATTAATATTAGGTAACTATTTATGATTGATGTCAAGGAAAATGTTATTCACATTATGGTGATGGGGAGAACAGATGAGGTAATGAAGGAATGAAGAATAGCATCTGACATTTAACAGACCCTCACAATGTATTGTTTGCACCCTAGGTAGAAAAAAATGTTACCAACTAAATGTTGTCTATAAACTACACTATTTTAATAACAGGTGATAGATATACCTCTAATATAAAGGTAGTTTATACAGATCTGAAATTTAATTTTATCTAAAAATTTAAAACCATGTCAAAAGGTGAGAACTTAGGATATATTCTGTTATTTGAACAGTAATTTTTATAAAAGATTACATGGGGAATCAGATTATGCTGAAATAAATTCCTATTAAGAAAACTTAAAATTTCGTTTTGAAGTAGATTATGAAAATTACCACATGAAGATATAACATGTGTTATGGTTAGCCTTAATGTAATGCTTGATGTGTACAGTCAAATGGCTAGCCACATAAAACATTAGAAATTGAATGTCTCACTTTCCAGTCATTTCTTCATTTATTTGTTATGCAACTTCTTACCCATTTTTAATTAACCAAAGTAATTTTGTGATAATGTAAAGTCATTTTTAATTACTAAAAATGGTCCTATCCACTTAGTAAATACTGGAATACCATGTGCTTTTCTTGACCACCATCATCTCATTTCCATCCCATGTCCTTTGTGTTTTGCATTGTGTTCTTTTACATGGAAGATCATCTACTATGGATTACCAGGAATTGAATGAGGATGGAGAGCTCTGGCTGGTTTATGAAGGGTTAAAACAAGCCAACAGGTTATATCTGTCTCCTCAAAAATGGAATGCTATTAACTTGTTTTTCTTACTAACAGTGGACTCACAACTTTGACTACTGTATGTCTTGTGCATTTATTGTCCTCATGAGACGATTAGTCTCAATAAAACTTAGAATCTGCAGCCAAATACCTTCTTTAAAATTGTCTCTACTAACAGATACTGCTAAGGCTAAAGTTGACTATAGGTAAATACAAATTACTTCATATATGCCACAGTGCTGTCAGGAGTGAGTGTCTAAAAACTGTGAATCTCTCTAGGACTTGAGGAAAGCAGTCTTCCAGCTAAAGCACAAGTTATTGGAGCAAGGCCACTAGTACTCATTACTTGACAGTAGCTTATTTGTAATGAATGTCAATCTGGGATACACATTTCTATAACAGATGTGGCCACTTTCTCATTATTGTGATGCTGCCTAAAGTCATTGTTAAGTGCCTGATTCAGCATTCTCTGTGGTTATTGTGAGATTCAGAGCCAAAGAATTCAAGATAACCACCTGAGTTCAGCAATTCACTTCCAGGAAAAAAAAATAGAATTAGCTGCATCTCTCTCTCTAACATATTCATCTGCCCTAGTGATGCAGTGTCTTAAAAATCTCCTACAAAATTCCATTTTAGTGATATAATTTTAAAATTCTTATACTGTTAAATGGGCTATGCTTGCTGCTTTGTTCTAACCATTAACTAATTAGCTTTCTTGAAATTTCATAACTAAAATATTTTAGTCTGCTAATAATAGTTTGCTCACAATGGCATCAGTAAATTTTACTCAGCAGTTGATAACAAAGGAAATCAAGATTAAGTGTCTGTTTCTTCATGTTAGTTCATGCTTGACTAAAACTTTGTCCAAAAGCCGTATCTTGTTAGGATTCTATTAGACATGTAATTTCATGGGGAGAGAAATGACAATTCTGTCCACACACACACACACACACACACACACACACACACACACACACCTGCTAGATGCTATTTGGATAAATCTATAAGTTTCCAAGTAGTGCTCCAATCCATTTGTTCTGGATAAGAGGACAATATGTAAAACATGATCCTGGTTCCACCTTTGCCTGAAATCAGTAATTGTGTCTTTTCATTAGGTTGGGAGTATATAATTTTGTTTTTCATGATGCAGCTATTTATTTATTTATTTATTTATTTATGAATTTATTTTTGGCAATAATACTATCTTTGCCAACTTAAAGGATAACTTCATACAATTCAGAAAGACACAAATTTGGACACATCTGTTTCCATTTCTGCCATTTGAGTTTCATGACATTACTGGGCTCAGGAGATGCACAGATGCTAAAGAATTCTGGCTTTTCCTATTCTTGCAAAGGAACATGTAGCTTCACACCCATTAGTGTGAAATTGGGGTGTCCTCTTCCCTATAAACCTGTGTGGCCTCTCTTCAGGCTCTTGGAATCCCAGCTACAATCTCAGAAGAGGAGCCATGAGAATGAGGCCGAGGCCCTCCGTGGGGAGATCCAGAGCCTAAAGGAAGAAAACAACCGGCAACAGCAGCTGCTGGCTCAGAACCTGCAGCTGCCCCCAGAGGCCCGCATTGAGGCCAGCCTGCAGCATGAGATTACACGGCTGACCAATGAAAACCTGGTAAGGAGAATGGCGGTACCCCGATCTGCCATATGTTCTTTTTGGACAAGCACAGCTTTTCCTTGTTGGGAAAGACACTCTTCTGTAGCTGATAGAGACCGAAAGGAAAATATGAATGTGTTGGCAGAAATGAATCAAAATAATGAAATTGCATGCAGTCTGTTTCTCTCAGCAGCCTTTTGGACAATTGAGCCCTCTCAGACCTTACCTGCAGTGTCTAGAAGAAAGCCTCCTGACTACTTTCTAGGCTTTAACTACCAGAGAGATATAGCTACACATTATTTTCCTTTGATCCCAAGCATCCAATGAGGATGCCATCCAGCCTGTCTAGCCCACAAGCCAGGGAAGATTCTTGGTTGAACTAAGCTTGGGCTATGGGTTAACACTGGGTAGAGCTTCTAGAATAGGATAGAGGGACTAGAATTGAACTTGGCACATTTTATTCTTATAAGCAGAACTTGTACTTTTGCTTTTCCTCTTACCAGATTCTGAATGCTGACATGGACTCCAAAACTTCCTTTTTTTCTCAAAAATTCCTTTAAAATTTTACCAAGAAAAAAATTATTTTCTACCATATTTCTTTCTCTGTCACATTATAACTTGGATTACATATTTGTAATTTTTTAATCTATGTAAATTTCCAGATATATTTGCTGCATAAAAACCAGTGAAAGATTATAATTATAATTTTGGCATAAAATCTGTTCCTTAGTGACATGAAAAATTAACACCTTTTTAAGATCTATAATAATCTTAGAATTTCTCTGGAGGTCTAATTCCATTAGTGATATTTGACAACATAGATAGTTGTTCACCATATGTTCACCCATGTTTTATCTAGATTAGAAAAATTAAGAGTATTTTCTTTCCAATATGTCTTATGGAAAGAAGCCCCATGATAGGAATGTGAGGAAAGGGTGGGATGGTGTCCGGGCTCTTCAGCATGACTGAACCTTATTGCTTGATGGGAAATGCTTCTGAGTCACAAAGTATTCTTTAAAAGTTGTGTTTTACTCTTGTTGCTTAAATAACTAACAATGCTTTTGATGATTAAGAATTGATAAATGTGTGGAATAATATTGATTGATCAGTCTACAGATTCTTTGTTTCTGAATCTTTGTCTTAAAATGCTAAGTGATCTGTGAAATAGGTTCTTTTCTCAGTGGTAGATTCTCAGTTGTTCACTAAGTTAATCAAGTGTTGCCCTTACAGCCTGTCTGTACTATTAATATTCTTGGAAAATTTTGTACCTAATGTAGAAACAATCAAGCCCTACACTCTAAATAGAAGACTCTAATAGTTTGTTTTAGGCTACCCTTTGCAGATCAGCTGCCTGTGCCATTACACTGACTGCTAATTCAAAGAATATTATCAAACTCAAGAGATGGAAGGATATGCCTTCTTAGGCTATCTAGAGTTTCTTAGTCTTAATTATGCATTTTTTAGGATTCACTTGATCAGAATATTAAGGCAACAGTATGTCTGGGCTTAGTGCTTCTGAAGTTTTGCCTTGCATACACCCCCCCCACACACACACACATACTCACAACATGCCTATACATATAGGAATGGCTTTCTTTCTCCTCTAGTGTACAGGCTTCACAGGCCTACCCCATGCTGCCTCTCACCAGCTCCACCAGTTCCGAAGGGTAGTGGAGTGCTAGCAGCACTCCTGCCTTTTCCCCCCCGCCTTTTTTTTTTTTTTTTTTTTTTTTTTATTTATTTGTTGCCTTCCTTGCTCTTGCTGCTCTGCTTGTAGCTGAGCAGTGTAGCAGCTTGGGAGGAGTAAAGGCTGAGAAATGAAGCATCAGTCTTCTCTGTCTATTGACCTGCTGAATGACAATATTGTGGCCATCACCTGTTTCCAATGGTCATACAAAATAGATCTGTAAATATGAGACTCATCTATACTAGAAAAAGAACATGGTAATGGCAGGTGACAGATTGGAACTTATGAGTAGATATAGTGTCATTACCTGTGTTTTAAAGTTTTTTTTTTTAAGTTAATTTTTCTGAGAGGTAGCAGTCCCTCAAAGACACAAGAAACAACTATCCATTGTACCTGTTTTTTCAGTATTTTGAGGAATTATATGCAGATGACCCTAAGAAGTATCAATCATATCGGATTTCACTTTACAAAAGGATGATTGTATGTAAACCACAGTGCTTTTCTGTTGTCTTCTGCTACTTCTAGCCTTCTCTAACTGAAGAGCACACTGCTGCCTGCCACTGCCCGGGAGGTCTCTTCAAAAATCTTCAAAAAATCTTTCCCCTCAGCCTCCACAGCTCCCTTTAACCGTTGTGTCAACTCTTTCAGTGTCCTGTGCCCACTGTGTGTTTGGTTCGTTGTTAACCCAAGGCTTACAGTGTGATGGAAGTATAACCCAGCACTGGAAATGTTAGCAACTGTTCCCTTGGAATCACTAGTGTGGTCTGAATCCACTCTTGTGCAAAATGGAGAATGAACCAGTGTTTTCGAATGTTGTTCTTCTCTATAACTTAGTGACAACCACCAGCCAGCTTCACTGACTCATGTTCCTTCTAAGCTTTCTTAGTCTGGCCCTGTCGTCTTCCTTCTTAGTTTTACTGAGTTTCTAACTGCCTGTCCTTTGAGAAAGGTCTTTACTAAATAGAGCAGTAGTCACAGATGTCTTACCTTTGTTTTAAATATACAGGTTTTCTTTCTGTCTCTGATTTTTTGCATTTAGCAATCAAACTTTTTTCTTTTCTTTTTGTTTCTTTTTTTTTAAGACAGGTTTTCTCTGTTGTAGCCTTGGCTGTCCTGGAACTTTCTCTGTAGACCAGGCAAGCCTTGAACTCACAGAGAGTTCCTGTTCCTGTCTCTGTCTCTGCTTCCTGAGTCTTGGGATTAAAGGTGTGGGCCACCACTTGAAGGCAGATCCCCTCCCCACAGACAGACTCTCACTACATAACCCAGGCTGGCCTTTGAATTCTCTCTCAGAATCCCAGGTATTTGGGTTATAGGCATACACCTTTGTGCTATGTAGCAAAACGCTCTTTATCCTTTTTTTGTTGCTTTTTTGTTGTTTGGTTTGTTTTTTGAGACAGTGTTGCTCTGTAACCCCTTGAACTCACAGAGATTCACCCATTACTGCCTCCAGAGTACTGGAACCAAAGGTATCACTACAACATCTGGTTCAACTTTCTTTTAGTTTCCTCAAACTGTATGTTTCTTAGGCTTTAAGGCTAAATTCAGAACTGGTAAATCATAGCAATCGTTTACACATGCAGTGTCAGTCTTAAGTGCAGCCATCTTCAGATCTCTCACAGAATATTTGTGCACTCATCAAAACTCATTTTTGTTAGGGCCTTTTTCAAAAGTGACAATGCATCTATGAGTCATTTCCCATAGGAATCTGCTGGAAGACTTCCATCACTCTGTAAAGGAACTTATTGCAGTGTGTATTTTAGTTGCCTTCACTGTAGCTGCACCTCCCTTGTCTGCCAGTTTGAGCCAGGTGGTGGCTCCACCAGTGAGCTCTTCTGCAGCTTTTATGTAAAACTAACAGTGCTGTTGCTGTAATTATGTCTGTGCTCCCTTTGTGTCTGTACCAAGCCTCTTTTGATCTTTCTGATGTAATTCTCATTTTGATCTTAGGATTTGATGGAACAACTTGAAAAGCAGGATAAAACTGTCCGAAAACTGAAAAAACAACTGAAAGTCTTTGCCAAAAAAATTGGTGAACTAGAAGGTACTTAAACATGCTTTACAGTATTTGTCAAATTTTATTTCCTGTTGCTAGTATAAACCTCCATTAGGTGAATTTTTAGAGAAATAAGCTAAAATTCTGCTCTGAGGAGTGGAAATTTTTACTTGTACATGTGAGGATAATTTTCATAGTAATAAAACGGTAAGTTACAAGGGGAGAAAATTCATTCAGCAAACATCTAATGAACATCTCTGACAGTATAGCATGTGTGTAAGAGCAAGGATTCCAGAGCCAGCTTCAAACCATGTCTCTCCTACTTCCTAGTCTCAGAATGTTTGCAACTTGCTGAACCTCTCCATGTCTCAATTTTTCCACATTCTCACTGTGAATGATAATGTTATCTATCACACATGGTTTGTAAAAACTGAGTGAGTTAATGTGGATGATGCATCTACAATAGTGATAGTAAATGCTCCACACAGCCTACTTGTTATTACTAGAGCTACAGAAGGGAACGTGGTAGAGTTTATCCTCAAAGAACTCATGATCTAATAGAGAGAAAAAAGTTAATCTGAAAATACAAATTATAATTATAAAGAAATACAATTTTAAAAATATAATTATTTCTATATGGACTAGAGAAGCTCCTTGAAAAAAATCCAATGTAAACATATTAATCTTGTCTTGTGGGTTAGTTTTTTCCTTCAATAAGTTTTTTTTTTGACTGCTTCTTAATTGCTAGACACAGTTGCAAGTGCTTGAGATCTAGCTGTGAAGACCAAAGCAGATGCTAAGTTCGCTCTAACGACCATATGACTGCTCAAGGCATTATAGAGACAGAATTTCAAAGATGAAATTCCCTTTAAATCTTTGCAAGCTCTTACCATTTTGACCACAAGTGATATGCTCATCCTAGCCATCTGTCATATTTCCTAGTTGTCATCTTTATGATTCTCATATGACACAAAGGGTAGAGAGTTCCCACCACTTGAAATATTCAAGAGAATCTGTCCCAGTGAACTCTATGTTTGCTTTTCCTTACCCCATCATACTACATCATAACTGTTCTGTTTGACTGCCAGTGTCCTATTCAAGCCCTGCTCATTCTTTGGGACCAAAGGCACATGTCACATCCTCAGAAACATGTTTGACACACCATAGGTCACATGACCCTGCCTCCAGTGTTTGGTTCATACTTTCTGTGGTTTTTCACTGTCATATTTTTAGCAGTTTTTCTGTTTGAATTGCTGGTTTCTATGCTAGACCAAGAGTGTTCTGAGCATGGAAATCTCTCCTTTTTCTTACAGTTACAAGGATCACAGTGCCTGACCTATGGTAGAGCATAGTACCATGGGTGTTAACGCTTTATTTAATATTCAGATATTGAAATGTTTGTTTTAGATGTCAGAAAGATTACTTTATAGCCATATATTTCATTTTGACCCTTAGCATTACATGCATGATTCATATACTACACTAAAACTTTTGAAACTGCAGCATTTGGGGAGATACCGCTACATATAAAGCAATTTCCACTAAGCTATGAGGACTGAATCCCCAAAACTTGCCTAAATAGTTATCAGGAGTGGCAGCTGCCTACAATGCTAGTTTTAAAGAGACAGGGTATCCCTAGAACAAGCTGGCTAGCTAGACAAGCTGAAACAGCAAGGTCTGGGTTCAGGGAGAGCCCCCACCTTAATACATCAGGTAGAGGTAGATGAAGGAAGATGCTCGATGTAACCTCAGGCCTCCACATACACACATGTGTGCCCATGCACTTGCATGCACTCATGAACATGCACACACACCATCTGTACAAATACAAGAAAGAAAAATCTTTTGAAACTCCAGGTCTACACACATGAGCTATAATGTTCATTGGCAATACTTAAAAATCTAGGTTATTTTTTCCAGAGAACTTCTACACTGAACTGGTCATCATGATAAGACAGCAGAATATTTGCTAAAAAAACACTGCTTTAATGGTATTGATCTGTGAGGTGGTTAAACTCGTGGCTCTTGGCCAACATTAGTGAATGTGAATAAATATAAAAGCCATTGTTACTTAACATTTTAAATCAGTTTCTTTTAAATGTGTTTTTACCAGTGAGCTAAACTCTCAACCTCTGAAATGTAATTGAAGAGATAAGTTAAAATATTTCAAGATGCTACTCATTTTGGCCATTGTCAATTAGAAATCTAATCTTTCAGTTAAACTATCCTGAAAGCCAAGCAAAAAATAACATTTATGCTAGCAGCTCATGGGTTAAACAAGAAAAGACATATTAGATCTTAATAAGGTTTATATTTTGAGTTAAGTGATTTATATCTAGAGGTTAAAATGAAATAGGCACAACATGACAAGCTCTTCCAACACTCTCTCTTCTTATCCACATCTGTGTTTTACAGAAAAATACCAGAGTCTTTGTGCAACAAAAAAACAAAGTTTGGTTTTTTTCCTTAAATGTGTTAAAACATATTTAAACCCCTTTGCCTTAATGTAAAATAGCAAGACTCCTGTCTCTCTTGTGGGCTATATTACATTAAGGACAATTTTTTTAAAAAGAAACTTTTTAAAAGAAAAATGTAAACATGTATAATTTTTAGCAGAAATTATGCAGCTAAGTAGAGTCTTTCAAAATCTTGTGTGCACGGTGCTCTATTTTAATCCAGGAGTGGGTGTTACCTCTCCACTCTCATTTTAAAAAAATTAGACCTGAAATATTCTAGAAGCCAGTAACTTTTTTGATACAAGACAAACAAAACCCCAGGAGCTGTAGTTAGATCATAGGTCTAGAACCTCAGCCTTCTGGTTTCTCTGCTTTAGATCAGGCTTGCCAGAATTTTTCTACTTGTAAGAAAATGTCTGACAACTGGTTAAGCCTGACATTAAGATCTTCCTGATACTTTGGAGAGAAAAGGCAAATTTTTAGGGACTCTTTTTAATTGCTTTCCTTTCCAGAAAAAAAAATTAAGGAATATTTTCCTTTTGGATTTGTGAGAATCTAGAAAATGAAAGCAGAGCTTGCCGCAGTTCTAGAAGAATGCCTGTATTAGAGCACCAGGCTAAGTGGCTGCTGACTCAGTCTCTCTGGGCTGCTCAGGCTGGGTGATTCATAAGCAGTGAAAATATAATTCTCACAGAAAGTTATTCTCAAAGGGATAGAGGTTCAAGAAGATACCTGCAGGTTCAGTGTCTGGGGAAGGCCTGGTTTCTGCTTCCCAGGTGGTATCTTATTGCGTAGCCCTCCAAAGGAGGCGCCATCTGTTCACACATGACTCAAGTAAGCAGAAGACAGGGGTTAGCCTTATGAGGGAGGCCCTTATATGCCTTAATTTAGGCATTTTCACATCAAAATGTGCTTATAAGCACTGTCTAGATGTGGTTTGAATTTGAGATAATGGTAAATTTTGAATAAATGGTCTTTTGCTTTTAACGACTGGATACTAGATTCTTAGAACTAATATGTGCTTCTGATGTCCCCTTTACAATGTTTCTCTTCTGTTTGAGAGATTTGTTTGTTGCTTGCCTGCTTACTTTTGAGTTCAGGGGCTTGTGTAGCTGAGGCTGACCTCAAACTGGCTTCATAGCTGAGGCTGGCCCTGTGTGCTAGATCCATCTGATTCAGTTTCCCAAGTGCTGGGATTATAGGCACACACTGCCATTCCCACCTTGTTTTTCCATTCCGAAAACAAAAGTCTAAATATGTTTAACTACTTTTGATTGGTAAAGATTCATTAGCAAATATGCTAAATTGCATATGCTGGGAACTTTTCTGCTGTGCTGTGGATACTTGATTTTACTGCAGAGGAGTAAGAGAGTAAGGAGCTTCATTTCTTGCAGAGACCACTTACTTTTACCTGACAAATATTTCTCTCCTTTTTTGTTTCTCCTGAAGTGGGTCAGATGGAGAACATATCTCCAGGACAGATCATTGATGAGCCCATCCGGCCAGTCAATATTCCCCGGAAAGAAAAGGATTTCCAAGGAATGCTGGAGTACAAAAGGGAGGATGAGCAGAAGCTTGTTAAGAACCTGATTCTAGGCAAGTGCTTTCTGCATGGGTAAGATTCCTTCTTGCCAGGTCAGTGCTGGAAAAGCTGCTCAATGGGATTGAAACTGATGTAATGGTCTTTAAAATTATTTTCTTGACTGGCAAGATGGCTCAGTGGGTAATGGTGATTGCTGTCAAGCCTGGTGATCTGAATTTAGTTCCCAGGACCCTTATTGTAAAGTATCGATCAGTATTGGCTCAGGCCTCCAAAACCAACTTCTCAGAACAAAGGAGATTTGTTTGCCCTAGAGGGAGAGAGGGCAAGGAATAAGAGACAGAGACTGGAGATGGAGGATGAGGGAGAAGGGGTAGGGAACAAGGGAGATGGGAAAGGGATATTTTTGTTCCAGAGGGACAAAGGACTGCTTCTAGCTAAAGGGGAGACAGCTGGGGCACATAAGAAAATGGCAGTTTATCAAAGTACAAGAGGAAACCCCTTGTTAGAATGAGGTGTTTAGTTTTCATTGGGCATGTTAATTAGGTGAGCCAAAGCTTTTGATTGTTGGACTTCAATACTTTGATAGCTAGACCTTGGTAGTCAGCCTCAGGAGAAGGAAGTGGCCAAATAAGAGAATAGACCTTGGTGGCTTGCTTTAGGAATGTAATCTAACAGGTTTTTTTTTTAGCAAGGCAGAGCGAATCAGGGAGAAGAACAAGACCTACCAGAGCCATGCCCACCATAGCTGGTCCCTCCACCTATGGTGGAAGGAGAAAGTAGAGTCCTTCAGGCTGTCCTTTGGCTTCCACAAACACATTGTGTCACAGGCCCTTATGCAGCACACATAAAACAAATACATGTTTTAAAAATTTTAAATGCTAACACTTCTTTTTTTTAGACAGTGGCCCTATCCTGTCCATGCTTATCTTAAACTCCTGGGAGTTACCATTCAGTTTCAGCTTTATGAACATTGAAGGCCATAGATGTAAGCCACTGGCAGGTCCAGCTCTGAAGTTTTATGAATCTTCATTTTGTACTGCATTGCAGTGCTGTGGTAGAATCCTTACTGAGCATTCATTATCAAAGTGAGAGAACATGTGTCCAAGATCCATTTGTCAAGCTCCCTTGAAGCCAGGCCTCTCACTTCTGGCTTTCTGTTAAGATCACTCAGGAATTTTGGTTTGGTTTGGTTTGGTTTGGTTTGGTTTGGTTTGGTTTGGTTTGGTTTGGTTTGGTTTGGTTTGGTTTGGTTTGGTTTGGTTTGGTTTTGAGACAAGATCTCATCATGTATAGCCCAGGTGAGCCTAGGACTTGATATGTAGCCAAAGCTAACGTAGAGTTCATAGTACTCCAGTCTCTGCCTCCCAAGTACTAAGGCCTATGTGTGCTTCCACTAAGACCATCGTGTGGAGGTTGTGTTGGGGAGGTGGTGGGGCAGGGATCAAGCCCAGGGCCACATGAATAGTAGATAGATACTGAGCCATCTCCTCAGCACACTCAGGAAGCTCTTGAAAATGTTGATAGTCCCCTGCCCCAAAATAAGTAAATTGAAGTTTCCAGGGAAAAGAGCTTGGCCACATCTAGTATTATTCTGGAAATGTCTCAGGAATTCCCAAATGTAAGCACAGTTGGACGACACTGTTATATGCTATTTAGATTTTTTTTAATTTCTGCTTTCATTCCCTAGAAATGTTTATGACTTACTACATTTAGGACAACAATTCAATAATATGGAAGAAAAAATAAGGAAAAAATTCCAGCAAAATACAAGATGGGACATTTGAAAAGGGAGTGGAAGGGGCATTTGGGAGGAGCTTAAGGCCTTGAGTGTAAGCCTCTGAGAGGAATGTATGGGGAAATAAAATAAGGAGTGAATGCATAAACCCTTAAGTAGTAGTGAACTAAAACCATCAGCCTTTGCCTTTCTCTCCTCCCAGCTACCATGGTGATAGCAATGGGATTGATAATTACACCTAATTTAACACTCCTCAGCTTCGTGACATTCAGTTTAGTACTATTTATAGGTTCAGAGGTGCTTCAGTTTCAACATGATCTTCATTTAACAAAGATGTTTTAGGGGCTGGTGATTTAAAGGGTAAAAAGGATAGAGAGTAAAGACAGGCATACAGTTTTATATAAAACTGTCAGGAAACACTCTTTGATGGGGTGTTCTGTGCATGGTAGCTAAAGAGAATAAGGAACAAATTGTATTTCTGAAGAAAGAACATCAGAGACAGAAAAGCTGTAAGGACATGGGTCCTGGCTGGGAGCCATGGCATGTTCCCCAAACAGCAAGGAGAGTTGTTTGGAGCAGAGTGAACTGAGCATGGGGAAGCTCGGGGCTAGACAATGTGGAGTACAATTCAGGTTTGGATTTTTGTTTTCTTTTGTTTTTGTTTTTTGAAACAGGGTTTCTCTGTGTAACAGTCCTAGCTGTCCTGAAACTCGATTTGTAGATCAGGCTGGCCTTGAACTCACAGAGACCCACCTGCCTCTGTCTCCCAAGTACTGGGATTAAAGGTGTGAACCCCTACAACCTGGCTCAGGTTTGTAATTTTATAAGTGAGTGAAGAAGCTCTTTGGATAATTCTGAGTACGAAAGTGGCATAATCTAACATGCATTTTCTTAAGTAAATAGCTGTAGAGTTGTAGATACTTGGAAATTATCTGGGACCAGGAGGTGGATCTGCGAGATCAGGTAGAAAGCTATTCCAGCAACCCAAAAAGAGGTGAGAATGTCCTCAGCTGGGGAGTAGCTAGTAGAAGTAGTTAGATTTAGGCCATATTTTGTAGGGAGCACTAACAGGAGTGATAAATTGGGCATATGGTGTGAGAAAAGTAAGGAATTTTTAAAATGATGAGGTTCGTGACCTGAGAAAGTGAACGTGGAGAGGTCCATTAGTAGAGAAGATACCAGGAGGAACGGAGAACGTGGCTTGGGAGAGGCTTGATTTGATGTGCCTGAGCAGAGACATCAGGACAGCTGATAAGACTGTTCTTCAAGGGAAAAGTCAGGGCACAATATATGAATTTTATATAGACATGTGCCCATAGTCAATAATTTCACTAATGAGCTTTAAAATACTGTTTTGGGTTTTTGATTTTGTGTTTTGTTTTTTATGATTTGCCCTGAATGATTGAGCTCCTACACAACTGTGCTTTTATCTCCCACAAAACATGCCTCACAAAGACTTTCAGGGTTACATAATTTTATTTCTCCTTTGTTTCTTTATTCAGAATTGAAGCCACGTGGAGTGGCTGTCAATCTGATTCCAGGGTTACCAGCATATATCTTATTTATGTGTGTGCGACATGCTGACTACCTGAACGATGATCAGAAAGTAAGATCATTGCTGACATCAACAATTAACAGCATCAAAAAAGTCTTGAAGGTCAGTTTCATGTTCCCCAGTTCTTATGGTTGTTAATGATGACAGTCTGTGCAGAGGCACTGTTTCTTCTTTAGACTTGGCACAGCTGCTCTTCACAAACCCTTTTCAGTCCTAACTACAAACTCCTGTATAACCTTTCTGTGGTTGTTACTTTCTCACCATAGTGACCAGATACCTGACAGAGGCACTTAAAGGAGGAAGGATAATTTTGAAAGACTCAGAGCTTAAGGAGGTATTAGCTCATCACAGAGGAGCAACAAGCAAAGACTGATTCAGAAATGGAGTGGACTATAATCCTCAAGGCTGGCCCCCTTTCCCCAGCTAGCCCTTCTTCCCTAAGGATTCCACAACCTCTCAAAAGCCACCACTAGCTGGGGACCTGTGGTAAACATGCAGATTGAACAGTAATCAAGATGATTTTATATCATTGCATTTAATTGTGGAGCGCAAAATTCTTCACAGACATTAATAGCCTGCTTTAGGTTTTATTGGGAACAAATTTAAAATGTTTAACAGAAGACAGGCATAGTGGCACACATCTTGAGGATCTCTATGAGTTCAAGGCTTGCCTGGCTTACAAAGCAGATTCCAGGCTAGCCAGGTCTATGTAGTAAGACCCTGACTCAATAATAAATAAAATGTTCAAATATTTATTGTAAACCAGCTATATACATACATGTTAATATGTGGTCCATATATGTAGAATATTATGCTGATGTTGAGATAAATGTCAAGTTCAGTAATATGTAGCTTATTATTTAAAAAGATGACTGATACGGCATTAAATTTTTTTCTTTCAACTCTGTTCTCCTATTCTCCAATTCATCCCTCGAATTATCTTGTTACCTAAAATCCCTATGAAAACAACATGGAGTTGCTAATCAGATAAAAAGGCTTGGAGAAGACAGTAGCATTAACAATGGAGGAAAAGCCTGTTAACTCTGCCCACTTACCTTACATAATCCTTCTAGTGACACCAGAAAAGCATGTCTTACTTTTAAATTCAGTGTTTCTATGAGAATTAAGATGTGCTCCAGGCACCTTGCCTTCTGATAACTCAATTTAACAGGATGAAGCATCTAGGATGAAGATCCGGTAGCTCTCTTGAATCTAAATGGGCTTGTAAAATTTTTATTGTAAAATCCCTCCCCTCAGGGCTCAGGGTAGCCTGCCGAAGAGGAATCAGATAGAGTGTAAGAGCCAGAAGGAATAGATGACAGCAAGAAAACAAGGCCCTATAAATCAACATGACCAAAGCTCTTATGAACTCACAGAGACTGAGGCAGCATTTACAGGGCCTGCATTGGTCTGCATCAGGTCCTTTGCACATATATTATGGCTTCTACTTTAGTGTTTTTATGGGATTCCCGAGTGTTCAAACGAGTGAGTCTTTGTTTCTTGTGCCTTCTCATAGGCTCTTTTCTTTCTGTTTGTTTTGTCTAATTCCAATGTGTTAGTTTTTGTGGTTTTTTTAATCTTATTTTCATTTAGTATTATCCTCTAGAAGTCTGTTTTCTAATGAGAGACAGAAAAGGCCAGGATCTGGATGGGAAATGATGTGGAAGGAACTAGGAGGAGTATATTATGAGAGGAAAAAAATACTGTTTCAATATAAGGGAAAAAAGAAAACAAAAACAAAATTGTAAAGTATGAAGAACATAAACCTTTTCATTTTACTCTTTAGACATGTTACTATATGCTGACACTGCTATTCAGCCGTCACCACAGTCCTTCTGTGGCTGTCTCATCCTCCTCACACTGCCCCGCCACACAGCAGCTTCCCAGCCTTCCTGCTCCCAGCCTTTGTGGCCTCTGACAAGTGCTGGTTCCCATTTCTGTAGCAAAGTTTTTCTCTGTCATCTGTTCCACAGTGGTTACCAAAGTGTGGGGCTTCTGAAGGCTCCTCTTTAAAATGCATGAATGTTTTCTAAATATACTCATTTAATTTTGGACATACTGATGCCAGATAGACTTATGTGTTTACTGTTTCCCTTTTTTGTTTGTGTTTTGGTTTTTCAAGACACAGTTTCTCTGTATAACAGCCCTGGCTGTCCTGGAATTTGCTTTGTAGACCAGCCTGGCCTTGAACACACAGAGATCCACCTGCCTCTGCCTCCTAAGTACTGGGATTAAAGGAGTGCTTACTTTTTCTTAAGTCAACTCCTATACAGATTTTTAAATCTTTCCCCTGTCTCTAAACCCAATTGTAAGATACATTTGTCTAATTTGGTTAATCATCACATCATATTAGTTAATGATTTTAAGAGAGTGTTTACTACAGCCTTTGTGTTCCACTTTAAATCAATGTGTGTTGCCTTATATCCACAGTTTGAACTGAAGTGTGTTTGTCCTGCATCCCTAATTTGACCTTAGCAGCAGTATTTTGACCTGGGCTTTAAAACAGTGTAGCTGTTCTAAGGCATATTGAGAGTCCATAAAGTTTTTAGCTCACAGATCATTTTATCTAATAAATAGAAAACTGAAAATAATTTTGAGCTTGTCTAATTTTCTTTTTGAGTCAAAATGACATTAATTTGATATCTAATTTTGATATAGTTTACTCATTATAAAAATATTATCTTGAGATAACTAGTAGAGAGGTACGATTTGGTTTTAAATGCTTTAAAGTTTCCCAGAAGTGTATTTTGAAGTGGCACAGAGTGTTTTACTTTAATGGGACAGAGAGGACCTATCCTGTTCATATGGAATGAAGCTATTTTAGTGGGGTTAGTTTGTTTATTTTGAAATCCTCTCTTTAATCGTCTTCTGCTTTTGTCCAGTTGTTTTTGTTTGTTTGGTTGGCTTTGGTTTCTGGTGATGCTAAGGATACTGATAACATGTAGGTACAATTATAAGATTTCTGTTAGGCTATTTTGAGGCAGCTAGGCTTGTCTAGACATTAGCAAAGATGGTCAGTGACTCTGTCCTATAGAACAGCCTGTAAATAATGTTGCCTTCCAATCTATACAGAGATGTTCTCTGCCAGCACCACCACTGGGAGTAGATACAATCCACGTCTGTGGAAGAATTAAACTTCTTAGTCAAACCTGTGTGCAAGCCATAAGGTGATTGTCTGTGTGGGGGAATGTCATAACATTTTATTTAATTCTGCCAGTTTTCTTTTTTTTTTGGAGGCGGGGGTGGGATAGGGTTGAGACAGGGTTTTTCTGTGTGACAGTTCTATCTGTCCCAGAACTCCTTTTATAGATCAGGCTGACCTTGAATTAACAGAGATCTTCCTGCCTCTGCCTCCTGAGTGCTGGGATTAAAGGTATGCACCACCACTGCCCAGCTATAATTCTGGCAATGTTCCTAAAGCTAGGCTTTTTCAAAGTAGAGACCTGAACTCAGTTCTCCTAGCTCAGCTAAAAATACTTAATTGGGCTTAAAATATTCTAGGATTTCTTTCTTAAAGTCATTTCGGAATAATATCCTCCAAATCTTAAGCTCTTTAATGTGTTATATATATATATATATAATTTTAAACCAGGTATGGTGGCACACTTGGGAGGTAGAGGTAGGAGAATCAGGATTGGAGACTGGCATCAGCTATAGAGTGAGTCTGAGGCCAGTCTAGGCCACAGATATAGAGAGGTAGTTACAGAGATAGATAGATAGATAGATAGATAGATAGATAGATAGATAGATAGATAGATAGGATACATAGATATTAAATCTGTGTGTGTGTGTGTATGTGTGTGTGTGTGTGTGTGTGTGTGTGTGTGCATGCACTTGAGCACAGTTCAACAGAAAACAACCTCAAATGTTGTTCCCCAGGAGTATCACCTACCTTGTTTTTGAGACAGGGTTTCTCACTGGGACCTGGGACTCCCTGATGAGGCTAGGTTGACTGACTGGTGTAGGCCTCAGGGATTCTCCCATCTCTGCCTCCCCAGTACGGGGATTACAAGCTATTACACCGAGTCTTTTACATGCCTGCTGGGGCTCAATCTCAGCAGTTACATGCTTATTCGGCAAACACTTACAGACCCAGCACCTCATATCACTTTTAAAAAGAACTTCTAGGGTAAAATCATAGTTATTTAATGCTAGGCACCTACCCCAGGTAACTATTTTAATTTTTCTTGTGCAAAATATAGATAAAAATTGATGATTCTGTGACTTTTCATGTCTGAACTATAAAGGTTCATTCACAAACTCATAGCCATCTCCACTGTGTCTGCCTTTTGACCTCTGAGGAACACTTCCAGTGCCAGCATCTCTTTCAAACATGAGTCTTTTTTCCTCCCTGTACTCATCCCATGATGGTCAAGAGCCAGCCAGCTTCCCTGTCCACTCAGTGTGCAGCTTCCTCCGTCTCTGGTTCACTGCTCAAAAAGTTTGCTGTGACAAGAGTTTTAATCCAAGCTGCATATGAAGGTGGCAAGCTCTTTTTCATGTTCTTTATTACAGAAATTACTATATCCTTTGTGCCTTTGGCTCTTTCTGGTTCATTTCATTTCAATCCCAAGCAAAGTAAGTCCGTGTGGGGTCCAATGTGAATTGAACCTTTTTCTGCACAAAGGGACAGTTAAGTTAGCTGAGTGGGAATGCTTTTTCTAAAGGCAAGAACAGTAACAAACATCCAGGGGACCTGGTTAACCTGCTGACAATGATATAAAGCTAAAATGTGCTTTAATGGTGTGGTAATTTATGACAGTCATTGAAAGAAGTGGGTCCTCTGTGTCTGCCCAGCAGTTTCCCTAAGGATAAGAAAATTGAGATATATTTTCTCTTTCAGAAAAGAGGTGATGATTTTGAAACTGTCTCCTTCTGGCTCTCTAACACATGCCGGTTTTTGCACTGTTTGAAGCAATATAGTGGAGAAGAGGTGAGAAACCTTATGGTAAAAACAGCATGCTGTACTTTCTTTAACCTTCTAAAGGGAAAGCTTAAAAACATTTGAATCGTGTTAATTTCCAAACCCCCAAGCAGGTGGCCTGGAAATATACTGCTTCACTGTTGCTTGTTATCTAAGCAATGATGTCGTTTCTTCCTTCCTAGCATTTGAGGAAGCATGGCAAAAACAAACCAATCATCAGCCCCGTGAATAATTAACAGAAAGCAAAATCTTTTCTTAATATGTTGTGGTGGTCTATGTAGAATTAACATTAAGATATAGGATTATCAGCTGAGCCTCTGTGGGAAACCTGCCTCCCAGACCCACTGTTGTACGTAATGTATTTATGTATGTATTTGTAAATGTGATAGAAGCCTGGAGGGACTGGGGTGTGGCTACTGGGCAGCACACAAGTGTGCTGTCCCCACCTGGACATCCTCACCATAGCCAAGTCCACCCCTCCCCACCCCTTCTGCCTCCAGGCCTTCCACGTGGCACCCAGCTCAGGAGCTGTCTGGTGTGCCACTGAAGGGATGGTGGTTTGGGGACTGGGGTCAGGTACCAATGAAGAATCATTACTTTTCTTTATCTCCCTCCCTGTGAAACATTGTTTCTTCCCTCTGTAATTACTTCATACTTGTTGAGAAACTGATCCTTTTGTCATTTGTCATGGTCCCCTTCTAACAAATCTTCATCTGGGAATAGCAGAGATGATGCCTGCACAGCAGGGTCTTCTGCTTTTGGTCTAGTCCTGCCCTAGGGGCTTGCCTTTGACCAGCCATTTAAAGAAGACTCTGAACTGGGTCTCAAGAGATGTTCAGCCCATCAGCTCCCTTATAAAGAAATCAAAGATCTGCTTCCATCTCAGTGAAAGCCTGTCAGTCCAAACAAAGGCTCCTCTATACCAGTTATCCCAAACCAGGTGGGCAACTGCTTCAGGGTTTTCTCTCCCCCCAACTCCACAGAAAGAAGCTCTTGAGAGAAAAAAAAAAAGAAAGAAAGAAAAAAACAAGAAAGAAAGAAAGAAAGAAAGAAAGAAAGAAAGAAAGAAGAAAGATTCTGTTTAGGCTAACTATGATACCTTAAAGGTAACCAACAAAAAGACATAATCAAAAATAATATATGTAACTGAGCATGGTGGTGCACACCTTTAATCCCAGCACTCTGGAGGTATACACAGGCAGATCTCAGCTTGAAACCAGCCTAGTCTATAGAGGGAGTTCCAGGACAGCCAGGGCTACACAGAGAAACCTTATCTTGAAAGAAAAAAAAATCATATATGTATCTTTGGGTGTGTCTAAAAAAATCTATACTGATTTTGTTTGTAGTAAAGTGTTCATTCATTGTTTGATAGATTTACCAAGTGTAAAATTGTAAACTGTTGATTATTATCCAAAGCTGTTTCCTGTGTGTCTGACAGTACTTGACATACAGAATATATTTGTCATTTAATTGTTACAATATCTCATGTGGTTAGCATTAAACCCATTTTGCAGATAAGGATACTGAGGCTCGGTGGGGCTCATCCATTTGGCCGTTGCATCTTGGCATAAGGAGCAGGGCTGTGACTCTGCATCTGCACAAGTTGGAGACCTTTGACCTGACCCTATCCCTTCCTGACCCCCTCATCTTTTGTCAGGAAGGCAGGCAGAGAAGCTTAGTCAGTTGCAGTCTCTGGCACCCAAAGCAGAGGCCTGGCGTGGCAAAATGATAGGATATACAAAGACAAGTAGGACACCAAAAAAAAAAAAAAAAAAAAAAAAAAAATGAGAGAGCAGAATCCTGAGAAGGCCATGAAGGATGTGGGCTGGCCCCACGTTTATACTGTCATCCAGTAAGCAGTTCCATCGTTAGATAGGGCTGGTGAGTAGTGTGCTTAGGTGCAGAGTGACCGGAAGAAGTGCTGCCTATCTGGGGAGTTCTCCTCTTAAGCCAAGGCTGCTGAAACACTTTGCGAAGATCTAATTGAAATCATTGTGTATATTCCATGAGTTAAGACTAAAATGATAAAGTTCATTATTTTCTAGACCATAAAAAAAAACTGGCCTACTCAAGAAGATTATGCATATATATCCCTGTGTGTGTTGTATATGAATAGGACTATATTTAAAGAGCTAAGAACTAAAGAGTACTTTCAAGTATTTATTTAGTGTTTGGCAGTAGACCTGCTATTTTATTAATGAAATCCTTTTATTCTTAAGTTAAATTCTCTCATCTTGCTGTTAGAAAGCCTTAAGTGTAGATTGCCAAGATCATCTATTATTCAAAGCTATCTAAGTGGGAGGAGATGATGACAGGAGTAAAATCACAAGCAGCAGTGTTGAGAGTGATTATCCTGGCACTGGGCATGAAAGTGATGAGCAAGTGAGACAGAGTGAGACAGACAGAGACACTTGGAGACAGTGAGGTGACAGAGGCACTGGCTTCCTGTGCACTACTAACACTGTGTTGATTCTAGGGCTTCATGAAACACAACACATCTCGCCAGAATGAACACTGTCTCACAAATTTTGATCTTGCTGAATATCGGCAAGTGCTGAGCGACTTGGCCATTCAGATCTACCAGCAACTTGTGAGGGTGTTAGAGAACATCCTTCAGCCAATGATAGGTAAGGCCAGTGTCCCTGAGCACCACATCTGTTGCCAACAAATGAGGCCAGTGGTACATGTGCCAGGCATGTATTCATGTGGGAAACATAAAGTAGTAAAGTCTGCACAGGATGAAGCACCAGAATCTGGGTTTAAGAGACTTAGCTGTGCTGTATATCTACCAATAGACTTTGCCCTTTGTCCAGTTGTCAAAAAGACTTCAGACTTACAACTACTGTGCTACTACTGCACAGGGCCTCCTGGGGGAACCAGTGAAAAACCAAGGAGGGTGGGATGGGTTTGCACATTGCCTAATGGTCTACAGGGAAATGGCTGGAAAGGTACTGTAGCAACAATAACAGCTGTCATAGGTTTGTACCAGACACTCCATGTTGAATTGTGTATCTCCTGCAAATGTTTAAGGTGAGTTGGTTTAAAGTACTGTGGTTTCCCATTGGCTGAGTGGCACATGTGCTTGTATTGTCTGATTCCCTTGGGAAATGTGGCATTTATGATAGGAATTAATCCTGTCCAAATTGTAGGCTGCTGATTTTTGATGTAGCAAATTTTTTTTTCCCAAGTTACCAGTTTTATCTCAAGGCAAATTTGAGGCTTTTCACTGTTCAAACTACATCAAACTTCCCTTATTTTCTTCCCTTGACCACGTGCTCTTCACATTTTTACATTTTTCACCTCCCTTAGTGGGCTCATAGATATCATTTCCTTACACGGGCCCATATTTAAAACAGCTGGGGACATAAAAGTCTGAAGAGGTCGTACGAGATGGCAGTTATTTCTTCTCTTGTGCCTTCAGAAGTTACAAATTTAAAACACCCTAGATTGGCCAAAGTTCAGGAAGTACACAGAGGCAAAGAAGACCAGTTTCCCCAGTCTTTCTCATCTTTTCCCACGGGTATTGCCATGTGTATTGGCTGAACAAGAAGTTTGCCTCTAAGCTGTCCCATTCTAACTATCCCCATATCTCAGTCATTTAACAGCAACAACAAATGTTTTTGAATCAGTATAGGGTTTGTGGAAAGCTTATTTTAGCACAAGGAAAAAAAAAAAAAACATGCATGGTCATTGCTTTCAGGGGCCTTCCAGGCAGGGGATAGGCATCTCAGAATGAGTATCTCAGAATAGACATGTTAGAAGCCTTCTAAGGAGGCATAAACCAGACACATAGAGTTTCAGGAACGAAGACTAAGTCCGGAGGAACCAAGGCTTTCCCAAAGTCTCACTGCAGTTTTGGGGATCTCAGGACTGGGAGGGGCTCAGCTCTCCATCTCCACACCTCCAGCTCTAACAGGTCTTCTCCAAGACTGCTTCCCAAGGCCATGCCTTTCTTACTGTCTTCTTGCTATTGTTTTATTGTTGTTATTTTTAGATTCGTGGTTGTAGTTGTGGTTTTTTTTTTTCTGTCTGAGATCAAATACAAAAATCACTTATTTAACCACTCTCAAAAACTTCTCAGCTATCACATGCCAGTGCAGTCCCAAAGCTGCTGCTTATTTTAGAAAATACAGCACTAAGGTCACTTAATACTGGGGAATATTTTTTATTTAAAAACCTTACTACTTCATTAAAGTTTATGCTGAGATGGTAAGGTGTAGCAGTGGTTTGCTCCTTCTCTCTGATCTCTCAGCATTTTCCTTAAAATCCAAAGGCTTATTCTTGGGGCAGTTCCTTCTCCCACTATCTTCATTCTCAGATCATTTCCTAAAGAGAGAGAGAGAGAGAGAGAGAGAGAGAGAGAGAGAGAGTTTGTGTATGTGTATGTGTTGTGTAAGAGAGAGATATACATGTGAACTCTCCTCTGAATCCTCTTAGTAACTGAAATACTTCTACAGTCTCAGGTATGCTAGAGCATGAAACAATTCAGGGTGTATCCGGGGTGAAGCCCACAGGGCTCAGAAAGCGAACCTCCAGTATCGCAGATGAGGGCACCTACACATTGGACTCCATCCTGCGGCAGCTCAATTCCTTCCATTCAGTCATGTGTCAGCATGGCATGGACCCAGAGCTAATCAAGCAGGTGGTCAAGCAGATGTTCTACATTGTGGGCGCCATCACCCTAAACAACCTACTCCTGCGCAAGGACATGTGCTCTTGGAGCAAAGGCATGCAGATCAGGTGAGCAGACACCAACATACATGGCAGCCTTGCCCTGCTTGCCTCTTAAGGGCTGATGGCTTGTTTCCAAGCAGTGCACCCAATGTTGGTGCCACATGGCCAAGCTTGAGAGAATGTCTGTTGTAGAGCCAGTTCTCTCGCTTGGGTGGGTTCTCTTGCCCAGGAGGAAACCCTGCTCCTCTGTTAAGCCATCTTATTTGTAGGAGTGTAGGGATGTGCAAAATACACAACAATGGACATTTGTTTTCTTTCTTATTTGTTTTGATTATACAATAAGACAATATTAAGAAAAAATGAAACTTTCTAGTATTTGGTGGTTGTTCTTAGAAATATCTTTCCATATTAGGAATATGAATGAGAATAGGCTGGAGAGATGGCTCATTGGTTAAGAGCACTTACTGCACTTGCATAGGACCCAGGTAAAGTTACCAGCACCTGTGTGGTGGTTCACAACTGTCTGTAATTCCAGTTCCATGGGATGCAACTCCCTCTTCAGGCCTCTGTGCATACTGCATGCACATGGTACATAACCAAACTCATACACTTATTTTTTTTTTTAATTAAAAAAAGCTTAAGTTGAAGAAAAATAATAGGGCCAAAGAGATAATTTACTAACAGTTGAGGTAGAAGAAAAACTATACTCTATTTTTTTAAATTTTAGTTTCTTTTTTGTTTTAGAGACAAGGTCTCACTGTGTAACCCGGCTGGTCTTATACTCACAGTCCTTCTGCTTCACCTGGGAATGCAGTCATGCTCAACCATGTCCAGCGGTATATTCATCAAGAAAGAGAAAGGGATTTTCTACAAAACCTGTAGTTGCTACTAGCGAACTCTAGTGTTCTATGTTTATCACTTATCCACATTTCACTTTAAGGTATTCCTCCATTCAGGGATTCTAACTTTTTGTGAAATTGTGCATTTTTTTGTTTTGTTGTTGTTTGTTTGTTTTGTTTTTTAATGACAGGATCTCATGTAGCCAGGCTGATCTCAAACTCACAGTGTAGCCAATGATAACTTTGAACTCCTTATCTTTTTGCCTTTACCTCCCATATCTTTTTGCCTCTACCGCTCAAGTGCCAGGATTACAGACATGTGCCATCACACCCAATAAAAGTCACTCACCTTAATATCATAATGCCTCTATCTGCCTGATGGCTGAATTCTGACTGTGTGTCCATCTGCCTTAACTGTAGTTTGAAATCTACCATCAGATAGCTGGGCACCTAAACCCTAGCATCTGTGTAATTTCCTTATCTCTCCAGTTTGGAGTCTTTGTCTCTTCCAAGGGCTTTCCCTTGCCCTTCTCTTCTTCTATCTCTAGGCTAGCTCAGCTCACTGTTGCCATTGTCAAGGTCCTAGGGGTATATGTTGGGGTATCTGGTTATTCACTCACCCAATTTGGAGTCTTCTTAAGGAAGACAGAGTGCATGAAGAATTAAGAGGATTATCCTGCAAAGGAAACCTATGTTTGAAATTGCGGGAGAAGCCAGAAAGTACATTCTAGTCGGCTGTTTAGTGAGGAGAGAGTCATATGACATATTCAGTTTTGTTTATTAGCAAGTCTAATAACTTTTCCTCTGATGATTGTTTCCATCTCCCAATGAAGAGTTGCAGTCTCCTGTCATTCAGTCTTACATAATTACAATTATAAGCCTCATGACTTTATAATGATAAATGTTAAAGCACAGCTGATTAGATTTTAGGAAATTGAACAAAAATACTACCTGTCATTTAGACTGACAAGGCTACATACACAAAATTAAGACATTTATGACAGCATTCAGCAAATTTGCATTTTCTCTTTTATTCTCTCTTCTACTTTCTCTTTTTATTTCTGGCACAGGTACAATGTCAGTCAATTGGAAGAGTGGCTCCGTGACAAGAATCTAATGAACAGTGGAGCCAAAGAGACCCTGGAACCTCTCATTCAGGCTGCTCAGCTTTTGCAAGTGAAAAAGAAAACTGATGATGATGCCGAAGCCATCTGCTCCATGTGCAATGCCCTGACCACTGCCCAGGTACTACAGCCTGCTAGGGTGGCACAGCATAGTAGCCACACAGAGGAATTCAGAGAAAACAGGCCTGGCCGTTGCTCTCCTCTCTGCACTGACCTCCTCCCTTGACAGAGAAGATATGTGACTATGTAAATCTGGAAGAGAGGAGATTTTATGATCAATTTATACATTTCAATGCTACTAATAGTCATCTATAGAATATTCAGCAACGAGTAAGTGCCAGTACTCTGTGTAAGGTTCTCAGACCTGAGGTACAACATGGAATAAAATGAAGTCCTTTCTCCCGTGGGGCATATATTCTGTGGAGCTCCAATCCATGAAGTTATTTCTATGTTATTTAGTAATTAATGGTTCTTTATATTTTTCTATTTGGGGCCAGCAAGGTGGCTCAAGTAGTATAACACTTACTGCTGAGCTTGTTCCCTGAAACCCACATGGTAGAAGGAGAGAACCAACTCCCAAGGGTTGTCCTTTGACCTCCACACGCATGCTCTGGCACTGCCCACATGTTTACACACAATCACAAAATAATTCTAACTCTCAAATCTTAAAATGATTAATGCCCATCACACAGTATCTACTTGTGGGGGAAAATACTTCAATTAAGAATGTAAAAGCTTCACCTTCGTGAGCTTACAGTTCAGTAGGGGAAACAGAAATGCATGAAGCTGACGCTGTCATAAAAATTCCAGCAGATTCTGCTCTTATGCCTTACAAAAAGCATTGGAGGTGATGACAGCCTTTTCCTGAGAGGTGCCACTCTGCAGCATTGAGTTTAAGGACAGGGACAGGATAGGAAGGGTGTTAGGGGAAACAGCAGCAGCCAGAAGAAGGCATCTGAAGAGCCTGCTGTTCTCTTTGCCTGGTACTTCCTGCACTGAGTCTTCGTCTTCCCAGTGCACAGCTCTGCAGCTGTGGCCGGTGTAATTCACTTTGCTCAGGGGAGACAGTCAGAACCACCGTCTGTAGCTTCTTAGTGTCAGATTCATGTTTGCAGAAACTCCTGCTGTAGGCTTACATGTAAGCGGAAATCTTTAGGACTGGTGATGGTCTTGAGACCTTCCTTCCCCATTTCTGCCAAGTATGGAAAGTAATATACCCTGGGGAAATGCGATTTATAGATGTTTCCTGTCCTCCAGCCTTTAAAGAATGTGCTCTAGAACTCAAATATTTCAACTTTAGTACATGCCCCAAAGAGTTTGGTAGACCTGCAGTCTAGTTATTTATTTGATTTATTTTCTAAGTTTCAGTGGACAGCCATTCTTTGCACAGTTCTAACCCTTGCCACTGAGTGCCTAATTCCTGAGTCCAGTGTGTCACTCACAGACTGGTCGGTATTCCTGCCTTTTATTTCATGTCTCTTTGGTGCTTACCATACTTTTTGCCTATAGGTCAGCATTGTCCTGAACTTAACTTTCTGTTTAACTATTTTAAATGTAAATAACTACATGTGACTGTGATGACTAGTGTGTTAGCACAGCTTTAAACAATAACTTGAAAGTGAGGTTGGGCATGGTGGTACAGGCTATAATCCCAACCCTTGGAAGCTGATACAAGAGGACAGCAAGCTCTAGTCCAGCTCAGGCTGCATTTGAGATTATATATACATACATACACACACACACACACACACACACACACACACACACACACACACACAGTGTAGATAGATAGATAGATAGATAGATAGATAGATAGATAGATAGATAGACAGACAGATAGATAGAGATAAAGACACATATGTACATTCACTGATGAAAATCACTTTCTACCTTACATAAACAATGATGTTCTTGAGGTTAGCCTGGGCAACATAGTGAGTTCCAGGCCAGCGTGGGAGTACACAGAGATGCCCTGTCTCAAGCCCTCCATCACAATAAAAGGAAAAGAAAAATGACTGTTTTGTGAAAGAAATTTGATTTTTTTAAGAGTTTACTCCCAGGGTTTGGAGAGAGGGCTCAGAGGGTAGGAGCACTGGCTGCTTTCCCAAAGGTCCTGAATTCAATTCCCAACCAAATGGTGGTTCACAACCATCTACAATGAGATTTGGTGCCCTCATCTGTTATGCAGGCAAAACATTGTATACATAATAAATAAATATATCTTTAAAAAGAAAGAAAACAATTTATTCCTAAACTAGGGGCTGATAGCACACACCTTTAATCCCAGCACTAGGGAGGCAGAGGCAGGCAGATCTCTGTGAGTACAAGGACAGCTGGTCTACAGAGTGAGTTCCAGGACAGCCAGAAATGCACAGAGAAACCCTATCTCAAAAAAAAAAAAAATCAAAATAAGAATTTACTCCTTAAATCATTGGCTAAATTTCTTTAAAGACCTTATTTTTTTGTTAGTCATTTATAGTAACTTTTTTCTAAGCATATGTGTTTAGATTATCTAAAGTGAATAATATTTAATTCTGTTGTTTTTAATATGCCCATATGTGCTTTTATGTGAAGACAGCAAGTTGAAGAATAGCATTAATACAGTCCATTCCATTTGTATAAAAATAGCATAAGCCAGAATGTATAGAAAGTAGCTCAGTGGTTGCCCAGGATGTGGTTAGCCGTTGTTGCTTTAGAAATGGGGAGGATAAAAATAGGGGCACTTTTTTTCCATGTTATATTTGTACTGTTTGAATGTTTTTCTAATTTTTTTTCTCCTTAAAATGTTATCTGACTACATTCTTCTTCTAAAACTTCAAACTCAAAGGGAAATGTGCCCTTCAGTGTCTCTTGCCCTTTCCCAGCCTACCCCAGGTAAAACTAAAAGGGAAGTACACAAGTCCTTCCCATTCACCAGACCATGAATAGCCAGCCTGTTTGTGAAATATGCCAAATGCTTTACCCTTTTTCTCTCCAGATCGTCAAGGTATTGAATCTGTACACACCCGTTAATGAGTTTGAAGAGAGGGTCTCTGTTTCATTCATCCGTACTATACAGGTAAGGTGTTTTTTTCTTTCTTACTGTTTAACCACATGGTCATTCCAGTGGAATAGTTACAATGTTTCGGGGGGATAATGTGTTTTTATCTTTTACTTTCCTATTTTACTTATTTTACAGTACATCAACTTTATATAAGATTATAGTCCATAAATATTTCTTAAAAGATTAACATTTTTCATTAAGGTTTTTTTAATTAAAATTTTGGTAGAAAAATATCTTACCAATTGGAAGGACTAACACCCTATTTGTCCTTTTCCTTAATCTTCTCAGATGCGGTTACGAGACAGGAAGGACTCTCCACAGCTGCTCATGGATGCTAAACACATCTTTCCTGTCACCTTTCCCTTTAACCCATCCTCCCTGGCCCTGGAAACCATCCAGATCCCAGCCAGCCTAGGCTTGGGTTTCATTGCACGGGTCTGAAGTGCTGTCCAGGCAAACCTAGAGAACACATTTCTTCTCTGAATAAGAACAGTTGTTTCCAGTGAGCTACTGAAAATACCTTTTTAAAGAAACAGTACTGATCATCTCTAAAAGAAGATGTCATTAACTGGAAATCTCCCTAGAACCCTTCCATTTGGGAAGAGACACCTTGTCCTGTGTGACCTTTGAAGCAGCATTCATTCTTCATCAGTTGAGTTTACATACAGCTGAGTGATGGCAGGGAGGAACGAGAGGAAGGGAAAAGGTGTGTGTCTTCAGCTGACAGCTTTTATTTTATTTAGGGCTGCATTTAAGTGACATAGAAAAATAATTCCATATGTATGAACTGTTGTTAACAAGGCACAAACAAAGAACTGAAAGAAAAATCAGCACTGAACATATATCATATCAGCTTAGGAGCCAATCATGTTGATATTGTCAAACTGGATCAAAAAAATAAACTGGCAATATGTAAAGTAATTGCCCAAGTAACTTCCTTATTTGTGTCATTATGGTACAGTGATACTAAAGATGCTGGTTTGCTAGGTAGCTTAGTTGCCCTTTTGTACTGTAGCTTACCAAGCATCTTAAATTACTGCTACGAGCGGTCTCCTGACCTAAGTGATAGTCTTTTTAGGCACTACACAGTAAGCTTCTCTTTCATCACTCTGTTTACAATTCAACCAGATCAGTTTTAACTGGATTATATGCAATTATCCACAGGTTCATCTGCACAAGTAGCAGACACTGGAAGTTGTGTAGTAAATAGGACAAGATGCTTGATGTTTAGATAGAATTAGAGTGACTGTTGATGTCATTGATGATCAGAATGTATTACATTGATATGCTGATTTTACCTGTGTGGATATCATATCATGGTATAGTGTTCTGTAAAATTACTTATTTTTAGTTCCCAAATCTGATTCTTGTCATGCATATATTCAACCTTAATCAGTTCTTTTTTTAATTTATTAAGTGTTAGCCTCAGTCACTATCTAGAAAGTACTGTCAGAATATTTATGATTCAGATCTTGAAGCTTTGATTATCCTATAAGTTATTCAAAACAGACATATAATAAATCATTATAAATCAGGGGTTTTAGGTGTTATAACCTCTATAAATGTTCTCAGATACCACTGAGTACTTTAAAAACATCATATTATAAATACATTAAGAAGATTTATGTAAGAAATATAAGATTATTAATTTTATAAAGGATTTGGTTCAGTAAGACCTAGATTCTATAAATTTTCATTATGAAATTCTAATTAACATATTCTCCATTTTTTCCTGGAAATCTTATATAATAAATCCTTTGGGTTATGCAAGAGCAAAATTCTTAGCTTTCATTCCTCTAGTTCTTAATTACAATCATCAATTTGTATAGTTACACTGTAAGATGGTCTGTAACAGTGACATTTAAATATGTGCAATATTATTGATGAGAGCTAAACATTTCAAGTCAATGATAAATCCTGTTATTAAACAGCAATTATTGTCCATTATCTTACTGGAGCCTGAATGTCCTTGTTTATAAAGTAAGAGGGTTGGACAGCTGGTTGTTCCAGCCACTTCCCCATTTACAGTTTCCTCATGCTTGGTTCCTAGAGAAAGGGCCACAGTTACTCAGTCAGTCCTGTTGTAAAGACCAGTGTTTAGCACCTGTCAGTTCCCTAGGTTTAATATAGTAAGTCACAAGTTTATGTGTCCATAACGTTTTCTTAAAAGACATCATTTAGGTACTTTAGGAAAATCCTAATATATTTGTATTATTTGAAAGTTACTTAGTTAAACATTTTTTTTTACATGATGACTGCTGTTTTGTTTAAGGGAATTTGGATTTTAGGGGGTTTTGTTGTTGTTTTGGTTTTTGGGGTTTTTTTGAGTGCTGGGGATTGAACCCGCTGCCTCATGTGCGTTAAATAAGTAAGTACCCTATCACTGAGCTACAGGCTCAACCCTTTTTCAGTTCTAATACATTTATTTATTTGCAGGACCTAAAACACTAATTCAACCAGATTCGGTTTTCCTGGGTTTTCCATATTGTTTCAGTGATCAGTTAATGCTTAAAGCCATTTCATTAGTGCTGTGTCATACAGCATCGAGGGGCAGCAGGTGGCAGTTACTAAGCAAACAGAGCCATGTGTAGGCTGTCTTCCCACAGCCGTGGCAATCTTCCCACACCCTGCTCCCAGCTTAATCTTGTGTAGGACGATTGATGTACACCCTGAGTTTTGTCTTCAAGATCATGCTGTCACAGCCACTGTCCCTGCAGCCCTTCTTTTTCCTTCTTCAGACATTGTGTCCTACAGTTCCTGGCACTTTCCCTCTTGTATTTTTCTCTGCTGTCAAGAACTGGCGCTACTGCTCCATAGCTGTTCCCACTCTGCAGTTCTCCTGCTTTGGCAACAATGGCTCGGAGTTTCTATGATTCTAGGCTTCAAGTCTTTCAGGCTGCTTCAGAACCCCAGCTGGAGATCTTAAGTAACGTCTCTTGTTTCTCTGGAGGGTTTTAGTCCTCAGAAGCATACTTTATAACCAGGGAACCTCAGAACCTGGTAAGAAGTGACTGTGTGCACTTCGTTAGTGAGGCGCCAGGTTTCTGCTGATGAGGTAGGGTCATCTCCCCTCCGTCAGTCATCTGGACCCTCACCTAGCTGCAGACACACCCAGCTTTCCCCTGCCTGTCACCCTGTCCCACTTCTTCCCTCAGCCTATTTCACCAGCGGATGGTTTCTGTGGTCCTGGCTGGCATGCATGGGACTCAGCTCTTGGTGTCCGTGCACATGCCTTCTACTCTCATCTTTGTGCTCCTTAGCATTGGCTTTTCTATAACCCCGTGCGGTGGCACACTTGGACTCCAAAGAGGGAGGGAGCTCTTGAAAGGCACAGCAGCACAGCACCTCTTACTCTTAGTACCCCTCCTGTAGCCACCCACTTTCCCTGCTGCAGGTGCAGCTCCCGCCCTTGGGATCCAGGGTGAGAAGAAGCAGTTCCCCTCCCCTTCCTGCGGCCTTTCTTCTTAGTCCAAGGCTTGATTCTGCCTTCGAGTAACTCCAAGGCAGGAAAGATAAGCACGAAACAAAATGCACCAAGGACAACTTGATGGTTCTGTTGGGAGCTTTGAACATTCCACATGACCTGGCACTGCTTTGAAAGCAAACATACAGAACTAGAATCCAAAGCCAAGTAATAGGAGATTTAGATTTGTGCCAGTTTAGATGGCTTGCTTTGTTGCTGATTCATTTCGGTAGATAAAGAATGACTCCTTATGGGTGAGCAAGTGTGTGTGATGCACATATTCTTTAGTAGTATATACAGGAGGCTGTGAAATTGAGTCTCGGTGTCTTGATTGTCGTGAGAAATTGCAGTTCTGACAATTCTAGGAGAAGAGGAGCTACCACCATCCTGAGAACCCCACAAAGAGCCCCCTCTCTCACACACACCATAACTAGATGAGAGTTCTTCAGGAGGCATAACCAGGGGTCCTCTGGGTAACCCCAGCCTCTTAGGATAAAGAGCAAATGTCTGTGTGTGACACTGCATGGTCCTGCTGAAAGTAGAACAGAACTAGTGCCCATATGCATGTGCTTCATGCCAGCACTCTTTGTTACCTCACTTCCTCACAGCGTCCACAGGAGAGAGCTCCCACAGTCAGTGCAAATGATAATTCGGGACAATGATATGGTCAGTGACTTGCCTAGGGTGGCACTGCCCTCTAGCAGTGAGGGCAGAGGCTGCCCTGTCCCTCCAGATGCTGTGGGGTACCCTGGGCTAGTAAGGGTACTCTTCATCTTTAATGGTATGAGGGAATAGACAAAGGATGAGCATCAACTTACTTCTTGGAGGCCGGTGCACAGTGCATACAGCACCAGCTGTGACTAGGCTTGCCTTTTGTCATGAATCAATCAGTGCTCCTTGACAGGGTATGGACTCTCAAACCAGAAGCTGTCCGAACTAAAAGGGCAGGAAGCAGCCAACCTCAGATGTGAAGAGACAAGGCAGGCCACTCTCCACAACCCTGAGGTTTCCCTGTGAGAGCCGCTGGCTGAGCTGCGTGGCCTACAGAGAACTCTCCCCTAGTTTCATTTTGCTGCAGAGAGGAGCCCAGGCCACTAAGTACCTCCCTCCCTGGGGCTGTCCACCATAGGTGAGTCAGTGTAAGCTTGGAAGTGCCACAGCTTGCTGCAGGGGAGAAGCTAGAAGCTGTGCTGTGGGCATGCATGCTTGAGGCCACACAGGCACTCACTCGTGCTAGTGCTTTGTAATTTGTTCTCAGACTGTGCTGTGAGGGCCGCCTTAACCCTTGCCCCTTCCCTTTTAGAGCTGCCTTAAGTTTCCCAGAACTTGTCCTCAGTGAGGGATATCTTGCCATGTTTCTTAAGGTTTTGTGAGGATTTGGATTGGATGTGGCTTCCTACCACCAATCCCTTTCTCCCCTTCCTGCATCTCCTGCCACCTCTGTACTGTCATTTCCAAACAAAGATTGGAATTTGTGAAGCAGCTAGTGAAATGTTAGCTTTAAGAATGTTTCTGAGATAGTGCAACTCCTTGTGACAGTAAGCAAATGAGCATGCATGGAAGCAGGACGGAAGTCAGTGTATTCATGGGGTCTCGCCTTTCACTAACCCTTTCTTAATAAAGGCAAAAATACAACTCTAAAAACTTTTTGTGGACATCCTTTTAAAATGTAAAGGTGGTGCCCTAGTGTAAAAGGCTGAGTAAAAACAGGAAAGTAGCTGTGTGAGTTTTAATCCATCATAGCACCTAAATTAACTGTAGATCAAAAACTGAAAGATGCCATGTCAAACATCTCCCAAATGCATTTTATCATTTTTTTATTTTATAATTTGGTCTAGCTAGTTAAAAATGTTGACGTAATAGGTAGAATTAGACTCATAACATATCTAAAACAACTGACATTTCCTTGGCATTGTGATATTGATGGAATGGTTGGGAAAGTTCTGGGTTTGTTTTTTGAGGTTTGAAATTGTCATATATAATTTAATGCTTGGAAAGTTAATGCAATTCCATGCATTTTCCAGAGTCAGAAGTTTCAAATAACTTACTGTTGTTATGTGTTACAAAATTTTAGCCTAAGTCACATGAGCCCTTACTTGTCCTATAAATAGTGATTTCTCCTTTAAATGTGGATATGTGTTGTGATTTGTAGTCCCTAATTATGTTCTTTTGTGGGTTCCTGAAGTAATATTGATTTTCTCGTGTTCTTGGAAAGTTTACATTGTTCCAACAGTGTTGCACAGATGAGCTCATGGCATTTAACATACTGTGTGTTTTTATTTTAACTGTTTATAACTTATTGTGAAATACAACAAAATGGGACATTGCAGTTTTCATATCTTTTTCCTCCTTGGATCTGGAGAAAGAATCTTCTTGATCTACACAGTTAATCTCTACAAATTGTTTAGGTGAGGAAGCAGAAGCACAGCATTACCAAGCCTCTCCATGTCTGAACTGAGCCCACAGGAAATCTTCAGGAAGGTTAACAATTCACCTCATATCAACAAAGCCTTGGAAACATGAGTTTTTCACTGGATATTACCTAATGCTGAAAGGAAAGCCAAACCAATATCAGAATGACATTTTATGCTCTAAATTTGTAGCTGTCTAGTGTTGTACTTAGTGTGTATCTGTCATTAGTGCTGTATTCTCCTAGCTATTGTAGAAAATTGTTGAAATAAAGATAAGGATATAAAGAAGCTTTGTCCATGTCTATAAACCTGCTTCACATTTTAAAACAACAAAACAAATTGGTATTCTGGAGATCAATAAATGTAAGTCTAGTCTCTTCAAGAAATGAGAATCTGGGGGGGGGGGGAGCCTGGAGAGATGGCTCGGAGGTTAAGGGCACTGGCTGCTCTTCCAGAGGTCCTGAGTTCAATTCCCAGCAACCACATGGTGGCTCACAACCATCCGTAATGAGATCTGGTGCCCTCTTCTGGCATGCAAGCATATGTGGAGGCAGAATGTTGTATACATAATAAATAAATAAATACAATCTTAAGAAAAGAAAAGAAAAAGAAATGAGAATCTCAAAGGGTCTTAGAAGTTGAAAGATTGGTAAGTCTGTACTGGAAAACTGATGTGCGAACTGCCAAACACAAAAGCAAGCTGAAGAACAGTGGCCTCTTTTCTTCAAGAGGAAGCCATACCTGGCTGTCCTTGGATTCTCTGGCAGAAACATAGAGCCTAGGCATTTGGAAATGGAATATGGGGTTTTCAAAAGTTTAAGTAGGATTTGTGTCACAAATAAGATTTGTGACCTTTTAATATAGTAGAAGAGACAAATACACAAACAGGATGGAAATCAGTGGATGTGGATGTGATGCTCCTTTGGATGGAGAAAGAGCCTGTGATTGACTTAGTCTCATCCTTAGTCATAGTGCAGAAACATGAATATTAAGTTCTACAATAGGTTGTGTGATGGGGAATGTACTGTGTATGTTTATCTTATTGATTATTGAATAAAGTACTTGTTTGGCCAATGAGACAGCAAGTTAGAAGGGACTAGGAGTCAAAAAGGATTCTGGGAAATGTAGTAGAGAAGTGGTGTTCCAGGCAGGAAGTGACATAGCAAGGAGACTCATATTTAAGAAAGGAGAAACAAAGTATCCTTTTTCCCCTTCCTCCTCCAGCGGCGCCATATGAGCCACTGGCAAGAGACGATGCCAGGGAACGGCATCCTCTATAAGGTAAGTCTTATATATAGATTTATGATAATTGAGACTGAGCTAACAGATGAGAATCCTAGTCATTGGCCAAGCAGCATTGTACCTAATACAATTTTCTGTGTATTAATTTGGGCCCTAACTCAGGCGGGCAGCTGGCGTAGAGCGCACACGGAGGGGCTGGGGATCTTTTGGCGGAAAGATTTATTGTAACAGTTGTATCCCGCTTTCACATCATGACAAGTCGTTCATCAGACTCGTTTAGCAAGGACTGTCCTTCCTGGAAAACAGGCCCTCAAAATGCAGCAGCAGGAGTTATACTTAAACATGGTCTTATGTACATTTACAGTCATGAAAAACGACATTTGCTAACAGTTTTTCTTTCTAAATAGATTAGAACTCAATCAAGGTTTTCTCTCTGGAATAAAACCACTCTCACCGTGGCATTTTATGATCATTAGAATTCTTTTCTGGGATACGGGACAGAAGTCAAACTAGCTTGACCCAAAGGGAATCCATTTCCTGATATAACTGAGTTGGAATGCATTTAGGTGCTCAGTCATTGGCCTCGTGGATAGACCCATTACTTTTTATTTTGGCTTCATTCTTAGCTGGGGTCTCCCCAAGTGGTGACAGAGCCCCCAGAAGCACAGCTCTGTTATCTAGCCTTTTTGTTAGCATTGCCAGTAACACGTCAGAATGGAGTCTCATTGACCAGTTTGAATTCTACATGCTTTTTTTTTTCTTTGTTTTTTGCTTTTGTTTGTTTGTTTTTTCAAACCTGGTTTCTCTGTGTAGTCCTGGCTGTCCTTGAACTCCCAGAGATGTGCCTGCTTCTGCCTCCCAAGTTCTGGTATTAAAGGTGTGCGCCACCGCCGCCTGGCTCTACATCCATTCTTAGTCACTGTGTCTAGGGGAATAGAACCTAGCCGGCCTGAGCCATACCATACCACAGAAACCAGGTGGGTATGACAGCAGAGTGGGACCAAGGCAGGGATGGGAAACAGCTAACCAGAAATGAAAGCAACACATCTACAGGGAGCAGCAGGTGTAGCCCTGGAGGTATATTTCATTGCCCAAAGCTTGGGGCTGCTGGGCTCAGAGCTCCAGGATGATCTTACCAGCAGCAGTACAGAGAGGTCAGTAAGCAAGGCATTGTGCAGTTGAAGGATTCCGACATGGCATTTACCACCCAGAGCGAGAACTGTGAATCCATGAGTTACTCCCTCAACATGGCCTACTGTGCTACCGAATCCAAAGCTTAGGCATGGTGGAGGAAATGGCAACATAAGAAGCTGTCTTGTGATCTTACTAGCATGATGCCAACACTCTGGGTGGGCCGGGCATTGGAGTTCAAAGAAAACACAGGCTAGGTGAGATTCAGAAGAGAACTCAAGTCCTGGTGGCAACTTGACCTGGTGAAATGGCAAAAGGAGGTGGGGCTTGAACAAGTGTTAAGATATCCCAGAGACCTGAGGCAAGAGAACTGCAAGTTTGAATTTAGCCTGGACTACATGATCAGTCAGGCAAGCATGGGCTAGAGTGCAGTTTGGTCTGAAAAACAGCGCTTGGTATGTCCCTCAATGCAGAAGGCCCTAGATTACATCACAAGTTGTAAGGATTCAGGCATTATGCTGGCCTGCCCCTGCCAGAATGCACTCAGGCAGTACCCTGGTCAGCCCAGGTGCAAAGGACCCCTTTAAAAGAAAGACCTGCACCCACTTATGCTCTTTCTGCTCCCCTCCTCATTTTGCTCTCTCTTTCCTGCTCTTTTTCCCCTCTTTTCTGCTATTCCCCTGGGGCAGACAGGACTTTTCCTGGCTCCCTCTTCTCTTCTGTCCTCTCTCTGTCTCTGTGTCTCTTTGCTTCTTTTCTCTTTCCTTTCCCCCTTTCCCTTTCTAATAAAACTTCTCACTAAGCTCTGTCTGCCTGGCATGTTTGTTCCTCACTCACCCAGGCCTACCATAGAATCTGCCAAGGTTCCCCTCGAGCTTATCCTAACTCCAATATTTGGGGGAAAGGTGGTAGAGTGAACAAGTGCCTGGAAACCAATAAAGAAAACATGAATTATTCATGAGACCTAAATATTGTGGCAAACATGTATTTCAAAACATCAGCGAAGTTACCACTAAGGAAACAAAATACTAAGTTTATCTCACCAATAGTAAAGTTCTGGAATTCTGTACTACCAAGAAAGTTGAATGAATGTGAGAGAATTCAGGTAATGTTAATCTCCTTTGGGAGCAACACCACACACACACACACACACACACACACACACAGAGAGAGAGAGAGAGAGAGAGAGAGAGAGAGAGAGAGAGAGAGAGAGAGAAGACCTGGGTTATGTCAAAGATTCAGCCCATAACCCAGGAAGATGTAAAGAACAGCCCTTTTCACACACTTCTCGTTAAAATCAGGATTCTAAATTGAATGGCCTGACTAGATTGACAAACACTATATAAAAGGATGGGACTCCTTTGTGGGAGAAGAGGAGCCTGTGTGGCAGAGGCCAGAGGAAGACAGCAGGTGTCACCTTCAGTCACGACTTACCTTCTTTTGGGAGCAGGAGGAATTCATTCATTTATATAGTTTGGCTGTCTAATGAGCTCCAGGGATCAGTGTGTTTGTGGGTCCCGGGGATCTGAACTTGGGTCCACTTACTTGAGCTACATTTTACTGACTCAGCCATTCCTGACTCTCCCCACCTACAACCTCAGGCAAACAGAATAGACAGAGGCACACATGGAAAGGAATGGAGTTAGGAGACAAGAAAGCAGATAAGACAAACCGCATTATCCATGCAAAGCCAAGCCACTCTTAACACTAAACATTTCTCAAAAGTAGACTTTAAGAGTTACACTTCTGGTGCTTGCTTCAGCAGCACATATACTAAAATTAGAACGATACAGAGAAGATTAGCATGCCCCTGCGCAAGGATGACATGCAAATTTGTGAAGCATTCCATATTTTTAATGGACTTCGGGAGCCCATTCACTATGGAGGGATACTATTTCAGCCCAGATACACGGAGGAGGGCCCAGGCCCTCACCCAAATGATGTGACAGACTTTGATGATTCCCCCATAGAAGGCCTCACCGTCCTGGAGGAGCAGGAGGGCTTGGGGGTTTGGTAGGGGACATGGGAGGATGGGAGGGAGAGGAAACTGGGGGGGATTGATGTGTAAAATGATTGTTTCTAAATTTAAAAAAAGAGTTATATTTCTGGCCCATCAGCATCAAGAGCTCTATAAAACCACTGCCTGTGCAAACTGGTGACTATTTAAAAATAAAATAAAATAAAATAAAGCTGTGCTGTGCTGTGCTGTGCTGTGCTGTGTTGGCACACACCTTTAATCCCAGCGATCAGAAGGCACAGGCAGGCAGATCTCTGAGTTTGAGGACAGCCTGGTCTACAAAATGAGTTGTAGGGCAGCCAGGGCTACAACATTATTTTGTGTGTCTTGGAAAACACAAAATAAAAAGAGAGAGAGAGAGAGAGAGAGAGAGAGAGAGAGGAGGAAGGAAGGAAGACATGCTAAATGTTGACGAATGGTGTATGTTATCATATTAATTATTTTCAATTGCTATATGGCTGGCTAGTTTTTACATCAACTTGACACAAGCTAGAGTCACTTTGGAAGAGAGAAACTTGATGTGTAAGACCCGCTCGGAATGCTTCTGCATGCACCCTGCCCCTCTGTCTTCCCCGCCTCTCCCTG